GGTCCTTCGCCCTCTAAGGTGCGCTCTCGCTCACTTCCTGTGATCGAATGCGCTTCGCCTTTGAGGGCTGGAACGCCGATGGATCTGCCGTTTTGTAAGCCCCGAATTCCGCGATCTCCGAAAAGAATTTGGCCTTGTTTTCGGCGTCCCGAGGCTCGGTCTTGTCCTCAGCCTCGTTCTTGGCTATCTTGCCGAGAACATAGCGGGTTATGTTGACCCTCGCTCGTCTTTGATGGTGCGACATTTTCGCCGTCTCTGAGGTGGTGACATGGACCTGGAGAATTTTACGGGGTAGTTTTTGCGAAGGCAAGTAGTTGACCTGGCGTCCTCTTGGAGGCATTTGCTAGAGATGCCAGTACAGGGGCACCTAGGTGTTTTACTCTTGCCTGCATTAGGGCTGGGCACTGTGCACTGGGCACCGGTTGCCTCGGATTCATAGCATTTACTGCAGTTGCCGTTGTTGGTGATGCCCAGCTTAATTGCATGCGCGGCAGCCAGGCGATGACCGGTAAGAATTACCTCTAATAGTCTGCAGTCTTTTAGGAATCGATGCAGTGCGTAGTGGCTGAGTTTATCATCGATCTTTTTGCATATATTTTAGATGTTTTGCAGGTTGCGAAGTTACTTCTCCACCTCCTTTTTGCTTGTCCGTCTGCCCTCCTCTCTAACTCTCTTTGGAGCGTTCTTAGAGAGACTGGGACGTTTTCTGTTCTATCGTTGGCCAGTCCGACTCCTTCCTTTGCAAGTTCGTATGCGGTTTCGTTTCCATCTATGCCAATAGATCCGCACTGACGTTATCGTGCCTAGAATGACTAGTGCGTCCCTGGTAGCCAGTACATTTTTGGAACTGACCGCTGACGATTGCATGGATTTAATCGCCGCCTGACTGCCTAAAAACAGGTTTACCGCCTCACATGGGCGGGCTACTGCATGCGCACTCTTCCGTCTTCCTGATGGCGAAGACTTCCGCCTGGAATATGCTGCATTGGCTTGGTAGCTTATACGACAGCCTCGTATCGGGATCTGTACAGAATATGCCCGATCCAACTCCTCCTTCCATCTTGGAGCCGTCAGTCTATATGTTGAGGTGTCCAGCATGGTCCTAAACCGTTTTCCAGTCTTCAGGTCCCATGAATGTTGATGTTTTCACATCTGGGCAAGTTCTAGGCGTCATGTAGTCATATACACTGCTCATAATCCGACCAATTAAGCTGGGTCCGTATCCCTGTTGCGACATATTTCCTAGAGCTAATAGGCGTTGTGCAGCATTTCCCGCAGTCAGTTGCGGTGGACATCTAGGGGATCAATTCCAATTATAGTCTTTAGAGCTTTTGTGGGAGTTGTCCTCAGCGCCCCATATGCAGAGCAGTGCCTGCCGCTGGGTTCACTTCATAAGTTTCTTCCGTGACTTGCCACCACACTAAGACTCCGTATAGCAAAGTCGGACACACCACCGATATGTAGACCCAGTGCTTCAGAGCAGGAGAGGGGCTCCATATGCTGCTGAGCATCTTGGATGCATATAGCGCAAGGGTGGCCTTTTTCACCCTCTATAGTATTCCATGCCAACTTGCTGTCCAGTATAGTGCCAAGGTATTTGACTTGTGTTTTTGGTGTCAGCCTGGTGATATTGATTTTTGGGAGGATCCATGGCGGTACCTTGTGTCTCTTTGTGAAGAGAATGAGGTCCGTATTGTCCGCATTGATACTGAGTCCTACCTTGTCTGTCCTATCACATATCTTCCTGGGGGTTGATTTCATTATCGAGCTAAGGGTCGATAGACAGACTGCCGTGATAATTATGCTTATGTCGTCGGCATAGGTTTTTATCTTCGGGGCCTTCCTGTTGAAACTTCTGATTAGGGACCACTAGATTCCATAGGTGGGGCGATTGGACTCCGCCTTGCGACGTGCCTCTGTGCGGTCCTTTCCCTATGGAAGCGGTGGCCCAATCTGATTGTACCCGTCTGCAACTTAGAAGATTTTCTATCCAAAAGTTGGTTGAGGGTGCGTGTTGGTCGCTCTTAGGCGCTCCATTATTGCGTCTGTGCTTACATTATTGAATGCCCCGGATATGACTACAAAGACTCCGAGCGCATATTCCTTGTTGTGCAGAGCCTTCTCAGTGGTGGCTACTAACGAATGTAGCGCAGTCCCCACTGATTTCCCTTTTGTGTATGCGTGCTGGTTGGTTGACAGTAATCATCGTTTCTGATGTATGGGTCCAGCATCTTTTCTAGCGTCTTGAGTAGAAAGGTGGTGAGGCCTGTAGTTGGATTGGGACATAGCCCGTGCTTAGGCAAGCTGTGTAAATTGCGTGTAGCCATGAAGTAATGACCTTTTTGGTCGCCTTTTGAGAGATCCTCTGGTTTAGTTGCTAGTACCCGGTGCTAGGTGGTATCCTTCTTGTACTCCCTTAGCAGGATTTTGTATACCTTAGTGATTATATCCTCTTTGGCCTGCTTGTCGATTTTGAAGACTTTTAGTCCTCCTCTTGGTTCTTGATATCTTGTCATGATGCGTGGTATGCGCCTAATGATTCCTTGGATAGGGTCTCTAGGGACTTTTCTATATCTTCCTCGGATTTTACTGTGCCCGGACAAGTCGCGAGTTTAGTAGCAATGCACGTTGTACGAGGTGAGGCCTGTAAAGGTGTGTTCCTCCCCCACGTTTGCATTATTTAGGAAAGTCGAACGTATGAAGTCTTAAAGTGACTCGCCTCTGTTGTTTATATCGCTCCTGAGTTCTTCTGGTGGAGCTGGCCTATCGTGTTCCATGTAGCAGGAAGCTACCAGTAGGCGCTTCTTCTTGCTTTCTAGAATCACCCTTGCTCCATGCCAATGAGGAGTTCCGCCTGCAGCTCCCCTAAGGATGTACCCCATTTCTCTAAGGACATGGGTACCTGGCTCATCTCCACTCGACAGGTTGATCACTAACGTCAGGTCACAGTCTTCCTCCTCTTCGGACTCGTTCAGCGTCAGTTCCTGACGGCGTCAACGATGGTTTCCAGACCCATGTCCCAAGCCATCTTCCCGTATCTGGGATACAGCATGTCCTCTGCCTGCTAGGAATGCGCATTGGCCCCCCTCTTTGGGTAAAGGGCTCGTAATGTGCAGTACCTTCCAGCCTGCGGTTGGGATGTCGGGACTCTGACGCTGAAGCAGCTTCAGTTCTCGGATGGATGGGATTAGTTTCCTGTTCGCCAACTCCAGATTGGATCCGTCCCACAGTGCTTCCATCTGGCCGACCGCTTGCGTCAGCCACTTTCTCGTCGGGGCATCATTTGGATTTTTACCCCATTCAGCCACCCGGGACCATCGAATGTGGGCATGGGCGCTACAGGGTCTTCCTCCATCCGCGTAGTTAATGCCGCACATGAATCAACTTCCACCGCGTCTCAGTGATCTTGTCATTCTCATCGCTCCTGTCAATGAGTGCCACGATCAAGTGTCGTTTGGTCACCCTACTGGCCTTCGCGATTTTCTTTTCATTGGTTGGTACTTGGTTCAAGCGAGCGAAGGAGGCGTTCTTCCTCTTCTTTCAAAAGCTGCACGCTCTTCAGGTCCGAGTTTTATAGACTATGACGCCCGTGCGGCTTATCTTCATTTGCTTCGTTTTAGTGGTAGTAGCATTGTAACTGACGTGACCTGCTCCCGTGCAATCAAAAGTGTAACCGCTGGCGTAACGCAGGGAAATTGCTCCCCTCCGTGCCCGCTGGTGATAGCAGTTTCGGTTAATTTTACGGGGAGCCACCAACTAGCGTTTTATGCCTGCCGCCAGGCACCACCAGACATTGCTAATGATTAATTTCCTCCAACTTTAAGGCGGGAGGAATTGAATCGAAGGCTTAGCTTGACACTGAATTACCCTCGGACAGAGTATGCTAAATTCGTCTCTTCCGCACATTATTGGTCATGGCGGAATCTTTAATTTGAAATATTATATGTGAAGGATCTGCAAATGAGGGCGAGAGGAAAGGCCAACCGTTTTATACCCTTGCAGAGTGTTATATGTTCAGTCAGAAGTTTGCATCGCAGTGAAGGAGCCATCTCCGACCATATAAAGTATATATTATTGATGAAAAGCTGAGTCGATTTAGCCATGTCCGTCTAGCCATCTGAATAAAACTTTGCAGTTAGTCTTCTATATACTGGCACTCGTAAATAAGTCGAAGCGGGCCGGGACGATCGGAAAATATTTAGACAAAAAATTATATCTTTCTAGTTCTCAACAGATTTCGATAAAATTGTAGATATATGAATTTATTATTATTCTTGAATTTGGTGTTAAATTTGTTGAACGATCGAAAAATTAATACAATTAAAAATTACAACTTTTTGAGTTTAAAATATAATTTCATAAAATCGACATATAGCCAATTTTATAGAATTTTGATTTTAATTTTATGAAATACATCATATAGCTGCCATAGAAACTATCGTTAAATGTAGAGGAAAATGCCAAACTGTGAATGTAGAACTGTAAATATTGTACATATGTACAGGTGAATTTCACGAATGATTTTTAACATTTACTTATACAATTTATTTTTTATATTATTGCAATCTACAAGGGTATACAAGCTCCGGCGTGTCAGTTTTCTTTATTTTTTATTTCTTTCTTTCTCGCACTTCGCTTGAGGAATATTAAAAGTGTGCCGTCAGGAATTTCCTAAAGCCATCAAACTTTCTAGTATTTTTGATTTCGTGTCAACGGCGCTCACGAACAGCCGTTTTATACTATTTTCCTCTCGCTCTTTCACTGCCTTAAAACTGTGTTTTACCCTCACCGTACCGTACTTAAAGTAAAAAAGTATAAATAGATAGAAAAAAAGAACATTGACTAACTTTAAAGCCATATAGAAAGACTCAAAATGACAGTACACGCCATCTCTTCGGTGTTTCTCTCACAATGCAATGCGCATGCTCTGCGCTTGTTGGAATTCTTGGAATTCGGAATTATACAATACAAAATAAGATATTTTCATTCTTTGCTGTGTAAAATAATTAGAAAATAATACTCCCGAGGTTTTCATTTGAATGATATCAAATGTTTCCCTTATCTTTATCTCAAGTGAATTTTGAGCGTTAAAAACTACGTTTATTGAATGTGGAAGCAACAATCAAGTATGTTTAACAATGACATCGTTAAAACTTAATCTTCAGCTTTATCCGAGTTCGAGCTCGATAATAACAAATAATAATAACAAAGAATTGCATTACTACAAGCAAGTTGCGGCCTGAAAGTATGCCAATGAGAGACTGTTTAATAAAGTAGTGTATGTATACAAATACACAGGCATGTATATGCTACATACATATATATATGTACATATATACAAGAGCCCATATGGATGCATGCTTGTAGAACATACATACATGCATATGTACATATGTACCTAGAAAGGTTTGACCTACTGCAAATTGCTTCAACTAAAAAATTAAAAAAAAGTGACAAAAAAAGTCCTCCGATCATGAACGAGTTGTCATAAAGTAAATGAGAGAAATGTCTATACAAAAAAATGTCTTAAAACATATAAGAATATTTGTACATCAATGATATAATAAATATATTGTATATATGAATATATATGTATATATTTACATACATACATAAAAACTGGATATGTGAACTTCATGGTAAAATTATTTGATGTATTTATTTTAAGTACTAGTACCTTCCTAATATAATGTTTACATGCATACATATGTACATATGTATGTATGTATAATAAATATATTGCATGCATATTCATCCTTACACACAAACTGGATATGTGAACTATATGGTAAAATTATTTGATGTACATATGTATTGTTCGTAGTATTATTTTCGTAATCAAATGTTTACATACATATGTATGTAAGTATGGATGAATTTTGTAAAACTCGATTTGAAATTAAAAAAATTATTTAAATTTATTATATGTATACTAATACAACACAGTTTTGAAAGACAGGACCAGCTGTTCCTATGTATTTCGCTTATACTTGCCAGCAGCTGATCGCTGATTAGAAAGTACATACATTTGTACATATGTGTATGTATATACAAACACATGTATGTACATTAAATTGTTTGTAAATGCAGGGACCTATTCGGCTGTAAAACAGAGTAAAGACGAAAAACTCTAGAGGACTTACATTATATACATATATGTATCATATATACAGTTAAAAATGGGTTTTATTGTATATCAGAGCTCCTTATTGAACTTAATGGTTGCGTTCAGCAGAACTGATCAGTGATAGATTTCTATCGATAGTTCTGCTGAACGCGTATGATCACTTATCATGATGCAACAAAAATATCCATTATAATCAGCAATAAGCGCGCGTAAAAATAGTACGCTAGTACGATGAAAATAATAGTAAAAAAACTGAATACAAACCAAGGAAATATAAATTATAACTCACGAAATGGCATCCTTAGTTATTTTGTAATAATTAGTTATTATTTATAAATTATTTCTTTATTTTCAATTTAGTTTTCTGTAACCACGAATGCGCAGTGCATGGTGATTGCGGAAATTACCAAAATAAGCTTTAAAACCTGTATTTTCAATAAGAAGCGGCCACATAAAGTAACAAATTGTTTTATTTGTTATCTGGTCAAAAACTATTGTCTAGATATCAGGTTGTTCTGCTGAACGCAACGAACGCAACAAAGTAATTCGCTTTTAAACAAGGTAGCGAATCGCTTGATGTTCGCTTCGTCTTCGGCTTCATCTTTATCTTTAATACGCGCTCTACTTGCACCCTTAAAGACTAACTAATTTTCGTTGACGGTTAAGACGAAAACTTGGAACGAAGTTTCAAACTTGTAATAATATTATTATTCCCAGGTACATCTATCCAGCGCTACAATGTCATCGTATCAGTTGATTCATGAGCGAGAACGGTTCGAAGCAATAATTAGTCCCAGATAACACTACAAAAAATTAGTTATCCTTTTCAATACACAATGACGGTGAGTCGATATCACAGCTACATATTATTCGTATTAACATTTTGTTTCTTTGTAATAGCACTACGCAAGACATGATGACTACTTTATGAATAAACAAAACGGTGCCTTAACGTCAGACACCGGTCATAGATCTTCTGGGGAACCAATTAGTAGCAGTAGCATATATTACAGTAACACAACACTCCAACAAGAACCAGAACAAGTATATAGTGATACAATATTCACAACGGCAGACACAAATCGCAGCAATGAATTTTATGAGTGTTATCAAACAAATACGGAAGATTACCAGCAGGAAATGGAAGTACACTCTTCGGTTGACAATTGGTTTCACAGTAGAGCATCCAACGAATACTGTTATGGTGAGGAGGGATTTGAGTACGCAGAGTTACCTAAACTTAAGGGAACTTCAGCGAAACTATTGCCAATGTTGCCATTTAATGAAAATATCAATGGATCTGGATCTGATATGGAACTAGGGTTGCAAGGTATGTGCGTTGAGACCAGAAAGGCAGATGACAATTGGCAAGTGTTACCATCGTCAGGTGATGAGTACGAATACCGATATATCTCTGCAAATCATTTTAATTACTATTATGCGAATTATTCATCAAATTTTAATCAATCATTATTAGGATTCGGTGCTGAGGATTTGTCGGAATGCAACCATGGGCAAAATACAGTCGCGCCATACAGCGCGCCCCGGCCGTACACTTCAATGTTACCATTAGATTACAGTGGGTACCATGAGTGTAACTACCATTCTGATAATCTATCAACATATAGCGATACACCGCCGATAAGTAATTCTCAACTAAAGCTGCAGAATCAAAGAAAAATTTCATTGATGATGGCAATGACAACGGCTTCTGTAATAGCATCTGGTGAGACCAGAGTGCCTGTTCACTCTATGCATTCAAAGAAATTGATGCCAACAGATTACGGTAATAATGGATTTTTGGCGAAAGAATGCAGTGACACTGGCCCTCTAGTTGCTTTAAGTGCTATGACAACGACAACGACGACCACGACGATTCCACCAAAAACTAGAAAATTGCCAAAACTTCTACCAACAACGCCGCATAATAAATCATCACTTCATACTTCAATCATCACAAATATTACCGATGCGACACTCCCTTCCCCACCATTATTAAATTGTACAGCCGGGAAAACTCATCGGCCCAAGCAACTGCCAAAGTTGCCAACAACAAAATTTGTAGCCGAAACTAAGAATTCTAATTATCCGACGTCTTCATCACCTTCAGTTGCACTATCATTGAGTCCATTGGGTGAAAATACAACATCTCCACTAGTTGCGCCAAGAGTTTCTGAAACAAAAGCGTTTCACGAAGATAATAAAGTAGATTCATTCCCCGATCGATGTTCACCAGTAAAGCTTCCATTAAATTGTATAAACCAGGATCTAGAAACTGATGAAAATGAGAAACGCTATTCATCAGATCTAGATATTGACAGAAAAGTGTATTTAGAAATTAAAACGTCATCCCAGTCTCCTCCTAAAGAGCCTTCATATTTGAAATCTGAATCAGAAGCTTTATTTAACATATCTGATTATCTTCAGCCTTATACATATTTCGACACAACTAAAAAGCACCCTATTGTTAGCAATACGACTGCCAGTACTTCGATCATTAATGAAAAGTGCTCAAATAGTGAAGAGCTGATCAGCAGTGTAGGCGATACTGCACTATTGATGGAGTTTAAAACAAGCAATTACCAAAACTCAGAATTCAAACCAACGACCACAATTGAAAGTGAATCTTCAAAGCTGTCGTCTAGTAGTTACCTCATTAATCCAGATTTTGCTAATTCAACAATCAAAAGTACTCCTCATGAAGTAGACACAACAAATTGTAATAGCTCTTACAACACGTTGACACCAGAAATTTCAACAGATTTGACAACTATCAAAAATGAGATACTGCTGCCATCCTTAAGTTATCAAACAGAGACAGTGTTGCCATCTATGAATAATCAGACGGAGACTGTAATACCACAGATAAAAACACAAACAGGAATTGGGTTGCCAAGCCACGATGCCTCCCCTTCGCCATCAACGTTAACATTAACATCCCCCATTTCATCGATAATAGGACCTCCTATAGTCTCTTATACCGATTATATGAAACAATTTGATTTACCAGATTTGCCACAGCCAATTGTGGAATTGGAAACGTGTGGAAGTGATATCGCTAAATCATTTACTTTTATCACTGATACCGATAGCAAAACAACCAACAATACAACTTGTAAAAAAGAATTAGATGAAAATATTGAGATGGTGCCAGTGCCTTCATATCTAACAGAATTTTCTTTATATGAATTGCCGAGTTTTCCAACAACCATCAACGATATCGCACCAATTGACATAGTATATTCAGTAGACTCTCCAACAAATCTTACCAATTATGTTTCAACAACTGAGGAAGCGTCAGCTAACAACATTCAATCTTCAGCATTCGATGACACCTTCTATGACACTTTTAACGTTGATATCAAAGAACTGACTGCCTCTGTTGGAAATATTCAAACAGAAACAGATATTCTTACGACAAATATGGATAATAAAAGTTTATCATCTGTAGATCATAAGAGCAGTAACGCAAACATTGATTTAAATCAGAACCTTAATAGCTCAGGACTTGGTGGTTATTACAAGCCATCCTCCCAGACGCAACAAACAGCAAAAGGAATGGCTTCTACGGCAACAAGTGTTCTCGGTGGCTTTTCTAAAGGCATTAAAGGTGGATTAGATGGCGTTTTCAGTGGTGTCAGTTCAGGCACTATTGAAGGATATAACACTAAGCAGCAGCACACCAACAATTCCAAAAAAGGGTTTGGTTTTAATTTGGCATCAAAACTAGTGCCTAGTGTTGGGGGATTGCTTTCCAGTTCGGGTTCCAAAGTACCCTCAAAAGCTGAAACGGAAACGGAATCGACTTTTCTTGCTGAAAATGTTACTCATCTAGACACCAGTTCTTCTTCTTCAAATATTTATGAGAATACAGAACAAGAAAGTTCCATAATGACGCAAGAGGCTTCTTTCTACAAAGATCAACGATCATCATCAATTGTGCCAATAAAAATGCCAATCTGTGAAAATTATAATGAATACAATGATGACGATTTGAATTTAAATAATGAAATTATGAGTATGGGAATGTACGACCATGAAACTGAATATGTTATAAGGGAAGAACAGGATCCCTCCATAATCGAAGTATCGAGCAGAGATAATGGATATTATATATCCCAGACTAATATTACAAATGAAACAAATTTGGTTATTGAACCATCTATTATCCCTGAGTCAACGGAAAAAAAAGGAGTTATTAAATCTGTTGGAATGTTCGGCTCCATTTTAACTAAGGCCGCTGCAGCCGTACAATCAGCAACGCAAGCTGTCAATCAGGGTGCATCATCAGTTGCATCAGCTGTAACGCAAAAACCGTCGACAACAAACATAACATTGCTCACACCAGTTAACAATCCAAACTGTTTGGAAAGTTCCTCCTCTAATACAAATTCCGAAGCCAAATTTGAAAGTTACGGTTATAACTATCAGCAGAGCAATCAAGATACAACCTTGTCAAGCTGTCATTACTCAACCACTGGCGATGATTATGAGAACAGTAATGTGAAAATACACGAATATAGTAATAATAGCACCTATAGTACAGAATTTAATGAACCAGTCTCAATCCCCTACCATGTTAATGGTAATCAGAGTACAAAAATCCTTCCAACGGTGCCGTTAGCGGGAGCCACTGGCAAAAAACTGCCCACTATCAATGGTAAATCGGGACTTATGCTAATGAAACAAATGCCAACGGAGATCTATGACGATGAGTCCGAGACTGACGATGAACTATTAGATCAGGTTGCAATTCGATCAATGAATTCGGAACCGAATTATCTTATTGATAGTGGGCAGAATGATTACTATATGGATCTTCAGCAGACGACACCGTCTTCGAATCAGGGTCAAGGCTTGAACGGTTACTATGAGCATGTCAACAATGGTTATGACTATCGCGAGGACTACTTTAATGAAGAAGATGAATACAAGTACCTTGAGCAAGAACAGCTAAAACAGAATCAGCCAAAGACCAAGAATGATCAAGCACAACAACAGCAGCAATTATCATTAGATTTCACTGACGAAGAACATCGACGGGACAATAACGACGATGACTTCATTTACGATAACGAAACCTACCATAGCGAAGAAGACAGCGGCAATTATCTAGACGAAAGCTCTAGTGGTAGCGTTGGTCCTATCCAAAATCGGCAACTAATAAAAATGGAAGTTCACCAAGACTCTAATGTAGAGTCGCCCATATCTAATTCTGCCAGTATCCCTGCTGCCCCAAATATATCTCTCCACAAACAAGATAGTATTATAATTGAGAATGATCATGATGAGCAAGCCAGCTTTATGAATGAACCAGACCTCATAGAACGAGATGAAGAATTAAGCGACCAGTTGACCGATCTCACTGACTTAAATAAGAGAATGCCGCAAAAGAAGAAACCTCTACTGCTGCGCGGTGAAACCGAAGAAGTTGTGAGCGGACACATGCAGATGATCAGGCAATCAGAAATTACAGCGAAACAACGATGGCACTGGGCTTATAATAAAATTATCATACAACTAAATGTGAGTACTCTTTCTTCCTTCTTTATAATCTCTTAGTGTACTTCCCCATAAAACATATATAAATTAATATACGTTAAACCATGGGCCTTTATTACGTACCAAATTTAACACCCAAATTTAGTTTATTTCGAGAACTAAACTCCCACTTGGAAATTAAATATTTCCTAACAAATTACATATTGGCAAGGGGCCGTACTCTTGCTTAAACGTAATAATTAGTTTCAAATACTCATAAAATGAAATGGAAAATACTGTTTGCAATAGTGTTTTATGTATAAAACTGCTAAATTTAGATTTTATTAAAAAGTAATTGAGACCACCGTCACTTTCTCTGAACCAGAAATTTGTACAGAAAGGGTTTATAATAATAAATAATGGTTCGGCTTTTATTTTGCTTCAAAACAAACAATTAATAACTAAAGTCATTTTTGTAGTTTGGTTTACTTCTAAAAACAACCAAATTTTCAGTTTGAAAACAAGGAAAAACCCATTGTCAAAATAAGGAAAACCAAAATGCTTCGAGCTAGATTTATAAAAAAAAAATTTGCTGATAAGTTGGTTTCCGATAGTGGAATTACAAGGGTTGGATACTTTGAAGGTAAAACGTTCCGAATAATTTCTGTTAAACGTATTCGTATTCGTATTCGGGTACCTGCGTAAATTAACATAATGCAATTCGTTGTGGCAGCAACCCGCATTCAGACTTTGAATAATCAGAATATGGTAACAATGTCTTATTCTCTTTCAAGAGAGTATTATCATTTTTCAATACTATTTGTATTGTCAGGAGTAACTAACGCAGTGAAGGAGTCATCTCCGACCACTTAAAGTTTATACATATATTCTTAATCAGCATCAAGAAATTTTTGTCAAATTTGATCTATTTAATAGTATTAAATTATATTAAAATAGGACTACTATAGCATATAGCTGCCATAGGAACGATCAAGAAATTAATGCAATAAAAAAGTTAGAACTTGTATAGTTTTTAACATATTTTTATCACATATGAGACATAGTTATTTTGCATTTTCCTAGAATTTCGATTTTAATTTTATGAAATCGGTTAACTATATCATATATCTAGCTGCCTTAAAACTAGAACGCAAAATTGTATAGGGGAAGAAAATTAAAGAAAGCATTATTTAAATTTTGTTTAACATATATATATATATATATATGTATAATTTTTATTGTACTAATTTCTAGTGTTCAAACTTCAATCTGAAAGGGTATATATTTGGCGTGCCAATATCAGCTTCCCTTCTTGTTCATTAATTGCTTGTTAAACTCCTTAAACAATTTCATAAAATCTATTGTTATTATTATTCGTCTGAAGGGTATTAACATTTCGGTCTTGTCAAACAAAAACAAAGGTATTTTTTCAATTCGCGTTTTAAGTTTAAATTGAGTTTTTTCTTGGAGCACAGGCAAACTACTTGCTATTTACCCTTCAGAAACGTCGGACTGTAATGCATTTTCTATGTACAAAATTTTTCGATAATACAAAGCATCATGAGTATGTCCAAGATATAACAAAAAATGTTCTCCTCAATAAATTGGAAGGGCGCCAATCTATGGCTGAACGCACCCGTAAACTTAGCCTTATTCTCACATATCAAACAAAAAACGTAAGTATCATGCTTGTTTGACACAAAAACAAACTAAATTTAAAAGAAGAAAGGAAGCTAACTTCGGCACGCCGAAGTTTGTATACTTTTGCAGACAGAACTTCGATCACTAGTAATTTATACATTATAAATTATACATATTTATGTTAAACAATTGTTACGAAATGCCTGCTTTCATTTCATTCACATATATATACATTCACATATATATACATATATATTACATTTACAGTTTAACAATATCCAACGATCGTTTGTGTGGCAGCTATATGATATAGTCGTCCTTTTTTTATAATATTAAAATAAAAATTCTTAAAACATATTTAAAAACAGCTATATCTTAAATTTGATAAAATTCTGTTGAAAACTGAAAAAGTTTTTATTATTAATTGTATTAATTTCTCGATCGTTCCTGTGGGAGGTATATGAATAGTAGTCCGATTTTCATAAAACTTTATACAAAAATTTAGAATATAAAATGGATATTTCTTAAATTTGATGAAAATTTGGTTGAAAACTGAAAAAGTTGTTTTTTAATTGTATTAATTTCTCGATCGTTCCTATGTCTGCTATATGATATAGTCGTCCGATTTTCATAAAATTTTACACAAAATTGTAGAATGTAAAATGGCTACATCTCAAATTTGATGAGAATCTGTTAAAAATTAAAAAGTTGTATTTTTTTTTTAATTTTTTTATTGTTCCTGTGGCATCTATGTGATATAGTCGTCCGCTCCGATCTATTCCGACATATGTATATACAAGTTAGATTATATAGAAGACTAACTGCAAAGTTAAATTTAGATAGCTTCAAAAGAGAGACTAGTTTGCGTAGAAACGTATCGACTCGGCTGTTGATGCTGATCAAGTATATACTTTATATGGTCGGAGGTGAATACTTTACTGCGTTGCAACCTCTGATTGCAATTAAAATACCTTGCAAGGGTATTAGTATTAGTGTATTAGTTAGTGTATTAGTTTAAAGAAAAATAATTTTTGTCAGAATATTTGATAATCTGGGATATGTGAACAATGTTTGTGTTTAACACTGCAATGTAATGTAAATTTATTATTTCTTATATATATACAATTTCTTACTGTAAGGGTGTATAAACATAGGTTCTCGCAGTTAGCTTTTTTACTTGTTTCTCCACTATTGTTACCAAAGTTCCGGACATGCGCAGAGGCCCTCAGTTTCACACTCAATTTTTCTCCTACAAAAAAGGTGTTTCTCGTCTGTATTCAGAAAGCTTTTGTACTAAAAGGAAACTTTAGTTTTTAGTATGCAAACGTCTACAGCTAAGGAGCAAAGCACTCTTGCTTATTTTCCGTGTGACTCCACAAAGCCTAATCTTGGACGCAGCAACAGAGAACCATTTACTTACTTTTTAACGTTTCTCAAAAAACATTGTAGCGAGTACTATCATTTTTGCATTTGGAATATATTTGTCGTATTTTCAAGTAAAAATAAAAGGCATTTGAATACAAGTTTCACATAGCTAACAGTTGTCGGTTGTGTACATACATATACAGATATACAAATTTAATGTACAACTAAAACTGTGCTGATGTACATACAATTTAAAGAAATTTTGTGATTTGGCTTTGGAAAGCTTGCAACAACAAATATTGCAAAAATAGAAACCTAACATTTAAACTTCAACAACTTAGTGTTGCATTTTAAATGTATCTTTAAAACGATGTTTTGGATATACATATTAGAAATTTTATGTAAAATTAAAATTAAATAAAATTAAATTTGCAACCTTTACGAATTAATATATTCTGTACTGACTCCTAAAATAAAATAAGAAATATAATTTGCTTTTATGCCTTCATAAAAATTTCCTCAAAAATACGTCATAATTGTTTTTTATTTTTTATTAATTAATACAATACAAAAATTCACTTTTAGGCAAATTTGTTATACATTTATTATAGGCAACCATAAAATTTCAGCTGATTAAACACTGGCTTTTTTTGAACTTGACCGTATGTATATTTGTTCATAGCTATGAAGCAAGTAATATTTTTAATACCTAACACATAGGTACTATTAACATATAAAAAACGATGAACGCTTCACAGCAACAGCCAACGCCGTCGCGGGCCCTGAATAAATTTGTACATCAAGAAAATAACACAAATTATCTTGAACACCAACATCAACTGGCGTTCGCAGAAAGTGCACTCAAAAGTCAAATAAAAATAAAGCAACAACTGAGACTACATCAGCAGCAAGAACATCACCCACAATCGTCGATGTATAATACCTCCGAGATGACGCTATCTTACCCAAAAACCCAAAAATATGCCGGAGATGAAAGGTCCTTAGATCAGTTACAATATAGCACATCGCCCATGCATCATCATCATGCAGAAGCATCCTCTCTACCAAATCAAACACCTATAACTAATAAAAAGGCATTAATAGACCTTGATAATACCACGATTAACACTTCGATTAACTCTTCGGTTAACACATCAATTAGCCCCTCGATAAACAACACGATCTATTATCCCAAAGGCAGCATGTTATCGATAAGAAGTGAACAACAATCGCAACAGCATTCCGATTATATTATCTCCGATTATATGGATAAAATAGCAACCAGAATAAGTTTACTTGAAACAGAATTAAAGTTTGCCTGGCGTGCTTTGGACTTGCTTTCCAACGAATATGGGAAGATTTGGATTCGTTTGGAGAAGCTGGAAAATATATCTATAGAGCAACAATCGGTGGTTAGTAATCTAATGGGTCTTATTCAGAATCAGACACAGAACCAAAGTAATATCGACGCTCTAGAGGAATTCCCAAAAACATTTCATAGCCTTCAAGATGAAAATAATCAGTTGTTGATGGATGAAGAAACATTGGATATTGACATACAACCACTAGAAAGTCAAGACTACAATGATGATCATGATCGAACCTTAATGAGAGATTCTAATCTTTTTCTATGTTCTGGCTTAGGATCATCTCAATTTATTAGTAATCCATATTTGAATTACGAAACTTTAGATGAAAGTAATATTATAAATGGCTTAGATATGAGCGAAGAGTTACGCAAAGAATCAAGAAAGAAACTATATTCCGATTCTGATCTGATGTTATACGAACAGCAACAAATTCGCGCAAATAATGCTCGTTGCGAACTAATGAAGGAATTCATAAATGGTAGACGTGTTTTAAAGGAGATAGCATCGGGGACCCCACAATCTCAAACTCAAATTGCCCAAAAATTTACGAATTTTGGACAATCAAAAGGGGACTTGGATAAAATGAAACATTCGCCAAACACTGAAATGGATAATTTAATCGATGATATTAATTTTTTTCGCTTAGCCGCCTCTAAATCCGACGTCGGCTCGGATCAAGTATTGCCCATAGAAGATACTGGAGGGACGAAGGCCATAGAGATTCCTCAAAATAATAATAATGAGGTCAATGAATCCTTTTACAAGCAACTCAATGAGGCCTGTAGGGACAATGAATTGAGCTCTGAGATATTGAAGGTAGATGCCTTATTACATAATTCAGCAGGAGAGACTGGTCATGATCCATGCCAAGCCTCAAATATTTTAATAAATCAGTCGGCGAAGGGTTTTACTTCTCTTAATTCTGCAAAGACATCGACCAATTCTACGAAGGAAACGAAAAAGCATCGAAAAAAGAAACACCATACTAGTGAAATGGATATGATAAATAAATTAAAATGTATTCTGGCACAAGCTTCAACTGGTTATAATAATGACGATGCAGAATTCAATAACGAAAGTTCGCAAGTTGAGATGACAGAAAAGCAAAATGATGCCAATAATTTTGGAGCTGACGCATCAATAATTTTAAACAATATTACAAAAAGTTTAATGGAGGAAATCAACAAAATTCCAGGTCTTCAAACATTAAGTTCAACGCAAATAAATAAACTACGTGAGACCGTTTGGAAAGAGTATTCCTTTTTTCAAAAGGTCAGGCAAGTTGATAAAAACCTTACATTGCTTCTGCTTAATCCGATAACAGTAAGTGAAGAAGTATGCTCTCTCGGAATAACGAATATCGATGAGAAGTTTGCTTTGGTCATAAAAAAGTTTAGTAAAAATATTTATACATTGAAAAAACTCGTAGGCAGCTCTTTCGACGAAATAAAACCTCGGAACGAAGCGTCCCTTTTCCTAAGTTCAAAGTCACAAAGTCAGAGTGCTTGTATTCCAACTCTATTGCGAAATAACTCCGATTTAGATGAACAACTAAAGATTCTCGAAACGCAAGAGATTGAGATAAATCGAAAAAAAAAAATTGAACAAATTGTAATTGATAAAGAAAACCTAAAGGACTTAAGCTTCCTTGCCATACCCTCTACAAAAAACATTTACAGCGAAGATGAGTATATAAAGTCCCTGAAAAGGAGTTTGGAACGTCACAACAGTATGATGTTTTTGCTGCATTTACAAAATCCTGAGAAGCTCAAAGATGATATGATCAACGATGATGTTCTTCTGATGGATGGAACTCGTGGCAGTCCTAGTCCACCGCCACCTGCTCCCTTCGATAATCCTCCTAACTATGTGGAATCAGTAGAAGCGCAAAATGATAAAAAGTATACAAAATCCGATTCTGGATTATCTTCAATGAGCAGTTGGTCCCCAATTATATCACCGATGGTAACAGGTGCTAAACAAAATAGTAATTATTTTTTAGAACAAAAAAATAATGAAATATATTCATTGGAATTATCATTAGATGGGCAAAGATCCAAATCGAAAACATCTAATGATTATATAATAACGGAGGAGAACTTAAACTATATTCATGAGCTCTCCAAAAACTTACCAATATGCTCTGCTTATGAAAACAAGTCGATATTTGATGGAATAGAGCAGTTTTCAACCGTTGATGAAATGCTGGAATGGGATCAGTTAATTCAAAGAGATCCCAGTATTCGAAATTCGGAAAAGAAGTTATTACATTCCACGCGAATGCCTGATTTATTGACAAATCAAACAACCAAACGCTTCGTGAACGAAGGACTAGACCATCTTAAAAATATATCAATATACGATACGCATATAAATGAAATTCAGGAACAACTGAGACGACCTTATTTGACCGATAGGCTTGTTTACTATCCCTCATCGAACACCATCACCGATTATAATAGCAGCAATAATTTGGATTACTTGGGTCAAAGCAGGGTTAGAGAATCCTTCAAATCCAAAACTATACCAATTCCTCCTAAGGACCAGTCATCTGTTCGTAATATAGAATATTCTAGTGTGGCGAATCCTGGAATATCAAGGCTATCAGAGCTAAGATCTGCTGATCATTCCCATCAAAGCCTCCCCGCAGACCTACCAACTTCAGAAAAACCAACTAAAGTTTGGAATAAACTAAATACTATTTTAACTGACAATCTGAAGTTAAAGAGGATAGTCAAACTGAATCGATCACTATCATTACCCGCTGAAGTTCAAAGTCAAGATAAAAAACAGAGTCAAAATCAAAAAAGAAACAGACACGTGGCCAGGCGGGTTCATTTCCGTTTATTTCGCACAATAGCTCTGGAAGCGGAAGTGGAATTAGAATTGCAAGCGGCAGTCAACAGCATTTATCGAAGAGGCTACAGAAGCTGCCAATGCGTATTATTAGAAGAGCAACAACAGGAGCTACGTTCATAAGACGCCTGTCTCACCCCGAAGAATCTATTGGCTCTTCAGATGGAAGTACTTCTATCGGTAACACCCGTAAAAACTCGCTTACATCAAAAATGAATAACATAATGCGCAAGGCGAAGACATATAAACGGCAAAACTTGCGCCTGAGCCGCGGCTGTAGCATATCGGATACTGAATTAGATAAACCCAACGACGGTGACGACTGTATTTCATTGGATAATGATAATGATGAGGGGTGTTCCTTATACGGAATTGATATAATCGATTACAATAATGATGAGGCTTGTGAAATAAATGGTCCAGAAGGTAAAGACCTGTTCGCTGTAGTTGGTGATCTCAAAAAATTTTCACACACTACTACTGAAATTCCAGAGGTTTCTGTAAAAGTGATTAATAACATATCAAATAATGGTGAAAATATGACTATTAAAATGCCAGAAATTCACTTAGAAGTGACATGTCCTCAGAGAGAGAGTTCAGTGTGCGTCGAGAATGTCGTTGAAGATGACAGGAGTCACGTACTACATGAAAACTCTGTTAGTGCTGAATTAAATGTAATTCCAACATTCACAATACAAACCACAGAAGGACGCGAAGTGGGAGGCGGAAACGGAAATCCCCCTATAACCACATTCCCAACACAGCAGCAGCAATGGACCTTGGATCTGCCCAGCAATCATATTCGAGAGGACGATGACAATCGCAGTCAGCATTCCACGCGAACTCTGTCTTCGTCGCGTCGTCAAAGCACTGAGGATAGTATCGACACGGATGACGAATATTTTTATTATGAGCTTCGTCAGTTGGAACACGAACAGGAAATGCAACGCCTAGCACAACAATCAGAAAACATGAATGAACTTATTGCGAATGATAATGAAGTTTTATTTTCGCAAATCGGCCAATTGCTTCAAACTTCCGACGGTTTTCAGCCACCTGAATCTGAAAAGGGCTCAAAAGAAAATGTTGTTAAATATTCTCCCGATGAACACGTCAAATTGCTAATGTGTGAGGTGTTTAGTGAATTGAAAAGAGTTGTTCGCTTAGAGGAAAGTACAATAAGAGATGATAGAACCGCAACCACATTTAGCGATGCATTTCCCAAAGTAAAGCCACATCGTGAGAAAATATCAAATGTCTATGATATGCATAGTGCGTGGCAGGATGTCAACGGCTGTGAAATGCCATTAACAGCATCTGACATGGACTCCCACGGGGAGGAAGTTGAGAGGAAAAACCAAAGACCAAAGCTAAAAAAAAAAGAAAACGTGATAACCAAAAACTGACTCATGCCAGTTCAAGTTCATCGTGCCATTCTGAAAATAAAATTAAAATAACCGAATCCGAATCTGAAAAAAATCAATCAATAAATCTTCAGGCTCTAGCGAAACATCAGGTCCCGATTCGCCGGGAGAAGAGCTGAGCGATGTCAATGATGAGATCAGTAAAACCTCCAACCTGAGTAAAGACAAAGAAGATGATGCTGAAAAAGAAGGAATACCTGTGAAGTTCGTTGAACTATATGTTACAAATGGAACCACAATCACCACTCCTCCGCATACCCCGAAAGGTTTAAGTCCAACAAAGTCAGTTCATACACCAGTTTTAGAGGTAGATGGTTCCCTTGCGATAGGAAATGGTGGCGCCAGTAAATGGAAGCTACTGAAAACTTTAAAGGAGCGCAAAATAGAGGAGAAGTATAATCAGGAAAAGGTTAAGGAAGATGACAAGGACAAAGAAAAGGTAATCGTATAGATTATGGATGCTTTTTTACTATATTATTGCCAATTAGATAGCACTTTTAGTCTTTGGGATATAGGATTTTAAAACAAACTAAAGACCAAACGAACATTAGGAAAGATTGCTCGCATTTTCAAATATAATAATTAAAATAGCGTCAATGAAACGATCATAACCACAGCAACAACTTGTCTTATGACAAGTGTTTTTTGTTGGCAAAGCAGTACCTTTGATTTTACTTAAATCAAAACCGACTTGTTCTCAAATATTCATTAAATTAAAAATATATTTTAAACTGTCTCCCTGTTTTCAAAATATTTCGTTTTCAGCAGCTGTTTCTATCATCAGTAAATTGTTATCTTTCTTAATGTAAATAATTTATTTTTTCAGAATGGCGGCGGAAGTGGAGAAATGGGAATACGTACCAATGGTCACCCCGGTGATAATCCGTTTTATAGCAATATTGACAGTATGCCAGATATACGGCCTAGACGTAAATCTATACCTCTTGTTTCGGAACTGGTAAGTTAAAGACTTTTAAATTATTTTCCGTCTCCCGGCGATAAATATAAATATAGATAGGTTTCATAATGATACCGCAATTCTTCTCATAAAAGACGTTCTTGTCGATCCTTTACTTTACTTTTTCTTATATTCTTGTTTAAAATGGTGGACGTTTTCAGGTTCTGAAGGTATAACATATACTCTAGAGACATCCGATTCAAAAAGTCTTAATTGTCGATTTTTTACACTTAGTAGTTCTTTTCTTGAATTTTTCTTAATTTAAATTGTTATTACATATTTACATTTTAAAATTTCACCTCCTACACTTTAAGTCAAGTGCAAATTTTTGGCTTTTTACATTTTTATGTAGTTTTGCACTGTAGTTGACTCCATGAAAAAACAATAAATTCGGGAACGCGAATATTATATACACTTGCAATACACAATTATCCGTTGATTTCTATGACAGTTTAAGCCCAATGAGGCCCGTTTCGACTTATGTATATCATATGCTACCTGCATATACATACACACATATACAACTACCTTTTTAACGTACCCTGCAGTACCAGATGTCACCAATAGGTCACTGTAATCAACAATTTATCCACGTGCCGACTGCGACTTCTACCGAGACGACTCTCTCGCCCTTTCATTTTTCACTGTTGTTGAGAAAAAGGTCGAAATACATATCACTTATCACCAGTAAAAGAAGCAAGATGTAGATTCTCTCTCTTGCATTCTCCCTTTCCAATAATACAAGCGGAATGGGTGTTTTTTATATTTATTTTTCAAGAAGTTACGAGTAATATAGTTTATCAGACAAACGTGAAAGGAAGCTTAAATTTTGTAAAATTTTAATAATCGCGCGAGATTATTTGGTACAGCAGTAAATGCATACGATAAATAATGGAATTATACCCTGGAACTGTATTTAAAAAACAGTTGAATTATAGAGAAACCCCTGGAATTATATGGAATGCAGTGGAATTAATATTTTTTATGTGGGAAAAAATTAAAGGTAAAAAATAAAAAATTACAAACTAAATTATACAAGTAACAGCGAAGTGTAAAACAAAAGAAATAATTAACAGAAAAACTTTTTGTTGATGAAATGTTGATTAATTGTTGATTAAATGTTGACTAATTGGTAATGACCTGATGTTAGTGACAGCCTAGGACATGCCCATGTTAAGGTATCAATAATTTGTATGTACATTCATCGACAACATCGGCCTGTCTGTTGATCGTTGATAAATTACTAATGAATGGTACTACAACGTTGCTTTTTTAACGGGCTTTTCAATCTTCGACGCGTTAAAAACTAAAAACTAAATAAACAAAGAAGAAAGTAAACTTTGGCACGCCGAAGCTTGTATACCCTTGCAGATCACAAGGAATTCATACAATATAAATTATATATTTATGTTCAAGAAGAAATGAAGCTAGGAATTGATACAATATAAATTATATCTATTAATGTTAAAAATGTTATGTTTACATTTACATTTAATGTTATATTTACAGCCGTATATTCTTAGTTTTCTATAAATCTATATGCTATAGTGGTCCGATTTTCATGAAATTAAAACCGAAATTCTAGAAATATGTAAAAGGGCTATATCTCTAATTTGGTATTCAAAGCTGTTGAAAATTGAAAAAGTTATACTTTTTGCGTAGAAACGGACAGACGGACAGGCAGACATGGCTAGATCGACTCGTCTGTTGATGCTGATTAAGAATATTAATACTTTAAATCGTCAGCGATGACTCCTGCAAGGGTATACAAAGATGGATTTCTGATTACTCACTAAGATCGCTTACAATACACTAAAAATAATCAGAATATTAAAAAAAAAACATTTTAAAATTTAGGATTTCCATTTTATATTTGAGACTATCACATACTTTGCTATAGCGAGTTAATTTCCGGCATAACTCCTAGAAGGATTTCAGAACTGAAAATAAAAACGGCAAAACGGTGTGTATATACTATTGCAGATTGCAATTCGATCAAAATACACAAAAGTTTAGATTTTCGTTTCATAAAATGAAAATCAAATTTCGATAAGAATAAAAACTTGTCATACCTTCAATTTGATGAAATTATGTTGAAAAATGAGTTGTCTTTAAACAAGAGATAATAAAAATGGATGCAGACTGTTTCTCATAAGATTACAGGACAATCTGTAAAAGCCTATCATGCCGATTAAATAAGATTTTTTGTTCCTCTTAAGGTACAGGTTGATGATTTTGTATTCTGTTAATTAATTTTAATTACGGCTAACAGGCAGAGCTACAACTTTCGGATGATCGATGTGACCTATTGCGTTTGCATGAAAGTAAACAGTTGACGGTTGGTAGATCACAAAAAAAAACTTGATAAGCTTGTCATGCATAAATAGAAAACATCTAAAACACAAAACGAAAAATCCTAATCGGAAAGAAGTGGTTCCATGAAAAAAAAAATATTTAATAATTAGGAAAGGAAACTAAAAGAGATTCTTGCACTTTTTAACTTACATTTTACATTTTGTTAATTTGTATTTGCATAATGCCTGTTGAAGCTTTGGAACATAATACAATTTGAAAATAATTGTAATTGCAGTAGATAGTTGAGATTCTTAATCTGTTATTTGTTTTGAATGTTTCGTTAAGTAAACGCTTCTCAATAGCAATAATAAAAGTACCAAATAGTAAATATAATTACATTTAAACCCTTGGAAAGCTCATATTATTTTTACTGCTCCTTAGACGATGGCTGCTACAAAGCGAAATGCAGGACTCACATCAGCTGTTCCCCGCGCCACGCTCAATGACGAAGAATTGGTAAGCTGTTTCAAATACCAGAAATAATTAAGCTGGAACCTTAACAATGATTGCTCGGTTTTCTCGATTTTGGGCTGGTACTAACATAAGATAAATATGCTTGAAGCGGCTCAACTCCATATAAAAAAGGTAGCGAAGAGAAGATAAAATGTCTAAGCTTTCACTTGGGCGGGTACCAACTTAAGATAAATATTAAATTTATAAGATAAATCCGCATGAAGAATGTAGCGAAATAGCTGTCTTTTTCGTTCTGTAATCAGTGTGACCAAAGAAATTAAAGAAAATGCGCGGAAATGGTCACACTGACAGATTAGGCCAGCTGTTTGTTGTAAGTAAAATTAAAAGCAGAAGTGAAATTATTTTCGGATTGTTATGGAATAATATAAAATGGCTATTTATTGATGTATTCGCCCCTAAGGAGCTGAAGGCAAAAAGCCACAGCACAGGCTTCGACTTCCAAAAACACATTATTTGTGTGATTTTAATCTCATGTTATGAGACTTTTCATTACTGCAATTACTAAGTCCACCTTTTCTTGCCGGTTAGCAAATTGTCCTATGCAAATAATATTTGTTCCCTTAAATTTTCCCTCCATCTTGTTTTTAAATATATATATGATTCTTTATTTCGTTCGCTAAATCACAAATCAAAAAACTTAGATCCGGCAATGCTCTACACTTTTCAATAACAATTTTTATCGTATGTTAGTACCCGCCCAAGCGAAAGCTAAGACACTTTTTCTTCTATTCGCTACCATTGCTGCTTAAAGAATATTTATCGTTGGTACCAAGCTTAAGGAACGAATTGATTATGTTGTGTTACTGTTAAGTGATGTGAATATTACTGTACAGGAAAGCAGGGTTGTGCAAAGTTACCTACTATAGATTTAGATCATATTTTAGTTTTTAATCGATCGCGAAGCGAAATGTTTAATCGGACTTTTGATTAAAAATGTATTACAATAGAAAATGCACGTATACAAAAAGGCACTCCAGGCCCTCATCTACCCCATATCCTCGACAACGCCCCACAACTTTCTGTTATGGACTGCAACGTCGCCAACTTACTGCTACGAGTGCGAAGGACTACTGTGGGGCATAGCACGCCAAGGTGTCCGATGCACCGAATGCGGCGTGAAGTGCCATGAGAAGTGCAAGGACCTCCTGAATGCTGATTGCCTGCAGCGTGAGTGTTACCAACATACTCGTGGAGCTAGGAATCTGAAGCGGGATGATTTCATCTCCTCAACAAGAACTCTGTTATACTAGGGTAAACATTAAGATATACATTAAAACTCATATTTCCATCATAGGCGCTGCCGAAAAGAGCTCAAAGCATGGTGCCGAAGACAAAGCCAATTCTATAATTACCGCAATGAAGGACCGCATGAAGCAGCGAGAGCGAGAGAAGCCTGAGATATTCGAACTGATTAGGTAATATTTACAAAATTAATTTTGTTTGCAACATTTCACTATTTAATGATTATAGTAGTAAGACGATTCCAGTCATTCTCAATATTTAAAATCAAAGTCGGTTAGTTAGTTAAGATTTACAGATGATAACGCCAAAGAAAGTCTATGGTATATGGAGGCACAATGTTTCTGTGATCTATCTAATCGAATGGCTCTGTCTATCGTCCACACACTTATCTAGAATTTTGTTAATCGCATTAAAAAATATCAGCTTAACACCAAGAAAGCAAGACAGGGAAGTTGACTTCAAACCATATATGTATTTCCTTGCAGTCATAACATTAAAACTCGGCAAGTGTTATTAGAGTTAAAACAAAAATCAAATTCAATCAAAATACATACGGCCGGAAAATTATTGTTCAACATATTTGCTTAAAGAACTTAAAATAATGTTTATAATTATATCTATCTTAAATCTTGCTTAAAGAACTAAAAATAACGTTTATAATTATATCTATCATTGTGCCTTCATATAAATAACACAGGCCGGCATATGTAAGAACCAAGAACCAGAATATACTTTTCCAAAGGTATTTGATGCGCCGAATTCGAAACCGGCCTATGTATTGAACTGACAATACTTCAAATGTCCAAACGTACTTTTTGAACTTTTAGGTTAACAAAAGTGTCTCAAAAAGCAGACGGTTCTATATAAAGAGCGGTTTATATAGAGAGCGTCTGAGGTCGGATTCGAGGCTAGACCATCAAAATTTGAAATACCTTCATAAAAGTATATGCAAGTTGTTGGCTTTGAAATTTGTTTAAACTATGTCCTGTGTAACTTATATTTAAAATCAAAGAAATAGTCAAAATTTTCTATGGCATCATATTCCATAATCCACCAATAGAGCCGTATTCAGCGTAGAGGAGAAGAGTCATACCGGCCATATGAAGGCGGTTAAGCAAAGCGTATTGGATGGCACGAGCAAATGGTCTGCCAAGATAGCAATCACAGGTTTGAAAATAAAAAGATAACTACGAAACTCTTTTAAATTAAGTAACAAACTAATCGTCGTGCTTTTCTGTTCTCGGTTTAAAAGTAAATGTGTATGTGAATGTATATTTGCAATTTGAATGACGACACATGGCTGTATTACTTATTAATCTATTAGGAATATATGTGTGATTAAATGTATTTGGATGTTAATTAATTAAATACAAACCGATATGATATGTGCTATGCATGTATGTGACAATGAAATTCACATATACATACATATATGTTTTTCAAAAGCTTTACAATTTAATATCATAACGTAACTGATACAGCATGATAACAGTCTTAGGTTTGGCCTCGTCGGTTCTATTTTATATGTGAGTTTCATTTTAAGATTTACATATATATAAAATACGAAAATACAACAACACAAAATATGTAGGAAATGATGAGGTAGTGGAGAAATGCTAGATCGTCGGGGAATCAATCATTTATTTAGATTTTTTAGAAATACACCTAAAAAATGAAAAAATTATTAAAATACATGTATACACATATATATATATTTATATATATATATATAATCAAATTTAATTTAAGGATGACATTCGGTGTGGATCCCGACACACACATAGATTCATTAGAACAGGCTGAGCACGCAACTGTTGAGGGAACATCTAAATGGTCATGCAAACTAACAATCACAGGTACACACAAATACTAAAAGTCCTAGAACCCTTTCTTTTATTTAAAATTAATTTATTACAATTTTTGTTTATGATTTTGTTATTTGTTAGCTTCCCCAATTGTAATTCTGAAACATTAGATATCCCGAATACTGTTCTTCGCAGGATGACTTAATCAGTAGCTTTACCACACTTTTTTACTTTTATATGTATATGTGTATAAAATACATATATTTCTGTAAAGTTTTCAAGAATCTTATTTCACATACCTACACTTAACACTATTGCTTGTTATTATAGTTAGAATATGTGTATTTCTATTTGTACATTCATATATATATTTCTAAAGGTTAAGAACCCTTAAATAATTCGTTTATTTAGAGAAACAAATATAACCGGGTTTTAATTGTACTTAGTTTTGTGTATTTTAATTTAATCAAAAATATCATCTAATAAATACTATCTCCCCACGCAATCCATTCGAGTAAAACAGAGCTCCAACTCCATCCACCATCCGATAAGAGCTGTGGCTTATCCAAAACAAAGACTAAGATGGTTTATATGACTTCTGCTTAACCAAAATGCATAAGTTTGACAGTTTATGAATAGATAAACCCCACATTGCTGCAGACTCTGTTGGCATTATATTTAATAATATTAGATGACGAGAAATTGGAAATACTCGAATGATTTTACTTAAACAAAACCAAATGACCCAAAAGCAAAATAAAGCCAAATAGTAACATTCGAGAAATTTGGGGTCACAAAAATACCGGAAAACACCGACGAATGTGCACACTTTTCAATTTGGCGCCTTTCAGATTTCAATTGTTGCTTGACATTTTGTAATCAAATTTACACCGACAAGCAAAATTCAGAGATGCACCGAAAAACTACCGCATAACTATCGGCAAAACAAGTCCCGCGAATTCAGATGGACCACGGATGGAGTACAAAATTATATATTTTGAAACCACCCGTGCATCGGATGGAGGATGGGAGATGGATCTCTTTGGAAAGACCCTATGACATTAAATCTTACTTCTATTTTTAAACGTTTACAACGAATTCGAAATAAGTTGTCCTTCTTACGTATCTTTATTAAATTGCTTTTAAAGTATTTTCGTTTACTTTAAATCTTTAGTCTCTATATGTGTACATATGTCATAGGGGATTCTACGGACTTTTCAAATTATTCGGTTTAATTATTCGTTATGGGGTCAGTAATTATGGTCGTTGTAAAGCGGATTTTTTCTGTTGGTTTTAATGATATTAAATGGATTATTAGTTAAATAAATGTATAGTAATATTTGTATTTACACCTATTTTGTAAAACTTCCCTTTGAATTAAATAGGAAAATATTAATTGTTTTATATCAATTGATTTCCTTAATAATTCAATTTAATTAATCATTTTTTTATATTTATTTTACTAAATTGTAAAAATATTGTACATAAAGTTGTTGTCATAGTAAACAGTCAATTTTTTAATTATACCTAAAGTTTTGTTAACAGACTGTATGTATTTTTATCGAATATAAACTATGACTACTAATACTTTTATTCTTTTCCCCGTTACAAAAAATGCGTAAATTGTTCAGAACTGAATAAGTGTTTTTCCGTTTTTAAACACTGGTACATTTCCACAAAAACACTTACCGTTGTGTCACACCTGCATCTCTCTTTCTTACTGACGCAATAATCATGTGTACATATCTGTATACACTTATATATTTAAATGTTATTTGTATGTATGTATATGCATACATATATGTACATATGATGTATGATAATGTCAGGCAGCACTGCACTGTTTTTTTTTGCGCTGAAACCTGATATTGTGTAAAGATCCAAGTATTTAAAAGACATCCGTTTTTTCTCTTCTTCTTTCTCCCTTGAAAATCAATTCTAAACACTGAAAAAAAAAAAATTGAAAAAAAAAACATAAATAACAAAATAAAAAAATATTACAACGAACCTTATTCGTTTCAAACTCCACAAAACCTATAAATAAAATTAAATAAACATTAAAACAATTACAAAATTATCTTAAAATACTTACGAATCATTCTTAACAATCGGTTTTTGGCAAACACGCATAAATTGGTGCTTTTTCGGATGGATTATGGTGTTGGAAACGAAATAAAATTGATCAACTTTTGATGTACTCTAATTGACGTGATTTAAATACAGTGATTTGTGCTCAAGGCCTGATAGCGAAGGATAAAAGCGGTACCAGTGATCCATATGTGACGGTGCAGGTTAGCAAGGTGAAAAAAAGAACGCGAACTATGCCGCAGGAACTAAATCCTGTGTGGAACGAGAAGTTTCACTTGTGAGTACTCGACATGTCCCAAAAAACAATCAATCCTCCTGTTCAGTTCTATAACCGCCCAACCACACAGTATTAATCTCGTTAATGATTTATTTAATTTTTTTTGTTCAATACACACTTCGAGGAGCAGAAAAAGCGTGAACACAATAACATAAAGATGACCTACAGTATGATCTATTTACCTATTGAAATTTATATGATTATACATCTATGTATGTGCATATAACATATATACATAAATGTGTAAATTCTTTTTAAAGTATAGTTTTTTTATCGACTTCATTTGTATACCGTTGCAGAATATTATAATATACATAGGTAGAAAGTTTAAAACGCAAATTCAACTCTATTTAGTAGATCAATATATATTTTTGATCGGATCCGTTTCTACGCAAACTAGTCTCTCAGATTTTGAGCTTTCTGAATAGAGCTTTGTTAGTATTTCTTTTTATTCTGATTAGTATTGTTATAACATATGTATGTATGTTTATCTGCCATAGGAAAATCAGAAAATGATTTATTTTAAGATGTGATAATTTGGGGTGGTTTCGGAATTTCAGGATTTAATTTTAATAACCGTAAATGTAAGAGATAACGAAAATGTTTTAAATTTGATCACAATAGAATAATAATAGATAAAAGGTGCGATCGGTCGAAAGCTACGAAAGTTAAACGAGTTTACATAAGCATTATGTCGCTCCTGTTCGTTTTTTTTTTTTAATTTGACCTAAATGGATCAATATTCCATGATCCAATCATAAACTGCAAGGGTATACAAACTTCCCTCTTCGTTTTTTTACTCAAAAAATTAAATTAAAATTTGGTAACATTTAAAGAAGTCAAGAAAACTTACAGCACCCCACTGAATTAAATTGTGTAAATGGTAATAATTTTTCGTATCAAGTGTTATATTATAAAATCTTTCAAACTTTTTTAATAGTGAACAACAAATTCTTAAATCTCGTCTGACGTATTCATTTTTATTTCTCAAGCAAGAATCTTTTCTCTTTCGGTGTTCAGCCAACTGTTTTGAAAGCAAAACTTGTTCTCAAACGGCACATATGCTTTAGTGCTTTGAATCATACTGAGAATATTTGCCCCAAAACACATATATATGTACTTGTTTTCAATTATTGTAAAATCTGATTTAAAATGATCCTACTTAATTGTGGTTGACTGTATACGCAGCGAATGCCATAACTCCTCCGATCGCATTAAAGTGCGTGTTTGGGACGAAGACAACGATCTTAAGTCGAAGCTTCGTCAGAAATTAACTCGCGAATCGGATGATTTTTTGGGTCAAACTATAATAGAAGTGCGGACGTTATCTGGCGAAATGGATGTATGGTATAATCTGGAAAAGCGTACTGATAAATCTGCGGTATCCGGGGCGATTCGACTTCACATATCGGTGGAAATCAAGGGGGAAGAAAAGGTTGCTCCGTATCATGTTCAATATACCTGCCTGCATGAGAACCTCTTTCATTATCTTTGTGAGGAAAACACGGGAATGGTGAGTTCGAACATGCAGTATAAAAAAACATGAGCAGTTTTTCACCATTAATGATTCAAGGTCAAGTTGCCGACGCAAAAAGGAGACGAAGCATGGAAACTATATTTTGATGAAATTCCCGAAGAGATCGTAGACGAGTTTTCGATGCGGTACGGCATCGAAAATATCTATCAGGCAATGACGCATTTCCATTGTCTTTCGGCGAAATATCTATGTCCCGGAGTTCCGGCTGTGATGAGCACTTTGTTGGCCAACATAAATGCATATTATGCTCACACGACTGCCTCTTCAGCTGTTTCTGCTAGTGATCGATTTGCAGCAAGCAATTTTGGGGTAATACTTCAAACAGATTACAGGTGGAAAAACGTCGACGAAAATGATGCATTATAATGAGGTTTTTGAAACTTGGGGCGAGAATCCAACTTAAACCCACAATATGTACTAGAGATTGTAGACAATATCAGTATGTGCCTACTTTACTTTACGTATTGCATTTAACGTTAAACGTTAAGGTTATTTAATTTAAAATTCGATGTTAAAATTCACGAAATTCGCGATATTTAATTGAGCCGTATGTCAAATGCAATATATAATCCATATATTATATATCATATCTGACTTTACCTCTCTATTTACTTTCATTTCAATTTTTACATGTTTAACATTCAAAAACTGTGATGTTTTTCCCTCTTTAATAAGATCTGTTGAAATAAAATATAACGGACGAAAGCGGAAAATATACCGATATTTACTACTCTATATATTTTATATTTTCTAAATATATCGTTATTTTTATAGAAGGAGAAATTTGTCAAGTTATTGGATCAATTGCACAATTCTCTTCGCATCGACTTATCTATGTACAGAAATAACTTTCCCGCATCAAGTCCTGAAAAATTAATGGACCTCAAGTCTACAGTTGATTTACTGACCAGTATTACATTCTTCCGCATGAAGGTAAGCTAATCAATTTTAATTATAGCTAGTATTTAAAATATATAAAATAACATTTTAGGTACAAGAATTATCCAGCCCGCCAAGAGCCAGTACAGTGGTAAAAGACTGTGTCAAAGCCTGCTTAAGGTCTACATATCAATTTCTATTTGAGAACTGCTATGAGTTGTACAACAGAGAGTTTCAGGTAAGACCTAGTGCTCTTATAGTGCAATTCCACCACTACACCTATTCACATTCTCGGGTACGATGCATATTTCAAACCTTTTGCATTACCACCTGCAAATCGAAACAAATCGACTTTCAGGTGATCATTTTTACGCACGTGCAGGGGTATTATAATTTTAGTCAAGAGTTTTCAACTCAGTAAAGGAGTCATTTCTGACAACATAAAGTATATACATAAATATATTCTTGATCAGAAAGGCAGCTAACTTCGGCACTCCGACTGCAATTCGATCAGTAATATAATACAACAGTGATGCCAACTTTCGTAACATTCACCTTACAGTTTTACAGTTCTAAAAACTTTACATTCACAGCATATTTTATATTTAACGTGCTTCTATGGCAGCTACATAATATAGTAGTACGATTTTCATCCCATTTAATACTGAAATGTGAGAATAATATTTAATGGCTATTTCTGGAATTTGATAAAAATATGAAAGCTGAAAAAGTTTTGATTATTAATCGTATTAATTTCTTGATCGTTCCTATTGCAGCTATATGATATAGTGGTCCGATTTTCATAAAATTTATATTGAAATTCTATAATAATACAAAATGGCTATATCTCAAATTTCACAAAAATGTGATGAGAACTAGAAAAGTAGGTTTTTTTCTTAAAATATTTTGATCATTCCTATGGCAGCTATATGATTTAGTCGTCCGATCTAGCTCATATACAAATGACAGTAGAATAGTAGTATTAGAGTATATTAGAATAGAAAATTAACTGCAAAGTTTCATTCAGATAGCTTTAAAACTGAATAGTTTGCGTAGAAACGGACTGACGGATTGACGGGCATTGTAACTAGACTCGGCTTTTGATGCTGATCAAGAATATATATACTCTATATGGTCGCAGATGACTCCTTTACTGCGTTTCAAAGTTCCGACTGAAATTATTATACCCTGCAGAGTGAAAGCAAACCCCTCAAGAGAACGAGCCTGGGGCCGATATGAAGTTTCCCAGAGTTTATATTGATTTATTGATTGCAATTTTCTTGGAAATCAGGACCCAACCCTGCGAGCTCTGCTAATGAGAAAGATTATTATATTTTGCCAAAAGAAATATTTTTTTTTAATGTGCACTAAAAAGCATAAAAAAATAACGGTAAAAGTGCGTGATTACTATCTAATTAGCTGTGAACGGCTGTACATATAACAAAAATCAACAATGTAAGCGATGTACATACCAACCTTTCAAACCAGTTCACATTCGCTTCGCTTTTCAAAAAGCAGCAGAAGATGTATTTCGATATATCGTATAAGTGGGCAAAAATCTAATAGTCGATAATATATACGATCCTTTAGTATTTAGATAAAATTATCGCTGTCTAACAAAAATTGTTTAATGGTTTTATGACACTCTAATGCAGTTTTCATTTCAGCGGCTTTATTTGAACCTAAAAAGGGAATCTATATATAATATTTTGTTCCTTTTCTTCGAATGCGATTATAGTCACACCGATTTAAAGGGGTAAAGCTTAGTACTAACATAAGTAATAACAACTTTCTAATTTGTCGCTTTCTCGGGTACTAAGGTAATCAAAAGGTTGCGATGGCGCAAGATAAGGTTTGAACTAAAGAATATATAATATGAGATTTGACACACGAAAAGAATTTTAATTGGAAAATTAGCGCTTTCCGTTTCTTGGCTTCAGTATTCACCTTATGTTAGTTCTAAACTCCAATATTCAATTCTTTATACATGTATATATAAATTTTCTTGTCGAAATACTTTTATATTAATTTATGTGGAAGCCCTTAAATTAACTGCTTAACCTATCATATATATCTACCTATGTATATTGTGCATTGACTACTAGGTCGTCAAAGTTCTACTTTCTTGCAGGCTTATGTATCGCAAGTTATGTATTTTTGTTTTCGGCTCGAAGTTTTAAAATCTGTGTTTTAGCTTTAAGGCGAAAGGTCGGTTCGTGTGTCCTTAAATACTAATTACTTGCTAATTAAGTCATGGGATTTTTGATCATATTTGGTTCTGCGTTGACTCTTTTTACCCGTCCATTTACACGTGGTAAACCTGTCGTCGATTTTCCTTTGAACCCCTGTATTTTCTTTTTCACAAAATAGTAGAAAATCTTAACAAGTAAATGCTGATCATCTGTCTGAATTATTACGAACAGGGTTGCCAAACACGCTGCTTTGTTATTTTCGTTATGAGTTCATTGGCGGTAGTTGACATTGTAGTGTAAAGTGGTCAGAACTTTCTAAATGCATCTACAACAGCTAGAATGTGCTTATGATTTTTATTGCCTAGGAAATCAATATGGTACGAGCGCAACGGAAAGTCTTCTCATCGAAGTGGATGAAGTAAGCCCTCATGCTTGTCTTTCTTGCGATTACTTAAAATGCACGGAATGCAGCAGTCGATGTGTCTCTGAATATTTTCCTAATATGTATTTCTTATATTATTTGGACCTTGATGCACTACGGTCAGTACACTCAAATGTTTGGGTTAGGTGTTAGTAGACGCAATGAAAAATATAGGACAGAATATGAGGAAATTGACTACCGGCGTGTTGCCAGATTGTTTGCTTGCCTGTTTACTGTGTTAGTAATAAAGTTTTTAACTTAGGAAGACTATCTACGTTAGAAATTAGTGTGTACAAATCATTATAATTTGCACAGAATACTTTAAAAGGTTCATTCTAATCAAAGGAGCTTCTACAGTGGCGCAACACTAAAGGTATATACGATCTAGTATTTGTACTGGGTACATGGAAATTGAGCTGACTCAACAAGACAGCACTTTCCACATCACCATGTATAAAGTTATAAACAAAGGTTATTCCTAGCATCGTTCTACGATTGGCTAAGGACGGTAAGTTTATTAAGAGGAGTCTTTTAGAATAGGAAGGTGATCTTTAATTTGCATCCCAATTTAAACCGCGTAGAGCGAAAAGTAAAGTAAAGTTCTTTTGAACCGATTCGAAATTCTTTGTTATCTTCGGGGCCTTTTTTGATTAGGTCGTCGACCACTAGATTCCATAGGAGGGGCGATAGGACTGGGCGCTCCTTTGACCATGGAAGCAGTGCCCCAATCTGATTATACCCTTCGGCAACTTTGTAGTTTTCCAGCACCTTTTCTAGCGTCTTGAGTAGAAAGGAGTTGAGGCTTATCGGCCTGTAGTCCTTGGGACTGACGTGACTGCTCTTTCCTGGCTTAGGCAGGGACAATCCTTGACGTCCTCCATTGGGTTGGGATATAGCCCGTACTTAGACAAGCTGTGTATATTGCGTATAGCCATAGAGTGCTGACTTTTTTGGTCGCCTGCAGCATGGCTGGAAATATTCCATCTAGTCCTGGCGCTTTATCCCCGCGAAGGAGTCTATAGCCCAGTGAATTCTTCTAGAAAATATGAGATCGTTTAGGAGATGCTCTTCTCTCGTTGCTAGTACCTGGTGCTCGTTAGCACCGGTAATCTCTCTACAACCTGGGAAGTGCGCGCCCATTAGTTGTAAGGGCCTCTTCGCTGCCCTTGGTCCACTGCCCGTCGTCATGTTTGAGCTGACTCTGAATGGTGGGTTGCCTTGAAATCAAAATCCGGAATCTAGCCGTTTCTGGGACCGTCTCTATGTTGTAGCAGAAGTTTGTCCAAGAGCTTCTTTGTGCCCTGCGTATTACCTTCTTGTAATCCCTTAACAAGATTTTGTATTCCTTAGCCTGCTTGGCGATTTTGAACAATTTTTGGGGGTAGGAGCGAAAGGTCTCTAAGGTTTCCAAAGACGGTTAATTTGGAGAGTGATTGAACCGTATGTACTTACGGTTTGAGAAGGATGGTCTCTCGAGGTCTTTGCAATCTAATACCACAGTACTTTGTCCTGCTACGAGTGTTACAAATAGCGCATCTGTTCCACGTTTGATATATATAAATTGGTTGAAAGTATTAAGTCTAAAAATGACTCAACTCTGTCTTTTATATCGGGGCTCCCCCACACACTGTGGTGGTTATTGGCGTCTGCACCCACGAGCAGTTGCCGGTCCTTCGGGCTGGGTTATACCAAGCTAGCCCAAATTTGAAAGTGTCCACAAACTGGTTAATTTTACGAGGAGCCACCCACTCGCGTTTTATGCCTGCCACCAGGCACCTTCAGCCATTGCTAATGATTCATTTCCTCCAACTTTAAGGCGGGAGGAATTGAATCAAAGCCTTAGCTTGACACTGAATTACCCGGAAAGCCCATTCGGCAGTGCATTACCCGTTGTGCCGGATAAGACAGTGCCCATTGCCCAGCCGGCGCCGTCGTGGAGGGTTCAGCTGGAGTGTTTTCGCCAGGCAAAAACTAAACTAAAGAAACATTTATAACATTTTTAAACTACTATTACTATTGATATTATCAATGTTTTCTTTTTTTATTCGATACTACGAAAACAAAGTATTTTGATGCCCTTGCAGGATATTATAATTATAATTTAATTTTTAAACAGTGCCTTCACTAATGTTTTCCGACCATATAAAGTATATATTCTTAATGAGCATCAGTCGATCTAGCCATGTCCGTCTGTCCATCAATTTCTACGCAAACTAGTCTCTTAGTTTTAAAGGTATCTGAATGAAACATTGCAGTTACTCTCTATATACTCTCACTCGCATATAAACGGGACGGATCGGACAACTTTATCATATAGTTGCCTTAGAGAAGATCGGAAGATTTTTAGATAACTTTTCTTGCTTTCAAAAATTTTGACATATAGTAATTTATATTATTCTAGAATTTCGGTTTTGATTTTATGGAAAATCGAGAGACTATATCATATAGCTGCCATAAAAACTATCGTTAAATGTTGAGAAAAATGCCAAACTGTGTTCGTGAAACTGTAATTGTAAAAGTGTAATTATAATAAGTATATTTAATAGGAATTATTATTTTTTAACATAAATATATTTCATTTATATTGTATCAATTCCTAGTGATCGAATTTCATTCTGCAAGGGTATACGAACTTCGGCATGCCGGTGTTTTCTTTCTTTTTTGTTTTTTTGGTATATGTATGGTGATTTTATTGATAGCACTCCCGATGATAGAGAAAACCACTGTTGCGAACATTGCCGATGGTTTTACAACTCTCCAGAATAAGTAAATATTAATTTGTATGTTTTTGACTTTTCATTTTACAACGACCAACAGGTTGATCCTAACGAAGCAAAGCGTGCTCCGGATGATCATGAGCCTAAACTGGATAGCGTCGACTTCTGGCACAAGTTAATAGCTCTGATCGTGTCGGTCATTGACGAAGACAAGAACAGTTATGGCACTGTCTTAAATCAATTTCCGCAAGAACTTAATATTGGCCAGGTGAGTTTTTGCCTTGCTTACATTTCGTTTAAATTTAAACGATATATGGGAAATGTAAAAGGTATATGTATTAAGTCACTTTAATAAAAAAGAAACCTATCTAAATAGTAACGTATGACACTAGGTTAGACTATAATTTATTAAATACGCTTCTTATCCCTCAATAACAATAGTTATCAGCATCTTCAATGTGGCATCTCTTTGCCGTGGACATGAAGTATGCCTTAGAGGAGCACGAACAACATCGCTTGTGCAAATCGTCGGCCTATATGAATTTGCATTTCCGGGTAAAATGGCTCTACAGTAACTATGTTAAAGAGGTGCCACCCTATAAGGGGGCTGTACCTGACTATCCCGCCTGGTTCGAGCCATTTGTAATGCAATGGCTTAATGAGAACGACGATGTATCATTGGAATATCTTCATGGCGCTTTCAAGCGAGACAAAAAAGACGGGGTGAGACAGTTTTCAAATTAAGTATTTAGGTTATACAACTGTATTTTAAATTCATAAATTTCTTCTCTGTATTTGCAGTTTCAAAAGAGCAGCGAACACGCGCTTTTTTCAAATTCGGTTGTCGACGTTTTCACACAATTGACGCAATGTTTCGATGTTGTTAGCAAACTCGAGTGTCCTGATCCAGAAATATGGAAACGTTACATGAGGCGTTTTGCTAAAACAATCGTAAAAGTGCTAATTGCATATGCGGATATTGTTAAAGTAGAGTTTCCCGATCATATGAAAGATGAAAGAATCGTGAGTACAATATAAAAGCTAACGTCCAAGTTTATAAATTCATTTATTTATATATTTATATACTTATTTATTTATATATATAAACATATATACATATATGTGTTTATTTACCTTGTGAATACCTAGGCCTGCATTCTTATGAACAATATTCAACAACTAAGAGTGCAGTTGGAGAAAATGTTCGAGTCCATGGGTGGCGATAAGCTTGAAGAGGACGCAGCTAACATTCTGAAAGAATTGCAACAGAATCTAAACTCGGCACTGGATGATTTGGCTTCACAATTCGCCATCAGGTAGGGCTAAACCAAGATCAGTGCTCGTAAATAACAAAAAAACAAAATTGCTTTGTTTCTACGAAGGAAACCTGAAGAGCACATACCAACTATGTGCACATCTGAGAACCATTTGAAAAAAACAACTCAAAACATATATACATATTTAATTTTATTGTATGAACTTTCTAGTTTGGAGCCCCGCATTACGCAATCTGTTCGTGAACTTGGGGATATGTTACTCTCTATCAAGGGAGGCAGTGCCTTGGCCCCCGGCAACCAAGCGGCACAACGAAACGCCGTCGCCGTGGAGGCCGATGAGGTGTTAAGGCCACTTATGGATTTACTGGACGGCTCTCTAACTCTCTATGCACAATCGTGTGAGAAAACCGTACTGAAGCGATTACTGAAGGAACTATGGAAGATTGTGATGCGAATATTGGAGAAGACCATTGTCCTGCCACCGATGACTGATAAAACGGTTACTATTTTATTTCGTTTTGTTACTATTACAACAATATCATACCCTTGTGAAGGGTATTACGATTTAAGTCAGAACCCAGGGGAGAGACGTATGCGACCCGTTTCAATCTAACCATGTCTTTCTGTTATGTCCGCTTCCACGCAAACTAGTCTCTCTGTTTAAGAGCTGTTTGGATAAAACATTCAGGTTGACTTCACTCAATGGCACGTAACATATTTCCATATTTCGATATTTAACATTTCTCCATATTTTACATATTTCCATATTCTCAGAGATGTGGCAAATTTTAATGAGTGCTGAGTTACAGAATTTCCCACATAGTATAGAGAGAGAAAGAAAAATAACAAATGCTCGTCAACATGTATCCCATAAAAAAATCAGTTACGGAGCGTAATTGTTATAAAAGCAAGGGTGTACGAAACTTGGTTACTACAATGTTTTTATTAAACTATTTACTTAGATGATGTTTAAGCACCTCACGGACAATGCAAAGAATCTGGCATCTAATGCCAAAATCGAGGACATGGGCAGATTGTTCAAGTCTCATATGGCGGGTAAACAGGACGTTAAAAGTGCGCTTAGCGGTGTTATGGACATATCAAAAGAAGTGGAAAAAAACTTATCGCCAAAACAGTGTGCCGTGCTAGACGTTGCCTTAGATACAATTAAACAATACTTTCACGCCGGTGGCAATGGACTGAAAAAGACATTTCTTGAAAAATCATCCGAACTGCAGAGTCTGCGTTACGCACTCAGCTTATACACGCAGATGACAGATACTTTGATAAAGACGTTTATATCCAGTCAAGTTCATGAGGGTAAGTACAAATATACACTACTCTTTAAATTAAGAACAAACAGTATTTTTAATCACAACACTAGGCCAATGTTAGAAATACTGATTTTGAGAACGATTTTTTAGAATCTAAAATTTAGGAACCCCATACATTTTAGCACGTCGATATGCATTAGCGACGAGCTGTCATGTCTTCTCCTTAGGTCCTCCGCGTAAAAATTATAAATTAAGATAGTTAATAGTTTAGAATATCGGTTACGATTGCTTGCAGGGCTCCTTTGCCTAGGTCTGGAAATTCACAGACAAGGAAAGGGATTCACTTATCGAAAGACCTGGTGAGGACCGCTGTGTGAAGATAAATTTCCATCTAGTGGGACGAATCCAATATAAATATATATGTTAATGATGTCAAAAGAATATTTGTTGACCGAAAGGAACAATTGTTGATCCCAGGACACATGAACTACTGTGAAATTTGGTGGTGGTGGCCTCCTCTTTTGGGGCTGAATTTCAAGGCAAGATGTTGGTCCGGAAGATTGTGTTGACGGAATAATGCAATTTACGGAACCCCAGTAAAAATGTATATGGTGAACTCAAAACAGAGGTAGGAAAGACTTTCGGTAAAAGTAAAAATCCACTTTCGGATATTGTCAAAAAACATGGTAGAACGTTCCATATGAAAATGTCGGTCCTCCAAGCCAAGAATAAAGATGAAAGTCCTGAAATATAATGCCGGGTATTCCAGAAATAAACTGTCAAATATTCAATTTAATACGGGCTTAAACTAGTGAAATATCAACTCAATTGAAATAAACAGTAAAATGTTTGATTTCTTCTTGTATTTTTTTTGTATTCCTATCTATCGAGAACATCTCCTTTACTAAATTTTTTGGACGTTGAACAATATGTATGCATGTGCAAATTAAGATTATTAAGCCATTAAGTAGTTCTAAGCATATATTACTTAAATAATTTTATAGGACAATTAATATATTACAAAAAAATGGATTTCTTGAGATTAATGAATACTTAAATTAAAAATAATAAGCTAATATTAACGCACAAAACAAAAAAATTGATTCGTGGAGATTCATGAAAAATTAAATTAAAAATTAAACACATCATTATTTATTACACAAGGAAATCATGATCAACGCATTTACTATACCTCTTCTTCGCTCCTCTATTTCGTATAGCTCTTAATTCTTTTTAAATAATTTCAACACGGAGGATTATTCTCACAGTATTTATTTTCATGTTTATTCTGATACAGTTGATCCTGAAAACGCCGAGGAGAGTGTTGGCGAAATTTCCGTTCAAATCGACCTATTCTCGCATCCAGGCACCGGGGAGCACAAAGTGAACGTTAAAGGTCAGTTCAGGGCACACCAACAGTTAAGGGAGCTGTCAAAATATTAACTTTTCGCAATTTTTCAAGTGGTGGCTGCCAACGATCTGAAGTGGCAGATACCGTCGGGGATGTTCAGGCCATTTGTGGAAATAAACCTCATTGGGCCGCATCTGCAGGAGAAGAAGAGGAAGTTCGCCACCAAATCGAAGTCAAACAATTGGTCGCCCAAGTACAACGAGTCATTCAGCTTGTAATTATTATTATTTACTTATAAAATTGTAATTTAGGCATCATAAATAAAACTATTTGATTTACTTTCAGCACCATTGGCAACGAGGAGCAGTTAGATTTCTTTGAGTTGCACATATGTGTGAAGGACTACTGCTTTGCTCGCGATGATCGACTTGTAGGGGTTGCTGTTATTCCCCTTAAAGATATTTCGGAAAAGGTATGTAAAAATACGGAAATAACCCCATCAATTACTTTGTAATTCTTCACCAAAACAGGGTTCTGTGGCCTGCTGGTTGCCCTTGATGCGACGCATTGAAATGGATGAAACGGGCTGGACTATTTTGAGAATATTGTCACAACGTAATAACGACGAAGTCGCGAAAGAATTCGTTAAACTCAAATCGGAAATACGACAAGAGCCAACAATGGGGACATAAATAGTCCGTCTGGATTGCTCTTTTTCTGTAAACCTCGGAATCATTCCTTTTTTTATAGTTGCTTTTTAATTTTAGTTTTCATTTAATATTCTGATTACAAAAACTAACCTAGCTAAATCCAATTGTATGCATACACATATGTACAACCATAACACACCAATTTATATACTTCCACAACAATTTTGGGACCAGAGCTGGCGAAACATCAATAATACTCTCCATAACAGCGATGCTGTGGTTTTGGTCACTTTAATACCAAAGCAGAAAATATATATTTCTACATAAATATTTTTCTTTAAGACTCGATATATTTGATTGTTTCCCCCCCCCCAAATAAATTACTCTTTCTCCTTAAATAAGTTGTGAATCAATTTTTCTTTTAAATCTTTTTTTACTTTTACAATAAATCGATGCGGTTCCATTTCATTATAAATAAATACATATTTATGTTTAAGTTAAAATACCAATAACGTATGATTAATTCTTTGTTACTTGCAATGTTAAGTTAGTTTATTTATCTAGTATGTATATGGAAACGACCAGAAATGTTGCGGATATTGATGTTTTGAAAGCCCTTTCTAAGTTGTTATAATACAGAAAATATTGTCAGCGATGGTGCTTGAAACCTGAATAAAATTGAAACATATTTTGATCACTCATATATTTGCAAAATACAAAAATAAATATAAAATGACATATTAAAATATTAAATACAAGAGTGATTCATCCGTTTAAATTCGTACATTTGTACATAACATAAATAAATATAATAATAAAATAATTACATTTAATTTAAAATAAAAACCATGTTCATCTGTATATTCTAAGCGACACCTACATTGCACACATTCCTATTTATGTAAATAAAGTACCTGTATAAATTAATAAATATAAATTATATAATTCGTCAACATTTGTTAAAGATAATAAGTTTATCTTGTTATTATTGTGAAATCTCTGAAATCTTTCTTTCTCTTGCGATAAATATATAGCAGGCTAAGCTTTGAAAATAAATAATACACATACAACGTTTTCGTGTCTTTGTTTCTTTAATTTTTATTTCTGATCACGGCCGCCTCAAAAAATGTCCCCCATTTCCTCCACGACTCGCGGCAGATTGGTTCATCAGAAATAAAAAATATCGTTTAAATCTGCGAATGAAGTATTATCAAATTAATATACAAAAAAATTGATTTGATAATACTAAATTCATTTCACAGCGTACCACGCCCACCCATAGGTTTTTTTCTAGGAACACAATTTTTTAATTTAATTTAATTTTTTAATTTAGAGGTACTTTTCTATTGTTTTGACTAATAATTACCAAAAAAAAGACCTATTCAGGGAAATGCTCCAGAGACGCAATAGATAGACGCTTTAGTTGTCCCTGGGTTATTTTGCTTGATATTTTGGTATATTGTACCCCAAATTGTTTTTATTTTAAGTTTGGATGTTATAAATTTGGTATTTGTTATAATATTATCTGAAGGTCAAGCAATTAAAAAAATTTGTTTTTGTTTTTGTTGCAAAGAACTTTTTTACATATTCTAAAAATAATGCTAAATTTATTCGGCAGATTCGGAATCCTTGGAAATTTACTATCGAATAGGTTTGTTTTAATCTGTTTAAAAAAGTTTAACAGTTTTACAATCTAATGCGATTAGTCCGTCGATATTATTCTAAATTCTATATTCATTAGCTTGTCCGGTTCGACTAGAAAGACCTTTTCTCGGTGTTTTTACTTATGTACATATATACTAATGAAAATGGAAGAAGACTAACTAATTTAAATACATACGTAAGAAACTAAGGTAGCGGCCCGACGAACATGGCTAAATCGACTCGGCTGTTGGTGGGTTCAAAATACATATATTAAATTTATGGTGTCGGAAATGATTCACTGATTCATGTTTTTTATTTATGTTAAATTTTAAAGAATATAACTAAAGCTATATCTATACATATAAAAGAAAGTCGTGTCTGTTACACCACTTGTAACTCAAGAACGGCAGAACAGATTTGGGTGAAAATTGGTAGGGAGGTAGCTTAGAGCCAGGAGACGGACCTAAGATACTTTTTCCCCGTTCGACAGTTGTTAAATAATTGATGAACAATGTAGTTTACGCTACGATAATGATAGGAAAATTAAAAGGTGAGGAGTTCTTATTCCGACGATCGCGATGATCCCAACCGATATGCCGTTTGAATTTAAAAGACTTCAATCAATCACACGGCCAATCCTTAAAAGTTTGTGGTTTAAATCTAGAACCTTCATGTTTTCCCCATGGTCAAGACCAGCTCCATTGCCTGCTTTTGCGCCTGATAATAAAAAACAAATAATGTCGTGTATCACAAGGTACTAAAGTGAAGAGCCACCTATGTACTAGAATACAGAAATAATAATGAATGATTAATGTACGTATTTAATTTTGTTTCTTTCCAATAATAAAAACAATCTCCATATTTAGTGCCATTAAGGCGGAACAAAGTTCGCGGAGTCAGCGGCAGTAGTATATAAATATAATGGTTTAGTATAGGTAACAAATAATTCCAACTCTTAAACTGCCGTAGTAATTAAACAGTCCACTATTTAAATTAGTTTTTATTTATTTTTGTAAATGCTTATAAAGGTTCACAAAGTTCCAACTTTTTTGTGCGAAGACTAAACGTGGCTGATTTGAATAGTAACTAATCTGCGCATTCCCAATTCAAAGACAAAACGTTTCCATAACGTCAAATTTGAAGAAAATTGCTCTGGTATACACACGGTTAGCGTTTAATTAGGCTTTAAAAAGTGTTATTTTTGAGAGAGAATTTTTAAAATTGGTACGTGCTGGAAATTTTTTGTTTTCGCATTAGAAATATAAAAACAACTTATAAATATTTACTATAAATATAATTTTTGTTGCCAGTTTATTTGTTATCTACATGAAATACAATTTTATTCAAATGTATAAATAAAAATATAAGTATGTACTCCCACCAAGAATCGAGAATTAATTAATTAAAATAATTATAGTGAACGCCGGCGGTAGCCGGCGTACTGCTCATATTGCTCGGAACATACGTGGTTCCGGCAGAGCATTTCAGACAATTCCTTTTCCTAGGCCTATGCTTCGACTTCGATCCATGGCAGTGAATGGCGAACCTCAGCTCTTGCGCCATTTCCGAGCACAATGATTGATTTTCCGTATTCAGATTTTTTCTCGAATTCCAACAGAACTCGAAAATGGCCACGACAACTGCCAGGGCAAGGCCACAAAGAAGAACTACAAATACGCCGCCTAAAACACGGGAAAGATAAGTGTATAAAATATAACATTTTGTAAAAACGACTGAATCTCACCAATGTTTTCTACACCAAGAGCATTTGCTTTTGACTCCTTGCTCTTGTCGTCTCGGTTGCAAACATCGCCAGTATTTTTCCACCATTTGTCGTATAATATCTGAATTATACCCTTTTCCTGTAACTCCAAAATGGCAAGAGAGATTTTATCCCGCCAAGGGGAGCCTTTGGGTGTGGCAATACCATAACCCTTGGAGTCCAGCAAGCCTCCGATTTGCGTCAGATTACAATCCCGTTGTACAGCATAGTCCAACATTGTAGATTCCATCAAAAATGCATAGCTCCCTTCCATCACACGTGTTATGCCGTCTTCATAAGTCTTAACAAATACAGATGCCTTTCGATTTTCCATATAACGCCACATCTTTTGGTAAATACCAATTTTCGAGTCCTTAAAATTGACAAGCAAAAGTACCTCTTAACGTGGTGGGAATAAAGTGAAGATAGCACCTTGAAAATAACTTTGAAAATTTCTGTACAATTTGGGAAGCAATCGCTAGGTAAAACTATGCATATTCCCAGTCGGACTTTGCTTTAAACTTTAAACTATGTAGAATTTCGAACGAAACTTAAAAAGAACTAGACAATATTATCCTATTAATAGGAATATTTTATATTATAGAGAGTTGGGTACCTCTTTGGAAAAGAGAGCTTTCCATATATGTAATTTATCTTCGACACGCCGAAGTTTTTATACACTTGCAGATGGCAATTCTATCATTAATAATATAATACAATATAAATATATATATTTTGATAAAAAAAAGACACTGCGTTACAAAATGTAATATAAATAATAATACATATATAAATTATCTAAATAGAAGTAAACTGAAACCTTTTGATTTCAATATTTTATATAAAAAAAATGTTGTATTATTTAATAAAAATACAATTTTTAACTTTTGTTAAATTGCAATGGCATAAATTGCCAACATATTTTGTATTGACTTATTTGACTTATTTTTTGGGTTTATTTCATCTTTGGTATAAAATGAAATATTAATTTAAACAATATATTAATTTCACAATGGGACGCCAACACTGAAGGGTATATATTTACATAATTGCTCTGACATAATTATAAAAAACGTAACAATATATTATTATCCTGTTAAATTAAAAAGGAAACCAATTTTAAATTTGAGAAGAAAGGTAAAACTGAAAAGTTGTCCTCTGCCGGAATTTGAAATCGCTTGAGCTCGCACGATCGCCTAGCAATGTGAAATATCAAGCGAGCAACAGAAAAAAAGTACGTAATATCCCCGATACAAGAAATACCTCGCAAATTCATCCCAATTTATCCTGAAGCAATTGTCAAAAGTCCAGTTCAACCGTACTTTTGTATATTTACCCTAAAAAAGGTCATTGTTGATCCGCCCTCCAGCGTTCCATAAGAAATATCCGTTTGTTCTGCCAGATCGGAAGCGCTTTCTATCGGTGATATCATCCGTTCGACGGTTAAAAAGCAGCCAAGTTGGCAGTGTATGAGGATATAATTATAAGACAAAAAAAGAACCAACAGCCACCAACAATGCGCGTTGAAGTTGCCTAAAAAGATAATGAAATGCTGTAGGCAACTTTTCATAAGGTAAAAACCATTACAACTTGTGATAGCCCAGTTTCTTTACACCCGTGAAACCATAAAATATGCTCAAACATAAACTGTTTTCTTACTAAATAAATGTAATATTGGTATAAATAAAAATGTGAATATAGTAATTCAAAATAAAATCTCAATATAATAAAATTATCGAGTGGACCAAAACACGTGGCAAAACGGTTCGTAAACCCACTAAAAACTCGATTTAAATACGAAAGCGGAGCTGAATCCCGCTAAATGTTTAAAAACGGATTCGTAAACAAAAAATTTGAAATATCCCGAGGACGTTATTAAAAAATTAAATATACAATATATACAAATGTTTCAAAAGCTTAACTATCTTTGAATATACACATATGTATACCACTCTCCTATTCAGTTAAAGTTGTTATTTAAAGTTTTCAGACACCATTACAGTTTGCTATTATTTTCTCAATCTGTTATTAAAGTGAAACAAATTTTAGTAAAAAACATCCTCAGTTTTTAATAGTTATTTTTTTTAATATAATTGCACATATACCTATTTCCATAATCCCTTGAGTATATTGATTTTATAACATTTTAAAATATTCATACCATATACATATGTATGTACATGTATGTATCTGGCTTTGGAGGGATCAATTAATTTAATTTAAATAGAAGCCCAGATTAATTAATTAATTAAATTAATTTAATTTTATTAATGCAATGCACTGCAGCAGAGAATCTACTCTGTTTGTGCCAAAGTTACTGTACGCATTATTTAAACAATAGAACTTATGAAAACAAAAATGAACACATACTTATTTTTTTATCGTTTTTGGATCTTAAAATAAAGTCGTTTGGTCCACTCGGTAAAAGTTAATTGCTTACAATAAATAGAAAGCATGCATAAAACGTTATCCAATTATATCAGATAAAAATTTAAAATTGTTATATATCTTATCAATAAATAGTTGGTTTTTATTTTATGCTTTTTAGCTTTTAGTCGCTTTTATTTTGTTAGAATATATTGTTGATCCTACCCTAGGATATAGGTCAGAACCTTGTTGCATAAGAGCGCCAATTGCAAACCAAAAACTATTCTTTAATGTAAAATTGTTTTGTATTCGGACTAGCTCCACAGTATTATCATCCGAAGCATCGTATTCATCAACATTATCATCAGCCTTTGCTTTTTGGTGATCATGAAATTTGTTATCTGAATTTAAAAATAACTCTGTACTTTCGAATATTTTTCTTTTACTCTCCGCCATTTCCATCTGTTCATCATCAAAGAAATTGGTTTCTTTTTGAATTTCTCGCAGAATATGATCACAAGCCCTGGAGCATGGGGGCTTGGAATTAACCCATTCAATGGGTGAAAGTCGAGCTACGATCCAAATGCATATCGATACAAATATGTATCCGAATGCTATATAAAACCATATGTCAATGGCAAGTGGGTTCATGAATGAGAAAAACTTGGTCTGCGCTCGATCTGAAATCTGAAATAATAATAACATAAAATGATATATAAATATTGGGGCACTGTTTTGTGATCTTGCCTCACAATATAATATGTAATCACATATCTTATGCACTAAAAAATAAACTATATACATACACACATATAAATCTAGGTAACACAACATAGGTCCAGTATTCATTGTATACCTTTGGATTAAGACCCGATCCTTGACGAAGAAACGTTCCTGTTATGAACCAGAAACTGTTCGATATGGAAAACTGATTCTCCACTATATCCGTTTCCTTGAAGCATGGATGAGGGTTTTTCCATTCGTATGGCGAAAAGCGTGCCATCACAAAGAGAGCGAAGGATACTAATATATAAGCAGCTAGCACATAAAGCCATATCTCGATTGCCAATGGGTTCATAAAGGAGAACAGTCGTGTGGGCTGACTTGTCGGCACCTATATTAAATTTTCATTCTACGATTTACTGATATTGCAATTATCTATACATTTTATCAACAGCAAAGGGAATTTCTATAGAGGAACAATTTTTTGGTTCAGAGAAAGTCTTGAGTCTTATTTTTAATAAATTACTCCTCTTAATAGGAGACTCCCTCTGCCTCTAAGACAATAAATTTATTAAATATATGCACGTTTTAGAGCCTACTTGTGACTTTATAGATGTATAGTAACTAATAAGTTTTACCTTAAATAAAATACCAATACCCAAGTTCATAAATGGTTTTGTAAAATCAATAACACTCTCCCGGGCGTAGTTGATGGTCATTGATGCCACAGCAAGGTCAGCACGCTGTCAGAAAGAAGTAAATCAATGTTACTAATATATGTATATGGTTATGATACTGTATACAAGTTTTCATTAGTTTTAGGTTTCATTCGCTACATTTTATACTATGGCAGGGTATTATAATTTTAGTCAAATAGGTGTGTATTAAAGCTTACTTCGGCACGCCGAAGTTTATATACCCTTGTAGATAGAACTTCGATGATAGGAATCAATACAATATAAATTATACATATTTATGTTAACAATGAAATAATATCTGCTTCCATTTCATTCACCTATTCATATTATATTTACAGTTTTACATTCACAGATTTGCTTTCTTCCTCTATATCTAACGATCGTTTGTATTGCACCTTTATGATATAGTAGTCCAATTTTCATAAAATTTGACACAAAATTTAAGACTAATATAAAATGGCTATATCTTAAATTTGATGAATATATGTTGAAAACTGAAAAAGCTTTAATTTTTAATTGTATTAATTTCTCGATCGTTCCTATGGGAGCTATATGATATAGTAGATATATAGTAGTTTTCATAAAATTTTACTCAACATTGTAGAATAATATAAGATGCATATACCTAAAAGTTTATCAAATTCTGTTGAAAACTGAAAATGTTATAATTTTTTCCGACATATAGACGAGTGAGAGTCTATAGAAGACTAACTACAAAGTTTTATTCAGATAGCTTTAAAACTGAGACTAGATTGCGTAGAAACGGACAGACGGACATGGCTAGATTGACTCGGCTGTTGATGCTGATCAAGAATATATATACTGGATATGGTCGGAGGTGCCGCCTTCACTGCGTTGCAAACTTCTGACTGAAATTATAAAAACATCCTTAATCAGCATCATGAGCCAAGTCGATTACTCGATTACTCGACTTGGAATTGAATCAATATACATTATATATGTATATATTCATTTTACATTTACTGTTCTGTTTTTTCTTCTATATCCAATGACCGTATGTATGACAGCTATATGATATAGTACTGATTTTAATAAAATTAAAACAGAACTTCTGGGATTATATAAAAATGCTATATCTCAAATAATATGAAAAACTGTTGAAAATAGGAAAATAGCAAAAGTGACACTTATGTGGGTTTTCTCTATTGAAAACTTTAATTAACGAATCAGTATCATAATCGGACTCTAAATACATATATTAGCAAGTACTTGCCCTTTCCATTAACTCCTGAACAATGCCATTCCAGGAATTCGTCTCTGGTATGTAAACCCCGTACATATTATCGGGAACCAATTCGATTTTATATTGAAATCCAACTTGTTGAGCGATCGCTTTCAAAAGATCAATACAAAATCCCTCAAAGCGAATATTTCCAGTTAAATTTTTATCCTCTTTAACCATTACATATGGGCGTTCCTAAAAATGGTACATTAATTTACGATTACTAATTAAATAGTATAATAAATAATTATACAAATAAATATATCTATATAAATTTGCATATAACAGTTGACCGTTATACCTCTCACAAAATAAGCCTCATTTACCTACCCTTTGGGCGAAAAGTCAGAGAAGGTCCTTTGGGTAAATACTATTTACTAAATAGGGATTGGTTCTTAAAGTCTAGTGCGAACATAAGATAAATAAGCTCTGGAATCAGTGTGACCAAAGAAATTAAAGAAAATTCATAAAAGAGTGAGACTGACACTTATTTACAGCTTTTATTCATAAACTTTATAAAATAAAATTATAAAAAAGAGCTCACGGCAAATAACTGAGTATCTTCGTAACCGACTTGTTAATAAAAATAGAGTTTAAATTCCATTTGTTAAATCCTATATCATGTCCCTCGTTTTTTCTTCCATTATTAAAAACTCTTTTTTGCTAACGACTTTCTAGTCGTTCCATCCTTGCCAAATTTCTTTCTTTAAACAAAAACCTTTTATTGTTAATAAGTGTAAGTATAAAGAAAAGTATATAATATATATAATAATTATTATCTTTTGGCTTAAAGATGGAAAAAAATGGATAACCTTGAAGAGGTCAAATTTAGAAAATGTTGCGCAATTATAAATTTTTTTTTTTTGTAATCCTGTTTTTGTCCCTCTCACACGCGATATGCACATGTGAGTATAAAGATTGAGCAACAAAATTCAATTAAATCAATAACAGTGATAACAAAATTATACTGCATAAAAATTACACAAACTCTCGAAAATATAATACTAAGTTCATATTAATAGGATTATATTCTCTAGATATTTTCCGATTTTCATTTAGCGGAATTCTACGTAGTTCGAAAGGCAAAAATTAAAATAATTGGGGGATTTTTTTTTAGTCGTCGGACTCCGTGTTAAAAAAAATATATATCGAAAGGGAAATACCTCAGCACAGAATTTTACGTTGAACGGAGCAGCGTTTGATTCAAGTTTTGAATCCCGCGCTTCCCACTTTGCTGAACTGAGGACCATGCATAAGGCCATTCCTGCTCGATATAGTTTTCTATCGTGAATCGCTCACCGCATAAAGCAAAGTCCGACTGGGAAGGCTTTTCCAAAAGAGAAGAAAGTGGTCTTTCGATGTTAATTTAACACCATCAGTAGACCAATCTTATTTTTATATTTTTATTTCTTTATGACTTTAATGGCAATGGATACATTCAGGGACTCCCTAATACGACTAAATAATTTAATTACTGAAAATATCGGCGATGTATTTAGCAAATACTTTTAGCCGGCGAATTTCAAAAGTTTCAATGGTCAAAGTGTAAACAATCGAGGAAAATGGCTCAAATATAAACACAAAATGGACGAGTAGAAAGGAAAGTAAGAAACTATTATTTCGGTTATACTAAATTAAAGTTCTATTGGTGTTTTATATTTAATCACTTGATAATTTGAGTTATTTTTATATTAACGCACTGTAGACGCGGTCCGGCATACCCGAATTTAACGAATTCTGTACATAATTCAAGCATAATTCAACATAAAATTCTGCCAACAATTGATGAAGATAATTTTAAATCAACCAACTTCTTTAAATTTGTCTTAAAATAAATCGCATTACAGTTAAAAATCGTAATTTTAAATTATATTACAAGGAGATAAAAGTTCCAGTGGTAAAATAAAAAAATAAACAAGAAAGCCACACTGGCATTTCAGTAACTCAGTTAATATAGCGACCTTGGGGTCGCTGAACGACATAAAACATCGTAGAAAAAGTTTATAGGTTTTAGGAACACCTTTTTTCCTCTGTCATACTTATTTTTTTAGTAATTCAGTCGTATAGGAAATCCCCTAATTAGTTTTGTCAAGAGTGCCAACCTGAGTTTAGACAAATAGTTCTCTTTAAGGTGTTAAAATTTGATCCATAAGAAAACCTTCAAAAATTAAGTTGACATAAGAACAAGGAGAATGGGGTCAACTGTTATTTGCAAGCTCTAATTGTTTGACATTTTAAGTCCGCCGATATAAGTCCGCCCATTTTTAAAAATGGATTCGCACTAGTTATGTGTTTTTTGTGACAACGAATAAATGCAGCTTTAAACGAATTGATGTCTAGTTTTAATTTTTTAAAAACTTTAATAGCGACGCAGACGGTAATATTATGAAGAAGTCGCCGTGGAGAGTTAAGGTCGGCGGACTTAAAAATAAACTTGAAAATCTGTTACGGTAAAAACTATATCGAATAGAATTTTTTTATATATTTTTAATTAATATTTAAATGCACAAACCTCTCTTGTCATAACCACCAAGGTAATGTTGGCAATATTCGAATCATAAAAAGCAGTGGGATCAGATATGTTCACACCAATATCCGGTTGCCAGTATCCCACCTTTTGGATTCTTTCTTGTTTCAATTTCAGGATGTCAAGTTTAAATTTACTTCGACGACCTTCCACAAAATGTACATTACCAGTCAAGCCGTCTGATATAGCCTAAAATATATATATATACATATGTGAATATAGATATTATAAAATTTATTTGGTGAGTAAGTTTGTTTTTGTTGCAAGCAACTTATTTGTTTTGGTTTTAAAGAAGCATATCAGCTTCATACATACATTATCCGCATTAATTTTTATATATCCTATTTAAATAAATAACTTTTTACCTATGTATAGAACGACCCAAAAATGTAAGACAACAACATTTTAAATCCTTTATGAATTCTTCAATTCTTTTAAATTACTAAATTTTTTATTTAACAATATAAAATATTACATACCAACTATTTAGCTTTTTGGCTATATAGTAATTTATATTGTCTTCCCACACAGGGCATTCTTGTGAAACAGTAGAGATTTCGGCAGATGTAAAACTTCGATTCCCACACAGAAGTTTATAACGGCAAAACCTTTTGAATGTATCGGATGTTAGAAGGTGGATGGAGTTCTGTGGGAAGCCGAGTTTCACATCTGCCGAAAATCCGGACAGTCCGGACTGTTATACTGCCCTGAAATGAAAAAAATAGTTTTTTTATATAATTCCGATGCGTATAATTTTGCTGTCACTTTCAGACGTCGGGCTTATAATTATCTCATTATTTATTGATTTTACTGCATTTTGAAGTGAGTTCTGCAGGTACATATACCTCAAAGTACTTTTTTGTTTGGTTTTTAGAAAAAGTTGTGCTGCCCAGCACGATCGTTTGTTAAACAAGTGACTTCTGCAATTCACTATATCTCCGCTTTTTTGAATATTTTTTCTTTTTTCAAGATTATTTTCTAGTGTAATATATTTACTTTGATTCTCAATAGTTTGGTCAAAATTAATTTTTGAAATACCCTCGACAAGGCCGAGCGAAGCCCTCGAAGCAGTCGGTTACCTCTCCCCGGAACAATATGGCTTTAGGAAGGAAAGATCAACCTTGTACGCCATTATAAGGGTAGTCAAATTGGCCGAGGAAGCCATGTCAGGATCCAGGTGTAAAGGAGGAACAAAGTCGTATTGTCTTGTGGTTACCCTGGACATTAGGAACGCGTTAAACCCGGCAGACTGGGTTTGGACCCTTGAGTCCCTGAGGCAGTTCAGTTCCTGGGTACCTGCTAAACAGAAAGCTCACGATGGACACGAGCCTGGTGGGCTTTGCTGATGCCATCGTTGTGGTAGTAAGGGAGCTTCTGCAGTGAAGGCCCAGGGCCGAGACGAAGGAGGAGCATTGAGAGCTGGCAATCTCATTGGGAGCCCGCACCTAAAGCGGGCTGGGCTGTCGTAAATTTATTATATTGTTTAAATTTTAACATTCCTTTATCAATTTACATTAAAATAACACAAGTTTATAGACTTTTTTTTTGTCATCCTGGTAGACCTTTTTCTGGAAATGCCCATATAAATTTGAATCCAAGCTTCCAATCGGTAATTACAGCTCCGACAAAGTAATAATACTCAAAATAAATAAATTTGAAGCCAAGCTTCCAATCGGTAATTACAGCTCCGACAAAGTAAAAATACGCAAAATAAATACTGCATTAAAACTAACCTATCGTGTGTTAATTATTTATTGCACAGGGTTTTTTAACGGTTGGGCTGGTTTTTTTAGCCCTGAAGAGCTGGAAAAACTGTATACGTGTTGCTTATGAATTCATAGTCAACATTAATGTCTAATGTCATTAATTAATGACTCGCACAATCACAAAATACAGGGGTGGTCAAAAGTATTTACACAAATTCACAATTATTTTCACCGCCAAACTGCTTTTAGTTATTATTCTTGTTGCTCTCTAAAATTATTTTTATTGATCTATGGAAGCCGAAAATGAAAACAAAAGATAACGGTTCATAAGGTTCTAAAAGGAAATGAAAATGTGTCGTTTTATTTTGAAAATAGGTTAGTAAACTTAATTCTATCCAATTGAAAGCATTCATCGATACCAAACCAAAATTTTTTTTACTATTAATAAAATAGCTGTAGTCGTTGTGAAAATACTTTTGACCACCTATGTATAAATGATTTAATATATGATTATTTAAATAAATTTATATATACTATTAAAAATGATATGTATTTAATACGGCACTCACACTATTTATATGATTATATAATGAAATTCCATCATCCCATGTATGATCGGAGGTGCAGGATAGATTTTGTATACCAAAATTGGGACGACGTTCATCCAAGTTTAAGAAATGTAAGCCTGATGCAAACGCGTAGACGGAATCAAACATCAATGCAGACTCCGTCTGCGAAAATTGGGCGAAATTTTTAAAAGAATTAAAAAAAAGATAAATAAATACCTTTATATATGGTTTTCCATTAATATTTTCCAAGCCATTGTGCTGAATTTTTTGCATTTGATCAATAACTTCAAGATAACGTTTGCTATTCACATCGACCAAACGAAATGCTGTTATGTTAACGCTGTTGTACCGAAAATCTTCCAAATCATACGTCTCCAAATCCTGAAAGAAAAAACAACTTTTTGTTGCACTTTCTATTAAAGCCTAGTAGTAACATAAGCTTAATCCCCTTGAAGAATTTTGTTATTAAGCTTAACGTTTTTTTATAAAGTCACATTCTCTTTTGTGAATAAAATTCCCCTGTTGAATTTTTGGCAATGATAATTGTATTATCCTAGCATTGCCATTCTGCCCTGTTCACGATGATGTATAACTAAGGCAAAGGTTTCATTTTTCCCGCCCAAAATCCGGAGGAAATGGGTCATAGCTGGAGGAAACTGGCGATAGGCATAAAACGTTATCTGTTTCCTTTGAAAATACACTACTACAATACAATATACTACTACTTTAAAGAGGAGGAAGACGGTCTGCTCTGCTCGTCTAAGGCTGGCAGAGGGTCGAAGCACATTCGCAATAAAAGGCGACCCTCAAAATCAGAAATTAGCTGCAAAACAAAGCCCCCATAACCCAAGAGGAGAAGCTCAACTGGGTTGAGCAAAGGATCGAAGAGAGGAGGTGTACTTCACCAAGCTTCCAAGTATGACCTCTACGGGCGGATTTGCAAAAACGGTGGCCAATCTGCAGTTTAAGCCAGGAACTGACGCTCGATAAATCAGAGGAGGAGAAGGACGGTGCTTGTCAATACGGCACACATCACAGTGATGATGCTGAAAAGCGAGAAGAAATGGGTTTTTCAATATCAGGACAGTCCCAGAAACGGCTAAACTTTGAAAGATGCTATCAAAGCACCCACCTAATAGAGTCAGTTCTCAGAATATATCTCACCGATCAGCCAATAACGTCCCCTGTTTCACGAGACAAATTTCAACCTGCTGAATAATTTTTTTAATAATAATATTTGAATTTAATTGGTCCAATTTACATAGGTGCAGTTATTTTATGACGCCGTGGATGTTTTTAACAATGCAATGCATTCATTTTTTACTGATATGTTCCGTTTCACTATCCATCGATCTTGTGTTAGCCTCCTTGATTTACTAAAGAGTTGAGTCGTCTTAAAAACAACAAATCTCGGCTGTATGCTATGTCTAAGCTCACCGGTTAAACGGTTTGGTCAAACTTTGCCAAACGCGTAGTCTCAGGACCCAAAACAAATTAAAAATTTTGTTAATACTAAATGAAAGCCAGTAACTTATCCTGTTTTTTGCCTTTTCCTTAGAAATCTTTCCCCTTATTTGAAAGAAATAATTTATTATTCTTTAACAGCCATCCCAAAACTTTTCGAAAAAGTCTTTACTCCACATTTGCAGCACTTTGTAGATCAGTTAATTTCTCCATGTCAATATGGATTTATTAAGCGCAGATCAACAACAGTCAATCTTTTCAAACTCACTTTCTAAGTATACGGTCTAAAGAAAACGCATCAAATCGATGCAAAACTTTAGATTTTTTCGTCTACGCAGTTTAATCTGGGATATATGTATACAGAAGGTTATCGACCTATTCTAGTTGACTCCTTCTAATTAACTTACCTTTTTTAGCCAAACGCAGAACCATAGTAAGCATTACCTTTGTTTATTATTTTTCCGTGGTGACGTGGAAAGTGATGACTTGTTGTCAGCTTAATGTTCACGCATCAAATACTTTTCCCCATATACCCTAAGTTAAACTTTAATCCTAGCCTACTGTGTACAAATGTAAGCAAAAATCAGGCAGCACGGTGGTAAGTCGTTTTTTCGTATTCTTTTCCAATTTTATTCTCGCGCCTTCTAATACCCAACACAAGCAACCAAATGCTGGGTGTCACTCTACCACTTGATTCTACTGACCGTAGTGCATAAAAATCCGTTTATGTATATTTAAACAACATTATTCAAGGGATCCGAGTTCTGGAAAATGGGTCAGGAACATGCTCAACCACTTAACACAACCTTCATATACACTAAAGGGTCAGAGATGGGAGGAGGAGTAGGAGCGGACATATACTGTACAGACTATCGAATAAGTAATACCATAAAAATGTACTGACGAGCAGGGGACACTAGGTACCCTCAGCAGTCAATCAGTGCATATTTACTAAGTTCCCCAAGACAGTGGTCGAGTTTGCAAAATAAGCGTAATAATAATACTGGCGAATGAGTGAAAAGAAAACGAACTACAAATTCGTGTGCAATCATGTGCGATTCGTTTGTCACTATCTCAGACCCTGTGTGAACAGCAGGTGAAGCGAAGAAAAAATGAAAAAAATGCAGCTGTGTAAAAGGCTAATAAGAACATGAAAAGTCTTAATTATGAACCTTAAATATTTGTTACAACAATACTTACAAAGGTTGTAAACATATAGTGGTATCGGTGGTCATTCATTTGGAGTTGCAATATCTGTAATAAAAAACATGGTATATTTAATACTATATGTATTATATTAAGTAATGTTAGTCCTTTCCTATTTATAAAAAATTATATAAATATGGCCAAGAAACTCGTCGATGTTTTCCCATTATTATTGGTAACTTTCTTTTGAATTGCTAAAAATGGAGCTGGTGTAAATATTAAATAAATTGTAACTAGAGATGAAGAAACACCGGTACAACAATAAATATTTAAGTACAAATACAATTTTTAATTGTTTTTGTTTGATGGGGTGGGTAAGGGTGCATCAGATCAAGACAAGCACAGGATCGCCTTTGCTGTTGTATATTCCTTGGGTACATGATGCATTAAATCGACTCGCAGGTGAAACTCAATTTGATGGACACCACCGTCCCTTTGCAGAAGGTCCTCCTCATGGTACCCCCTGGAAACGTACTAAGGTACGAAACTGCAGAATCCCGTGAAGAAAACAACCAATCCGCTTCGAACCACTTGTGGGAGGTAAATCCCCACTCAATCTCGAAAATCGACGAAGATAAATTGCTGCGCTCGGATGATGAGACGATAACTCTGACGAGTTCGGCGGGCAGTGCTCAGGCAAGCACTCCCTAAATGGCACAACCAACAACAAACTCCACTAAGACGAAATGGGAAGAGGTCGAGACCAGACTGTCTGAGATCGTAACAGACAAATTTCTTTTCGGAGCTATCTGGCCCGACACCATCTTTTGACTACTCAGACATGGTTAGGGGGTACCGAGTGATCAAGTGCGACCACGAGTCATTGAGTTACTTCCGGGAGGAGTGCGTTGATTAGCAACCCATGATTGCCAAGAGGGCTACCCAACCACGGAAAGGGTGCTTAAGACTCTACGCAATTATATGCACCAACAGGACAGGTCGGCAGAGGGAGGGTATGATTATGAAAAACAACCTTAACGCACTTCTGTATCCCAACCTTAGCAACTCAAATTTAGCAGTGGCCAGGTTTGTAGCAGCGGATGGGACAGCCATACTCATGGCCCACGACGAACCGGCACTCCTTGAAGCTTCATTTGGACGATGTGCAATGCCCGCTACACTGACCGGGACAAATACGGGAAAATTGTTCAGTCTAAGTTGGGAAACAGAAGGACCAAGGTTCGGTCTACCCTAGAAGAAATCGACAAGGATGTCGAAGACTTCAGTAACATTCTCAACAACGCGTACATGGAGTCATGCAGACTCACGTACTCAAAGAAGAAATACCCACAATGGTAGAACAAAGAACAAAGCGTACTCAGGAAAATAGTTAGGAAGGGTATTAATACAAGCTACGAAGCCAAGGATTGGCGACTGTACGAGGAGATACAGAAAGAACTTAAAAAAAGCAGTAAAAAAACACTCTTGGAGCAGCTATTGCGAATCGATAGAAGGAATAAAAGACACAGCTAGGCTGAGCAAGGTACCAGCAAGAGAACGAACTAACCCTAAACGTATAAATAGGCCTGACGGCGCAGGAAAAAACAAAAACATGCATGGGTAGGTGGCTACAAGCAATCTTGCAAGCATATATAAAAATAGCACAAGTCGTTTTCATACCCAAAGTAGGAAAAAGAGAAGACAAGCCAAGCAAAGGATTACAGGCCGATTAGCCTGACTTCATTCCTCATGAATATACTGGAACGGATACTAGATATCCACATCAGAAGTAAAACGGAGAAAAGCCTTTCCGACGCACATCATGCAAACAGGAAAGAGCGAACTACATGAATGGTACGATACATAGAAAAGGCACTGCTCTTCAAGAATGACACTCTAGCCACCTTCTAAGACATAGAGGGGGCCTTCAATAACACTGACTCCACCCTGAGCTCCCTCAACAAGATAAGTGTTGTAGAAGGCATCCGAACCTGGATCGGCGCAATGCTAACGAGCAAACGGATACCAGCCGAACTGAGTGGCACTCATCCCACAAGATTTTTGAAGAGAGGCCATCCTCAGGGAGGAGTTCTGTCTCCCAGCTATGACTGATAAACATAAATGACATATAAAAGCGCTTAACAGTAGTCGTAGCAGTAGACGTAGTCCTACTGACTTTCCTCGAGGTCTTCAACGAACTGATGACAAGGGCACTTACCAAACTCAATGCATTGGCAAAAGCCTGAGGATTGGGCATCAACACAGAGTAACAGAGCTCATGCTCTTCACAAGAAGAATAAAGATCCCCAACTTTAATAAACCGTAGATAGAAGGTATATCGCCAGCAAAGTATCCGGGAGTGACACTAGATGCGAAGCTGTAATGGAAACAAAACATCAACTACAGAGTCAAATAAGCTAGCATACTCCATTAGGAAGATTTTCGGAAAAAACTAGGGCATCCAACCCAAGACAATAATATGGCGGTTGTAAGACCCATACTTACATATGGAGCAAGGCTTACAACATCCAGAAACTGGCAAGGATTCAGAGATCGACATGCGCAGGTGCAACGGGTGCAATAAGATCATCCTAAACAATATTGCAATATAGCATTTCATCAGGAATACAGCAGCCCAAAGTGCGGTACGACTAAAGGCAAGCCTGAGCTGGAAGAACTACCACACCGGGCACTTTAAGAGATCCTTGACGAGATGTACTATCGGATGACAGAAGAACCGATTGTATGACAACCGAACTGCGATTCGGCAACACTAACACCACGATCTACCCAACAATGAAAGAATGGAGAAGAGGGAGGGTACCCGAACCAGATGAGATATCACACTACACCGATGTCTCAAGGATGAGCTGCGATGTAGGGGCCGGAATCTTCGTCAAAAGCTGGGGGGTAGAAGAATCCTTCCACCTCCCAGCGTTTCCCAGCGGACCAGTTGACCAGGAAAGGGTCAGAGGAAAGCTCTAACACAACAGACACACTATTCTTTCAGAACCCAGTCCCGACGGAAATTCATGACCATTTTAAACTTTTTTCCAGCAAGGGATGGTCAACGAAGACAGAGCACAGAAGATTGAAGCTATGCTGGACTAATTAGAACGGGAGACGGACCGGGGATCTGGTCTCCAAGAGTAAAAAGACATCAGAAGGATAACGGCAACTATCGCTAGGCACTGGCCATCTTGCACGCCTGCAAGATGGGCCCACCCTACAACACACACTGCAGAAGTTGTAAGAAACCGGGAGAGCACCAGAGCATTTACTGTGTCACTGCCCAGCGCTCAACCGAATCAGGTCGTGTCACTTTGGAGCTCACTAGCTCGGGTAAGTACGGGAAGTGGGGAGACAGTCAGTGACTGCAATCCTAGAATACCTGAATGACTCGGGCTGATACTGAAGATGAGGCGTTGACTACGATCTACGAGGGTGTGGATCAAAATGGAGCTCAGCTCTAATTGGAGGCTACCAGGGTAGCCTCACCACTTTAACCTAACCTTACCTTTTGCTTAAGATTAACTCTCATTATAACGAAATTTTTATTAATTTTCTTAATAGATAAAACTGGGTGGCTTACCGATCGAAAAAAAGTTTTTATATGTGTAGGATTCGTATCTACAATTATTTTGTAAATCTCCTTTTGTCGGATTCCTCGTAGGACTTGACGATACGAATCCGGGCTGGCTTGTCTTATATACAACTCTGCTTTCGTTTCAATTGTTGAGTGCATCAAATTGAAAAGCCCTAAAAGAAAATAATTTAAAAAGAATATATATGGATGTGTGGGTACAAGCCCTATTACATTAATTTTAGTACCAAAATTCCTTTCCTGTCCGACTCATGTTGTCATGTTCGAAATACAAAAAAAAAAATCTCATGGGTTTAGCTTAGAGAACTCCGAAACAACAAAGTAGGCAATGAAAATGCTACCTATGTTCGGCTACTGCCAATGTTCTGACTTCATATTTGTTGTTGTTAAAGTGAGATAAAGAAAAATATTATTTACCGAAAAAAAAAGAATGGATAGTCTCGTTGTTGAAACCTATTTTTTAGCAGCTCTAATGGCAACTGAATACTTCAATTTCCAATTTCCATTTCTGAAAGAGAAATGATTCAGTTTTCACTTCCAAAAACACCTACAGATTCGAATTTCCCTCGGTTAAGTCTCTGTTAACTTCCAAGATAATCCGCGCGGTACTGTAGGGAGAGGGCAAAACACCGTCTTAAAGAAGAGAGAGAGCAAGGGGCAAATATGTTAAAACGGCTCTTCGTGTACGTCGTATTAAAGGCCTGTTTGGAAGTACGAAATCAAAAATATGAGAAAGTTGGATGGGAGTAGTATTTCCAGAGCGACGTGCCAGAATAATAATTGTAATAAACCAGGATGTTTTCGACCATTTGCGCCTCGCTCTCAATTTCAGCTCCTTCACATATTTCAAGTTAAAGATCCCCAATGAACAAAAATGGACAGAAAGGATGAATTAAGAAGAGGTTAGGTTGGACCGGACGGCCCTCCTGAGGGTGCCAATCATAGGCCAGTATGGCCCTTATTTATCCGGATGTTGTTTTTCATATGGACCTGGAGAATCTTACGCGGTGTTAAAGTCCTTTAGGATCGCGATAGTTTTTGCGAAGTAAAGTAGTTCACCTGGCAACCTCTTCGAGGCATCTGCTAGTGATGCCAGTACTGGGGCACCTAGGTGTTTTACTCTTGCCTGCTTTAGGGCTGGGCACTTACAGATGAGATGCTCCAAGGTTTCGGTTACCTCAGATTCATCGCATTTCCTGCAGCCTCCGTTTGTTGGTGATGCTCAGCCTGGCTGCATGCGCGGCAGCCAGGCAGTGACCCGTAAGATTTCCCACTAATAGTCTGCAGTGTTTTCGGGATAGATGCAGTACGTAGTGGCTGAGTTTATCATTGCGCTCTTTGCCATGATTTTAGATGTTTTTCAGATTGCGGAGATTTCTTTCTACCTGCTTTTGCTAGTACGTACGCCTGCCTCTCCAACTCGCTTTGGAGCGTTCTTAGAGACTGGGACGTTTTCTCTTCTGTCGTTAGCCAGTCCGACTCCTTCCCTTGTAAGTTCGTCTGCGATTTCGTTTCCATCTATGCCTGGTGGCTGGGAACACAGTAGATCCGCACTGACGTTGTCGTGCTTAGGATATCTAGTGCGACCCTGATTGCCAGTACATTTTGGAATTGACCGCTGACGAAATATTTCCTGTGCAAGCTCTGCCGCCTTCCTAATGCCGAAGACTTCCGCCGGGAATATTCTGCATTGGCTTGGTAACTTATACGACAGCCTCGTCTCGGGGTCTGTACAGTATATGCTCGCACCAACTCCTCTATAAATCTTGTAGCCGTCAGTATAAATTTGGAGTTATCGAGCATGGCTCTGAACCGTTTTCCAGCCTTCAGGTCCGATGAATGTTGATGTGTTCACATCAGGGCAAGTTCTAGGCGTCATGTTGTCAGATACACTGCTCATGGTTCGACCAATTGAGGTGTGCCCCTACCCTTGTGTCGACATGTTTCCTAGCGCTACTAGGCGTTATTATAGTCCCTAGAGCTTTGGTGGGGGTTGACCTCAGCGCCACAGATTTGCAGAGCAGTGCCTGCAGCTGGGTTCTCTCCATAATCTTTTTGTAGGTCCTCTATAGCAAAATCGGACGCACCACCGATATGTAGACCCAGTGCATCAGAGCGGGTGAGAGGCCCCATGTGCTGCTGAGCATCCTCTTGGATGCATATAACGCATTGGTGGCCTCTTTTACCCCCTCTAGAACATTGGGTTTCCATGCCAGTGGTACCTTGTATCTCTTAGTGAAGAGAATGAGGACCATCTTATCCGCATTGATACTGAGTCCTACCTTGTCCGTCTACACACATATCTCCCTGAGTGTTGATTCCTTGATCGAGCTAGGGGTCAATGGACATGCTTATGTCGTCAGCATAGGCTGTTATCTTCGGGGCCTTCCACTCAAACACTTTGATTAGGTCGTCGACCACTAGATTCCATAGGAGGGGCGATAGGACTGTGCGCTCCTTTCACCATGGAAGCAGTGCCCCAATCTGATTATACCCTTCGGCAACTTAGTAGATTTCCAATCCAAAAGATGATGGCGGGCTGCGTGTTGGTCGCTCCTAGACGCTCCCCGGATATGCCTACAAAGACTCCGAGCGCATATTCCTTGTTGTGCAGGGCTCTCTCAATGGTGGCTTCTAGCGAATGCAGCGCCGTCTCCACTGATTTCCCTTTTGTGTATGCGTGCTGGTTGGTTTACAGTGATCTGCCCACATCGCTTCTGATGTATAGGTCTAGCACCTTTTCTAGTGTCTTGAGTAGAAAGAAGTTGAGGCTTATCGGCCTGTAGTCCTTAGGACTGACGTGACTGCTCTTTCCTGTTTTAGGCAGGATGACAATCCTTGAGGTCCTCCATTAGATTGGGATATAGCCCGTACTTAGCAAGCTGTGTATATTGCGTATAGCCATGGAGTGATGGCTTCTTTTGTCGCCTGCAACATAGCTGGAAATATTCCATCTAGTCCTGGCGCTTTAATCCCCGCTAATGAGTCTATAACCCAGTGAATTCTTCTAGAGGATATGAGATCGTTGCTCTTCCCTCGTTGCTAGTACCTGGTGCTCGTTAGCATCGGTGATCTCTGTGCAACCTGGGAAGTGCGCGCGCATAAGTTGTTAGCCCACTTTCGTCCGTCGTCGCGTTTGAACTGTCTCTGTATGGTGGGTTGCTTCGAAAGAGTCTCTTAGGACTGTTGGTTTTGGAGAGTGATCAAATTCGCATTGGAACTGTATGTACCTGTGGTCTGGAAAGGATGGTCTCTCCAGGACCTTGCAGTCCGATACCATTGTACTTTGTCCCGCTACGCGTGTTATATCTTACACGTTGGATGAGGTGGGGCCTACAAAGGTGTGTTCCTCCCCCTATATATATAATTTGCTATATATAAATTGGTAGAAAGAATAAAGTCTAAAAGTGACTCTCCTCTGTCTATGCCGGGCCTTCCCCATACGCGTGGTGCGCATTGGCGTCTGCACCCACGATCTGGTTGTTGCTGGTTGTTTGGGCCGGGTTCTACCAGACTCCTGAGTTCTGCCGATGGATCTGGCCTATCGTGTGCCATGTAGCAGAAGGTACCAGTAGGCGCTTCTTCTTGCTTTCTAGCAACACCACAGTCAGGTTGTCCGAGCTGTAATGAGACATAAGTTTAGCTTGAACACCCTTCCGTACGAGTACGGCGGTTGTGTTCCTGCTTACCGTGTATAACGCGTTATAGTTTGAGGATTTTAGTCCGGCGACAGCAATCCATGGCTCTTGGACTAGAGCTTCATCGGCTGACCCTTGCTCCATGGCAATTAGGAGTTCCGCCGACGCGACCTTGCTCTTATGGAGATTGAACTGCAGGGACATGGGTACCGGGCTCAAATCCACTCGACGGGCTGACTACTATCGTCAGGTCACCGTCTTCCTCCTCTTCGGACTCATACAGCGTCAGTTCCTGGGTGGCGTCGACAATGGTTTCCGGACCTAGGTCTTTCCCCACCTCGCCTGCCTTCAGGGTGTGGTCATCCCTATCCCCGAGATGGTGCTTTTTGAGGCGTAGATATACGCTACCCATGCCCAACGCCATCTTCTGGAATACAGGATGTCCTCTGCCTCCTTATTAATCTGGAGGACTGCGCATTGCCCCCCCCCCCCCTTTGGATAAGGGGCTCGTGATGTGCAGTATCTTTCAGTCTGCGGTTGGGATGTCGGGATTCTGACGCTGCAGCAGCTTCAGCGCTCGGTCCCCTTGGATAGCAATTGGGAGGAGTACCTTCGCTTTTGGGATGGATGGGATTAGTTCCCTGTCCACCAACTCCAGCCTGGCCCCGTCCCACAACGGTTCCATCTGGCCGAACATTGCGTCAGCCATTTTTTCGTCGGGGCATCTATACACATTAGGATTTTGATCCCATTTAGCCACCCCTCCATCCGTGTGACCAAAGACTCAACGAGCCGCGCATGCACTGTCTTCCACCGCGCTTTGGACATCTTGCCATTCTCATCACTCCTGCCAATGAGTGCCACGATCAAGTGTCGTTTGGTCACCTTACTGGCTTTCACGATTTTCTTTTCTTTTTGGTTTTTTGCCTTCAAGGGGAGCCTGCTTATTTGGGCACGCGTTGCCGCTTGCTCGCCGGAGTGTCCTTTATGCCACTCTCGGCGGAGCGTTGCCGTTTGGTGGCAAGCATCTTCTCCACCTTGTTGGCGAAACCGGCCGTTGATGCCATGTTAGGAAGCTTAGAGAAGTGCAGCCTGCTCTCTTCGATCCTTTGTTCGGTCCAGTTGAGCTTTTCTCTTCCCCCTTTCGGATTGGGCAACTTTTGTCCGGAGCCGGCACTGGATTCGAAGGGCAGCTTTATACTGTGTCTTAGCCTTCTTTCCCTCGTTTGAACGCTTCGCCCCGTCCCTGATAAGCAGATATATATTCATACACAACTACCTGAGTGCACATAGCCGGCCGCTGATTTCGTTCATATTACGCAGTGGATAACAAAACTTTGTTGTACCAAAAATTATAAACAAAAGTGGCTCGCGTTTAAGCTTCGTTAAAAGATCTTATTACATATCTACATACATGCGTAAGTTAACTAAGTAATCGCCACCGCCTCTGATGGCCATCGGGGCACCCCGAGTCAACACCAGGACGACCCCAAACCGGCACCCATCACCAGCAGCAGGACATACTGAGCCAGCACCAGCCGTAGGACAGACTGTCCCTGCATCAGTGGCAGCACTCGCCACGCCATCCCCAGCACCAACCAGCACTGGAGCCAGCACCCCTTCGCCGCCAATTAGCCCTGATTTGCGCGAGCGCCTCACCTATGAGGAGATGGTGCAGGCCTTGCTGGAGGAGGAAGAGCCAACACCGGGCTTGGCCGTAGGACCGCCTGCCCTGGCCCCCATCGAACGCACGGCCGCCCCATTCTCGCGCGGGTTCGGGACGCTCTCCATCCCCGTCCCTTGAGAGGCTCCTGGAGTCCCTCAGACCCATGCAGTGGGAAGGTCCGCAGGGCGAGGAGACGCTGCTGCGTTTGTTTACCAGCCAGGATGACAATCGATCATCACCCACACCAATGGCCCGTTACAGCCCCCTTTCGGCCGACTGGGTAGCCAACAGCGACAAAAAAGCAGGTCATGCCAGAGCAGGTCATGCCCGGGGGAGATCGAGGGGGACCTGCACGACCTGCTCCAGGAAAAGATAGACGGGCTTAAATATTTAAGATCATGTGCAAAGAGCACGGAGCGACAGAACGCTAGTGGGAATTCCCACGGGACACAACCAGGCTGCGGTCCATGCAGTCAAGCTAGGCAGCACCGACACCAACGAACATGGAAAAGGAAGAAGAGGGTCCCTAGGTGCCACATTACTGGTATCACTAGAAGATGCCTCCCAGAGAACACCCTGTAAATTAATTTGCTTCACCAAAAACACCTTGATCTTCAAGGACTTCGAATCCGCGTTAAATCTTCTGCTCCATACAAACATCAGGACAATTTAGGCCCTTATTGGCCTATGCGTGGCACCCACAAGGGCCTTCCGGTTTAACCTAACTAAACCTATGATATCCAATTAAATGTCCCTAGACATTTAATTTTTTAAAACTAATCTCCATAACGAACTCTTCGACAAAATATGATCCACCAAATTCTGGACAGAGTATGTTGTTTTCAAGGAGTTCGAAGCTGAAAAAAGCGGCATGTAGTAATAATTCTTCCCAGGCTAGATCTGAGCACTGTGCCTTATACTTCGTCAAAAAACTAACCAAATCTCTATCCATTTCCTATTAAAAAACGTACCAACCTGCCTAACTTCTATTCTGATAGTCTTTCCTTTGCTTTTCAAGATATTGTGTTCGCAGAAACCTGCTTAAAGCCGGAGATTCTCCGACATTTTTTCTGCTGTGTTCACGGTATGTCGGTATGGGCTGTTGACTCCACACTCACGTCAAAAATGATCATCTTCGTTGAATTCCTCTATCAATGTTAGAATCATTTTTTTACCTGTTCCTACATTCCTCCATTGTCGAAACTTCAAATTTACTGGAACCATTCCGATGTTTTCCAATAGCCTCTCGGATAGGAAAGATTTAATATCCCTGCGTCTGTTTGGTCCTTAAATAATTCAACTAATACTTCCTAACTTCTGCACAACATGGTTATATTGCTGGCTTGTTCGACATTTCTCTGTCTCAAGTAAACCATGTACGCAATTCCTGAAAGCGCATGCTTGATCTTTGTTTTGTCGCAGATCCGGCGAGCGTTAGTTTAGCTAAGGAAATGCCGCTGACGCAACCTGAAGATTCCTATCATCCTACTTTCGATGTGACTCTCGACAATGAGACTGACTTGGAAAAATTCTTCTGTTTTCGCAAGACGGACTTTAAACGGCTAAATAATTTTATTTCTGAATTTAATTGGTCCGGTTTTAACCTAATTTTCACCTAGCGATTTAATGATTGTCATCGCAAAAGCCAACCGAACAGGGAACTGAATCTGCTTAAATTTAAATGGAAAACCATTAGTAATTATTTGAATTTGCACTTAATAAACGTTGATGGAATTACATTGTTGATTAGTGTTATGACGGATAACTGCGTATCATTGCAAAACTTAGGATGAGTCAGACAGCAGCATGTTAAAAAACATGTACACTTTCTTGATAAATTCCTCTTTCGATTACGTGAATTCGCAAAAAGTAGCCGGAAACTATATCAATCCATTCGAAGCATTAACTGGAGAGTAGATTGAAAGGCAGATTCAATACACGATTTGCTGTTCGACCGCCTTCCAGCAATGAAGCTATAGCCGACCGAATAGTTGTCTGATTCAGAAATTTAGATTCACTACTGAACCTTCACACTTTTTCTGCAGTATAGGGAATTCGATAAACATGTACATTTTCAAGACACTCTTTTACCAAGAGTCAAATGTGATTCGGTGGTACTATTATTCTTTTCGCAACTTACCATAATCTTCTTCATATATAATCGCCACTTTTGTCCAGTTTAGATAGACCATTAAATCCCTATATGCAAGAGTAAGAAGACTGTGTGCTGGATATAAATTGACAGAGAATTCTTTTGAACTATACTCCAGATCAATTCGAACTTCGACATGGGGTATATCATAAGCCTCGCATATAGACTGTACGTGACCGGCAAGTAGGGGATCTGTTGGTCCAAATATGGCTTGAACTCCAGCCTCCAATTGTCGGCAGACTTTCTTCGTTGTTCGAAACGAATCATCGCGTGGCACATATTCAATATCATAAACAAGCTGTGTTTTAGGAAGCAAGGCTTTCTCCTTGTTGATGCGATATATGGCGTATTTGAAGGCCGATTCGATGCTGCTTTCACGTTCATTTTCGGTAAAAATTGCACCTATCGAACAGAACTTATGAATGTATAATATAGTCTTTATTTAATTTATTAGTTAGAAAACTTACCAACACGAATTACAGGCGGCAACGCATTCGAAATTACCAATATTGATGATAAAATTATGCAAAGACAACATATTCTAATGGCTTTGCAGTCGAATCTTTGAATTTCCCCTATTATTATGGTATCCCGTGTTTGTCGTATCTTTAAAAGGACAGGCATTATGTACAAATATGAAAATCTATTAGCTTGTAAAAATTATAATTACCATTATTCAATCAATATATACATATATGTATATATATATTTATTTCTTTTTATATTACATTGAGAAATATGTATTTAAAAATATTTCTTAGCCACAATTTCCATTAACTTAATATTTATTACATGTAAACAAGTGCAACCACCACCAAATCTTGAAGTCTGAATTTTCAACCCTAAAAGAGAAAGCTTTAAGCTTCAAAGAAGCCTCAAGAATGTAATTTAGTGTTGCGGGATTCGGTTCCGAATTTGCTTTAATAACCTCATATAAAACAGAATTTTGCAATTCTTAATTCGGTTAATGATAAAAAAAAATATTTATTTTTGATTATATAAAAAATTATTCCCAATTTGTTTTTTAATTATGCTTAGTATTTACTATTCTTACTGTATTTAAAAAATATTAAAACCGAGTTTTGGCACAGTTTAATATAACAAACAAAATATTTATTTATAGGACATATACAGAGATATCGTCATATATATCGATATTCGATCTCTAGTCCCTAAGATATACTTTTTAAGTGGGAAGTTTTGCAATAATTGATACATTTCTTCTATACGTTCCACATCGGGATCGCGGTATGTTTTTTTGATCGCTTCTCGAGCGCCAGAATTCAGTGCCATTGATTTGTAAATGAAAAATATGTAAATAAAAAAAAAATATTTTAATTGTGTTCCTGAAATAGTTCTCTGAAGCAATACGTATGAATGCCAGTAAGCGGTCGAAGACAAGTGTATGTTTTGATAGCTGCATCCAAATGTGTTTATATACATATATGTATTTCTTCTATCAAAAAGAGTTTTCTACACATATGTATATAATTTAAATCGGAGACTCTTTCTTAAGCCTGCAAATCTTTTCTATAAATACACATCTTAAGTCTTGAAACTGTTTGTGTGCAGCCCTGGGATTTTGTTGGTATTTTTTAGTCAATTTCAAGAACTTTTTTTTGTCAAAGCCAAAAGTATATATATCTTACAAAAATGTCGGATAAACATTACCAGGATATTGATTAAATCTAAATTTTAAACTTTGAGCTTACGTTATCATTTTCAGCGTTTCACAATACGCAATACGAATAATTATCCTGAAAAAAAACATGTAAGAAAGTGTATTATTGATTTTTCAGTCATCGTTTTGTAGAGAAAACATTAGCTCAGATCTGTAAAGTTACTGTTGGTAAAAAGTGAATTTCTAATAATTCAAATGAAAGAATAATAACTATACTAGAACCATAAAACTGGTAGGAATCATTGTTATATCGTAATTGTTTAGAAAAATAAATACGGAACACTAAGAAGAAATCTTTGACAAAATATGTGTATCTGATGGATACAAACACATGCACACATGCTTAGATACATATGTGTATATACATACATATATCCATGTCCAGCTATTTGAATGCATTTATACAAATGTACATCCAGATGTATATGCATAGTTCTTGAGTTCTGAGGATTGGTCTTATAATTAAGGTGATTTTTTTTTAAGCCTTACCAATCTTTAAATGCGGTAATTTGTTTTTTATTTACAATATATAAATGTATAAATCTAGTTTGTTTTTTATTGACGCACATTGAATTCAATATAAGTTTGCTCCTTGTGTTTCCAGATACAAACTCTATTTATAACCATGGCAAAACACAACCACTTGGGCTACATATTCCTTGCAGTAATACTATCTGCAATATTCACGGCTGCAGCTGTGACTTCCAGTGAAAATGAGGATGAATATTTAACACAGAGAGGTATGATGGATAATTTAACTTCTTAATTATAGTAATGTTTAGTAACTATATTATTGAACATTGTATTGCCTTACATGACAGATCTCTGAAATCGTAAAAAGCGATATGTCACAAAACCATGGCCCCATTTTAAAGGCAATAATAGGGGCATTCTTTTGTCACAGCTCGAAACCCAAGGATATAGTTCTCACATATACTTTATTTTAATCATTACAGAAATCATATTAGAGGAATCGTATCATGGCTTAATTCGTGAAAATGAGACCTTTGTGGAAATAACGCCATTGATCAAAGTTGACGAAGAAAAGATATGCAACTTTCACATTATTAAGAAACCATATCATGAGATACCATTTGAAGTAAGATTAAATCTCTATATACTATTACATCAATTCATATTATTAATGTACATTTTTTGTAGATTGAATTGGTTAATAACTTGGGTATTTTAAAGGCGCGCCGCACATTAAATTGTGAAAAGCGTAAAAGTTATCATTTTGAAATCGTTGCGATATATTGCGATGGAACGCCTTCGAATACGGCGAATGTTCATATCACTGTTATTGATATTAATGAGTATGCTCCGACCTTCCTAGAGCCCTCTTACGTAACGGAAGTGGACGAGGGACGTCTCTACAATGAAATCTTGAGGGTCGAGGCAACAGACAAGGATTGCACTCCACTTTTTGGCGACGTTTGCAAGTATGAAATACTGAACAACGATGAACCATTCGCGATCGATAACGAGGGATCGATCAAAAACACTGAACCGCTATCCCATCGAGCATCGCATAATCACATATTGTCGGTTGTGGCCTATGATTGTGCGATGAAGGAGTCTGCGGCAATTATGGTCAGCATTAAAGTGCGTCGTGTGTGCGAGGCAAAGTTCTTGGGAATGCCGGAACGCATCGATTATACGGTACATATTCATGCATACATTAACCTTTCATGAAAACAAGAAGGAAACTAGTTTGGCAAGCTGAACTTCATGTTCCAAAAACACTTGGCAGCTGTTATTACCCTGCTGTACCATTCATCAGTAATTTATCAAAAGACTTATTGTTGTTGCTATTCTTTATATGTTCATTAGTATTGAAGTCGTAACGAGCCAGATCCGACGAGTTATCATATAGTTGCCACAGGGACGATCGGAAAACTAAAAAAAAAAAACTAAATTGCCATATCTCGCAGTAAATGGAAACATGAAATCTACCAAAGATATAATTTTTTTCTAAAAGTTTTCTAATCGTTCCTATGGCACCTTTTTGATATAGTCCTCCGATACATGTAGTATAGTCCTACATCTGTATATACTAATGAGAATATAAAGAAGACAATCTGCAAGGTTTCCTTCTTGTTATTAATTGTATTTTAATATTATTAAATTTATGACAACTTTAATTGGTTTTCTAACAATTGATACCTTTTATTAATTACAGTCAGGGAGCACTGAAAGTCTTCAATTATTTCCAAATGCTCGCCTGGACTTGTGTGATGCTGCGTGCAGCCATCAGGACTTGAATATTCGTGCATCGATAGCTCTGAAGGTAAGTATTTTATATTATTTATTTTATTTTGAAATTTAGGTATTTAGATTAAAAAGACAGCTGAGATCAGACATAATAAAAAGAATAGGTCGACTTGATTTCAGAATTTAAATTTACTGAAACAAATAGAAAGCTTTTTAACACTTACACTTCGGAATCGAATTATTAAAAATAGCTTTAGATTGGAAAAATTAAAAAGGGATATATAAACAATTTATATGTACAATTTCTGCACCTTTGTAGATATTTCTAGGTTTTAAGTTTAAATTTAAGATATATGATATATTTGTAATAGTATTAATGGCAAAACGGGCCTAATCGGAGCACCATAATTTGGGCTCTCTTAGAAACAATTGGAAATTAATAAGAGAGGTGAATAATTTTACACAATGTACTTAAAAAGGGAAAAGGTGTTGTTAAAGATCGGCAAGGCGAAGTTGGCCCTCCCCTTTTTTTTTATTGAATCCGTTCTGGACTGTTTTTTTGGGTTCATTTAAAATGTCTTTTTAACGACTTAAATTTATTTCCAGACCAAACACATCTCATTTGGATGCGATCGCGACATCTCAAATTGCACTTCGCGACAGATAATGAAGGACCTCTTGCCGCGTAATGCCGAATGGACAAAGGTTTTGAACTATGACGAAGGTGTAGAACCCATATTTCATTTCGATGGCTCCACTGGGGTAGTGATACCTGACACAGTTATCGATCATTATGACTTTTCGACGCATCCGTTTAGTATATTGACAGTATTTCGACATCACAATATACAGGGGTCAAATTCAGAAAATAAGCATGTTAAGGAACATATTTTGTGCAGTGCCGATGACCACAAAATGAATCGTCATCATATGGCACTATTTGTTCGCAACTGTCGATTAATTCTATTATTACGGAAAAACTTTAACGAAGGCGATCTGAATATCTTTAGCCCAGCGGAGTGGAGATGGAAAATTCCAGAAGTTTGTGACAACGAATGGCATCATTATGTGGTAAATGTCGAAGATTTATCGAAAGTGGAACTGTTCATCGATGGCGTACGATTTGAGAATTCCGTTGAGGACCGTCACAGTAATCCGGAGGTAATCGACGACTGGCCATTGCATGCCGCCCATGGTGTGAACACCTCATTGGCCATCGGTGCTTGTTATCAGAGTTTAGAGAACCGCTTAAAACATGGCTTCAATGGTGACATTTCCGAGGTGAAGGTAACTCTCGATGGTTTTCTAACACCTGATGATATCAAATGTGGAACTCTTTGTGCGGAACATTTGCTATCACCCAAAGAAAATAATGAAAATGCCATCCAGGCCAACGGTCAAATGAACGAAATATCCATTGAGGCCAAAACAAAACATGAAATTGAGCAAATAATGCGTAAAATTCAATATATTAACATAAAAAAGAACCCAACCATAGGACGCCGTAATATTGAAGTTCGCACGGATTTGACTTGTAATAATCAAAGTTATTCGCTTCGCTTGCCGCCAATCGAGACGTATATAATGGTCAATAAACCCACAACTCCAGTTGGTCTAGATATCGATGTTGGCTCCTCATCCTTATCGGTAAAAAAATGATGTTCTCTTAGTCAAGAAATTTAAAATAAATAAACTTAATTTTAATTCATATAGCTGGATAGCTCATCCGATCAAGACCCAGCAGTGGATTCAACCAAAATAATAATATCTGGTAAGTGAAAATATATACATGTATATATATACTATTAATGTTTAACGTTAATTAAAATGAGAAAGGAAGCTTACTTCGGCACGCCGAAATTTTTATACCCTTGCAGATTGCAATTCAATAATAATGTAATGTAATATTTGTGTTTAAATAAAGTATTGCTTTTTTTCATTACTTTAGCGTTTAAAAGTTACAGTTTTACATTAACCGTTTTGCATTTTTATCTATGTACATTTAACGACAGTTTCTACGGCAACTATATGATATATTTTCATAAAATTCAAAGTTCTTAAATAATTCAAAAGGCCTATAATTTAAAATGGATGCAAATTTTGTTGAAAACTAAAAAAGTTATAATTTTTGTTTTTAAAATTGTACGATCGCGTCTATGGCCGATATGCGATATTTTCGTCCGTTCCCACTTATATATGTACATATGCATATGTATACTCTTTGCAAAGTTTCATTCGGATAGCTTTACAACTGAGAGACTAGTTGGCGTAGAAACGGACAGACGGACGGCCAAGGCTAGATCGACTCGACTGTTTATGCTGATCAAGAAACTTCTTATTCAGTGCGTTGCAAACTTCTGACTAAAACTATAATACCGTGCAAGGGTATAAAAGGGAAACACCGATGGAAATTTTATCGATATTTTCCTCACTACTGCGTAGAAGCTCTACATTTGTTTTAATACAATCGTAATGCCAATATTTCTTTATAGGAACATCAAATAAATTGGTATCCTATCAAGAAATAAAGCTGGGAGTACACATTTTGGACAAAATCTATATCGAATCGCTGCTCAGAAAGAGCGAAAAAATGGAAAATGGACCAAATCTAAATCAAAATTTGGACTCGTGTAGCGTGGTGGTATTTCCATCCCTGAATCCGGATCATGAAGATATACAAATTGATGGCGATGAGTCGCTATCCTCAACAATGGACATTAAAACGAACATCAATAAAGATGGAGTTGAAATGCTGGGCAAGGACACTATTCACAGCTACTTAAACGTGCTACGATCCCTCGTTTATAGTAATAAAAGCCGGCTTACTATCTGAACCGAGTATTTAAGCTTTCATGTGTCCAGCTTAGTTCACAGTTTAAACGCGCGGAATATACACTAACACTTACTGTATTGCATCCAAAACAAACACTGTTTAGATCAACGTCCAGTCTGCAATCATCTTCTTCACCTTTAACTAACCAGAATACTGGTGGTAATAACAACATTGAAAGCTCTTACCACCCTAACAGTGGTCTGAACAGTGACAGTGACAATAATCAACAGACAGGTGGGTTTTAAGTTTATATAAATGAGCCATTATTATTTATCTCTTTTTCACGACACCTAAGTTGCAAAAAAATTCTATGGAAAATGTTACTTTACACAACAATTTTAAAGATATCGATTCAAAAGTCGTACTTCTATACACAGAAAAAATACTTCTGGTTTGAATCAACCAATCCCTGACATTGAGTGAAGGTTGCAGCCCAACTTTTAGATCCAACATAAGATTACAAGAGTAAAAAATACTGTAAACATTTTGCTTTTCCTTATTATTATTATTTTTTTTGTTTGTTTAGTAAGAAACAAACTTAACATTGAAATAATTTGACAGTTGGCATCCCGTATGGCATCCTTCTGTAATAATTAATTGAGTAGATTATCCTTTTTTTTAAGTTTTTTTTATTTATTGCAGAAAAGTGATGGGCTCTACTGTAGAGCAGATAAATAATACGTTACGAATTGTACCTTAGGGGCACTTTACTGCAAAATTGGTGGCACTTACCTGTAAACATATTTTCTGTATATGAAACTTTTTTCGCCTAAAATTGCCCTCAAATACGTTATCTCTACTTTTTTATTTATATTTTATTATCTTCAGATTCCAAGGTCTATTCATATTCCCTATTACATACGAACGACGTCCAAGAACCGAAATCTCATGTTCACTCCTTCGTACATAGAGGTAATGTTGATCTAGTCTTTAAATACATATTTTTCCAAGGTTTATATTTGTTGTATTCTTTCAGCTGAAGGCTCTCATCTTACGATGCTTATAGTACTTGTTAGTGTCTTTTTGGCCGTACTTTTGTGTGGAGTTTCGATCGCTCGCTTGAAAAATAATCAAAAATACACTGATCGTCACCAGCCAAGTCCGAAAGTAAGTATTCTACAAACACTGCTATAAATAGCTTGAGAACTCTATCAGAACAAGATTAAAATTATTGCTGAATTCACACATTTTTCTGCGACTGTGCTCTGTTCAACTGTTGTTGCATGAAGCACCTGACTTTTGAATGAAAATAGTGCCGAAAATGACTACCTGATTCTACTGCAGCCAATTGTTCCAATATCAAGTACATGCTCATTTATAAGAATAGTGGTAAAATTTACAAATTATCAATTCAGTTTTTCTCAAAAATTGTAAATATATCGGTTCATAAACTGAGACAATCGAGGCACAAATCTTTGAAAACTAGACTCCCATTCAAAAAAAGTTATAGTTCAAACTCTCTCCTACAATGACGTACTACTAGAAAATGGGAATTGAGGTTCTCCACGTTCCCGAGAATATGTTTGTGTTACGGTTAGCTAGGGAGGGCAAATTAATTAGAAGAAGTCTACTAGGGTAAGACGGCAATCTTAAGTCAGCATACCAGGTAAAGCCTCAATGCGAGGACTCCAAACACAAGAACCATACTTCAACAAAGGGTGAACTAATGAAGAGAAAAGAGTCTTAGTTACATAAGGAGAATCCAATTCCTTCGACAACCTTTTAATAAATCCCAGCACGCCTGTGGCTTTGTTAACCATGCAAGAAATATGATCGGAGAACGAAAGTTTAGGTTCTAGTCGTATCTTTAAGCATATATGTACGAAAGTGGCTAACAGAGGAGTGACTTGTGAAGATGTCTTCAGTTTGCATTTAGAGCTGTTGAGTGATTTGTTATGTGGTTCCATTGATTTGCAGCGGATTAAGGATTAAAAAAAATCGTTTTATTTTTATTCCCGTAAAAGGATTCCGCTTTCATAGAGAGTTGCAACGCGTCTAGCAACTGTTTTTGTCAAGTTATTCACGTAATCACGTTTTTGAACTTTTTGAACTTGAACAAATTGATAATGAATATGTTGTTGACTTCATTCGCAATGTTTTCTACCCTTGCAGGGTATTATAATTTCAGTCAGAAGTTTGCAACGCAGTGAAGGAGTCACCTCTGATATATTTACATTATTGATCTGCATCAATAACCGAGTCGATCTATCCATGTTTATCTGTCCGTTTCTACGCAAACCAATCTCTCAGTTTTTAAGCTATCTGAATAAAACTTAAGCCAGATCGGACGACTATATTATATAACTGCCTTAGGAACATTTGAAAAATGTTTAGAAAGAAATTCGGATTTTTAAAACCTTCAACAGATTTTCATTGAATTTGAGGTATATCCATATTATATTATTCTACAATTTTGCTAAAAATCTAATAAAAATCGGACTACTTTATCGTATAGCTGCCAAAGAAACGATCGAAAAATTAATACCATTAAAAAAAAACTTATTCAGTTTTCAACCATTTTTTTTTTTATATTAAATTTAAGATATAGCTATTATATATCAAAATTTTAATTTAAAATTTAAAAAATCGGTTCACTATATCACATTGCTGCCATTGGAACGATCGAGAAATTAATCAAATAAAATTTATAACATAATAGTTTTCAACAGGTTTTTTATAAAATTTGGGATATAGCCCTTTTTATATTATTCTAGAATTTCGGTTTTAATTTTATAAGAAACGGACGACGCAACGGCCTTAGGAACGATCGTTAGATATAGAGGACAATGAAAAAATGTGAAAGTCAAACTGTAAATGTAATATGTATAGGTGAATGAAATGAAAACAGGCATTATTTAATTTTTTTTTTTTACATGAATATACATGTATAATTTATATTGTATGAATTCCTAGTGATCGAAGTTCTTTCTGCAAGGGTATATAAACTCCGGCACGCCGAATTTAGCTTCCTTTCTTGTTTTACTTTAATTTCAGCATTGAATTTTACTTACATTAAGAAATTAATAACTTTTTTAACTTATAACTTTATAATTTTTTATTATATTTTTATTATTAATATAAAAATTACAATCTGCAAGGGTATACAGACTTCGGAGTGCAGAAGTTAGTCATATATGGGCAGTAGGAACGATCGGGAAATTTTTATAAAAAAAATTATAAGTTTGCCAGTTCTCCACATATTTATATCTACTCTGAGATATGGCAGTGCTTCATTGCTTCAGAATTTCGCTTTTAAATTCAATCAAATGAATGTAGCATATAAATGCCATAGGAACGATCGTTAATTGTATTTAAATTTCGAATTAGCAATATACAGATAAAAATCTTTAAGTATCAGTAGCTTTAAGACTGTATACATATGTTTCTTGTCGTCCTGTGCCATTATAATACATTTCAAACGTTAAATGTACTGCCTAGAATATCAACAGAAAATTAAAAAAGTAAAGTTAATTCTTTATTAAAAACTACTACTCATTCATAGATTGTGGATGATGGATTAATTTGGGATGACTCGGCGTTAACTATAACCATAAATCCAATGCAAACCGATGCTGGATGTGAGGATAGTTCAGAGTCTGAAAATTCCGACTCGGACGATGAAGAAAGTGAGTAGTTAATATGAACTTATAACATAACATATTATAAAATTTCCTTTACTTGCTAGCTTTAAAGGATGGTTTTGCTCACATCAATCAACTTGAATGGGATAATACCAATATTTTTCAGCAGTAAATTGTCTCGAAATCTTTTCTCACACACAAACGGAAACTTACAAAAATATATGTAAATGTAATTTTAAAAATATATATATCACATCTACTAATTTAACAGGTTATTCCGCAACAACAACATAAAATAAAATCAGTTATCCATGCAAACACATAGAAACATACATATACAATATAAATTGTAAAGAAGCGCATTTATATAGTTATGTATGCTTAAGGTTTGCAATTATGTATGGATTGTAAAAACTAAGTCAGTGCGGTAATTGCGCCATTTATGTTCATCATAAAACTGTGACAGGGCCTACTAGGATAAACAGTGTGGCGAGATATAGTTTATCTGTATTGACATAGTTACATGGTCATACTTAGTGCAACGCACACACAAAGTAATAGCTAAGGTATAGTACAATTACTATTATATATGTATGAATAACCGGAAATCGCTAGATGGATAATAAAAAAGCGTAGGAACACAAAATGATTTACTACGTGCGTAAGACCTTGATTCATTTTTTCTCTCTCATATGCAAGAACGTGTCTGAACATGTTCGACGAATAATAAAAAACTCACTACTGCATTCTACCGCTTTATTGCATAGAAGGAGGTTTCTCCGTCCCAATAATTTAAGCTTAATATTTAATTATTAAAAAAATATATATTTCGAAATGGAATCGAGAAGAGCCCAAAGTCAATGAAGATTAAAAAGAAAAGAAGCTGTAGTTTTTGATTTCCCATTTATAATTTTATATAAATTTAAAAACATAGATTAAGACAACATATCGAAATAATGTGTAAAATAAAGTTTTTTGTTGCTTTGCTTTTGTAAACTAAACAGTAAGTTACATTTCTTATTTAAAAACGGAATACATTTCTTTATAATAATATTATAATTTTTAATAAAGTAATAATAATTATATATCTTATTTTATGGCACCTCAATTTGTATATCATTGTAGTAGAAGAGATGTGCTTATGTATGTACATACATACATACACATGTACATGAAAGATTATAAGGTTTGGCTATAAGGAATGTAAAAATGTGCCAGTGGAATTTGAAATTTCCCTTATCGGAAAAATCAAGCCAACTAGGGTTTTCGTAACACTGCAAGGGTATGCAAAAACTTTATTTCGAAATGTAGCTATAATTCTTTTTTATTTTAATTTAAATTAATAGTGAAATTAATTTTGTAGCACTTAAAAATGATTGATCCCATTTTTCTATATATTTATTCCTTATATATATACATATATATTATTTAAGAGACCCCCCTTTACGTCTCAAAAGATACTGAAATTCGAGTTGTTATTTTGTAAATTGTTATTGGTTAAATAAAAAATTGATTTTGGTGTTTCAAAAAGTGGTGTTATTTCTATTCTTTGGAGTCGAATATTGGCAAATATTATGAAATACATGACATGTTTCGACAGGTATTTTGTATTTACATATGTATATGGATTTTGATCAACATCACTAGCCAACTAAGTCAGTGATTTCAAATTTCAACAATTTGCCGACATTTTTAAGAAACAATTATAAGCCCATTGAGTTTTCTGCCAACGATCGTGTTATATATGGTATTTTTTAACCTGCAAGTCATTTGAACAGCTGTGTGCTGGGACGAAACAAAAAACTTGAAAGATTGAAATTAGTTGCATGGCTCAGTCAGTTATTTTTCGTGCCCATGTATGGTATAGATGTTTTGTGGCCGTGTTCTGCGATTAATCCCCATAAATGTGGTAAATAAATCAGCTAAAATATATTTTTGTTTTTAATCATATTTTTATTAAGATACAATTCTATTTATATGTAGATTTGGTTTGTGCTTTCTTAAGATTCTTAAGTGTCTTACCTTAGCCTATAGTTTTATGCCTGATTACACGTAGCTCTATTAATACGCATAAAATACAATTGTTGTTGATTCAAAGTCGATTCGAGTATTATTAAATAGTAAACATTGATTTTTTTGTGTGTTTATATTATCATTAAATTATTATAAGTTTTATTAAAAATTAGTATTAATAATGCTTTATGTTTTTTTTTTTGCACAGGATTCGGTAATAACTACTGATCACAAAGCATATTACATTTTTACAATTAAATTAAATAAGAATTTTATTATATCCTGACATTGCCACAATAACACATAATGCGATTATGAATCTCTTACTCTAATTTGTATACCCTTGCATGCTCAGAAGTTTGCAGTTTTGACCATCTTTTTTTTTACCAAATTTAAGATATATCTATTTAATATTATTCTAGAATTTCGGCTTTAATTTTCAGAAAATCCAGAGACTATATCATATAGCTGCCATAGGAACTATTTTTAAATGTAGAGGAAAATGCCAAACTGTAAATGTAAAACTGTCATTATAGTATGTATAGGTGAGTGTAATGAAAGAAGGAGTTACTTTGGTGTTTATTTATATAATATAATTTATATCGAATTAATTATTAATGATCGAAATACAATCTGCAAGGGTATACAAACTTCGGCGTGCCAAAGTTAGCTTCCTCTCTTGTTTTTATTTAAAATAAACTTTTAATTTGATTCAAATTTTAAGAACAACAGTACTTTGTTTTTCTTACAGTCGTTAGTATATATGTATAAAAGGTATTCATTTTACTGGTGCATAATTTTTTGGAAACTTGTTATACATCAAAATAAATATCAAGCCTTTGTACAATTTTTACATGTTATAAAATATGTTTCTGTGGCTTTTAAAAAATATAAATGAATAATTAATAAATACAAATAAATATTTTAAGTTTTTTAAAAACTTTGTTTTTGGTTTTGTTTTTTTTTTGCCTAGATTTGTTTTTTGGTTTTTTTTGGTATGATAATTTCTACTGTCTCTCTCGTAAGCAATATTTTCATTCTTATTAGTGCCAGCCTTATTTAAGTTTCAGCTCCTAAAACTTAAAACGTAACAATAAATGCATGATTTTTGAATGAAGTTGGGCTTAATTCCATACAAAATAGGCCAAATTTTTGTTTTAATTTTTGAAAGAATTAAACAAAATGAATATACTTTAAAACGATTAAAAATTAATATGCGAACAGTTATTTATAACAAGAATAAATATTATTTGAATATTACTTTTCGACAAACAATTATCAATTTGAACGAATTTTTATAACTTAAAGAAACTCGTTTTCAATAGAGTGGAATATTTGTATTCTTCTTTTTTGTTTAAGAGATAGCGGCGTTTACAATACTGAAAGACCTTTTATGACATTCCGCTAGCTGCCGAGGCTTTGGTTATTTGGATTTGAATTTACGTTTTTGGAGGCTATTGAATTTTAAGCCAGGAATATGTCAGATGACTCGGATTTGGTGCAAGCACTTCCACTTCCTGGCGATGCCGCCGAAGCCAAGGAATTGGCTCTTGTTGCCGCGAGAGGTGAGCGCAGGTCCTGACTTATAGACTGACTTTGGCCGGTGCTCTCGTAATAATATGACGAGTCTATAAATAAATAAATGTGATAACAATTTCCCACTTTAAAAATTTGTTTTGCGTCTTAAGAGGGTTCACCACTACAGATGACAGTTTTTAGCGTTTATTAGAGACTTTTTACGCAAGCAATATTACCATATCAATAAAACTTTGATATGTCGCTACGCGTGTGCCGTACAAATTCGAGATAATTCTCTAAACAATAATATCACGCTTTAAGAAAGGCTTACTGAACACGTTGGAGGATTAGCCTAGAGCAAGAGTGCTCACTTCAAACTGCTGGTTTTGGATACAAATAATAATAATTAATTACTCACTTATTAAACCACCGCCAGCTCCATAACCATAGGAGCCATAAGCACCGCCATATTGTGTGTAAGCCGGGTTATAAGCGTAATCCGAAGTGGGTACAACGGAACTGCAACCTAAAAATAAACAATTTCAAAATTGTGAATTTCTGAAAATAAATTATTATTATACATGGGCATTTCCCAAACCGCGCACACGGCATCAGACGCATTAAAAGTAAATAAAAATCGGTAAAAAGGAAAACATTTTTTCTTATGAAAGGCATAACATATAGACGTTTTGTTGGTTTTCTTTCCTTGGTGCAAAGACTGATTGTGGGTAATTTTTTCAGATAATTGCAAGGGGTTCGATTTGATAAGTGAGAAGTGGTTTGTGAGGTCGAGCGATTCAAGAGGATTAAATGCAACGTATTGCGTTTAGGATGCTACACTACAGTAATACATACAAAATTAAATAATTTCAAAAAAGAAAACAAAACCATTTTGCATTCGAATATTTCAATGTACGATTTAGAAAATGGAAAGTACTTTCAAATTTGATCAATATGATGAACATTTCGTAATGTAAGCAAAACTTATAAAACAAATTATAATACATTTAAATTGAAGTTTAACAAATTCGTTGTATTTAGTTTTCTCAATTATTTGTTTGTTAGTCATGCTATAATTAGGTTTATTATCTTAGGAAACTATTGGGGTGTCCGTGTTTAATTAGTGCTCACACCATGGTATCAATATTAAGCAAGTTTTTTGCAAAACTAGTGCTACATGGAGCTAGGGTTTAGGTACAAGTCAGAACTAAGTTGTATTAAATAATAAGTATATTAAATAATACACCAACCAAAAAGTAAGCCAGAACCAAAACATTAAATTATTATAGTACTTTATATACATATATGTACATATTTATATATATAAGTTATTTTAATTACCTTTGAAAAGCCAACATAAATATTTATTTGTATTAACCATTTCCCTTTGCCTTAAACTGAATTTTATCTTGCGAATCGATCAACTGTATCTTAAAGCTACATTTTAAAATAATCCGACTGATTGCGGTAATTGAATATAGTATTCGCAGACAGCTCCCGCAGCTTGCAATAGGGTTCTATAACAGGTGTCGTGTGCAATTTATCAATAGTGCAAAGGTGACCATCCTCCTTGTGCGATAAAACTTGGGACTTGCCTGCAGAATAGTGATTGAAACTTGGCAGCACTGCAGTCGGAGGATATAGACTTATATTGTTACGCAGATTATTGGGCTCAATGTCTGAGCGATCGGAGGTAGTCCCTCCACCGGGCTGAAGAAGTATTAGGGATGTGTGGGTAACGGTATTTGGTTGTTGAGAATTTTGACTTCCTTTCATTAGCTGATCTTCTGAGACATGTTGAAGGTCCGCAGCATCATTAATACGCTTTTTCGAGTCCTTATTCTTTTCTCCCTCGCCGTCGCGATCACAGTTGTTGTTAATGGTTTCTTTGATATTTTCGGCGTGACTCCTCGTATTCAGAGAGATCTCAGACAAGGACACTATGTTCCCCGTCGTTGCCGATGAATTTGAGCTAGTTTCCATTGGAGCATAGTTACCGTCGAAGGCTAAAGCTGGTGTCAGACAAAATAATTAAGTTTATGGCTTTGTCCAAAAACAAATGATTTGTATGCCCTTGCAAAGGGCATTGATTTAGTCAGAAGCTTGCAACACAGTGAGGGAGAAAAATGCGACATATGCAACTCGAACCAGTCATTGGTCCGTCTGTCCGTCAATTCGTTTCAACGCAACTCCCTCAGTTTTAAATATACATATCTAAATTAAACATTTCAATTGTTTCTTTTGCAGGTAATATATGCGTCGAAACATATTTTCATATAATCCAAGGTTACGGAATTTTGCAAGAAGGTCCTAAATATGGACCGAAGAAAAAATGGATAATGTAAAATGTCCGTCAACATTTCTCCCACCAATACTATATTAAATTTAAGCACATAGCTGACATAGGAATTAATTACATAATTCATCTATTATTTTGCAAATATTATACATTTTTCATATCTCTGAGACATGTTTATTCCCTTGCAGGATATTATAGTTTTAGTCAAAATGTACGCAGTAAAGAAGTCATTTCCGTGCCTATTAAGTATATACATACATTCCTAATTAGCATCAACAGCCGAGTCGACCTAGCCATGTCCGTCAATTCATTTCTACTAGCTTACTTGATTTTAAGGCTAAATGAATGAAACTTTGCAGATAGTCTTCTATAAACTCTCACTCAGAACGGGCCGGATCGAACAACTATATCATATAGCTGCAATTATGCAATAGACACAATCGTTACTTATAAAGGAAATTTCAGAACTGGATATGTAAAACTGTTCGTGTGAAGCAATTTATTTTTTATCAAGCCTGTTGTTTTTTTGTATCATGTGTGTTTCAAACACAAATTTCTTATATGAAACAAAAAATCTCTTAGTAAAGTGAGCTTAAATTAAAACTACAATTATTGTGATATTTGAAGGTTTTTGGAGTTCTATTGCACCCCTTTTGCTTGTCTCCACATATATTTTATCAGTTTGATAAAGTTCAAAAACCTACCTTATAATACTGGCTGTACTTCCTATTAATTGATTAATAAAACTGTTTTCTTACCTGTGTAAAATGGAGCAATTGCTTGCTGTTCCTGCATTGCATTCGTACTTATCTTCATGTCATGCATATTTATTGGAACTAAAGGGGTAAGCGAACTGCCGCCTATAAACCAAATAAAATGTTACAAAACAAAAACGTAATGTTTATTTTTTTAAATGAATAAATATGTAAGCTAAATCTAATAAGATAAAATAAATCATCTCACAACTAAATAAATAAATATCACACAAACAATTTTAAATGTCGGTACTTACCCAGCGATGGTCCGATAGTTTGCGTATATAGTGTTCCTTGACTTTGTGAAATGGTTGCGATACTATCGTACAGCATGGACGTATCACTGCCCGATGGCCCATGTCCAGGCACCGCTCCTGGAAGAGAGCCTGAAGAAAATCCATTTGCTGCTTCATAGTAGGGTGCCGTGGCGCAATTTCCGGTTCCGGAACTTGTTGTTAGGTTTCCCAGCTCCGCTAGAAGTTTGTGCTCATCCTTGATACACCATTTTCCAGACCAAATCTTTGAGGTGAAATAAAAAATTTGATTATCTTTATAAGTTTTGACAACTTTATTGCGGTTTTACGCTTTAATCTGAAATGTGTGGCTTTCAATTAGGGATGGCAGAAAATGTTGGTTAATATGATGAGTCGATATGAAAAAGGATGCGAACTGTGCTAAGATAAAGCGAGCCAATGCTTAGATAAAGGCCAAGCTGTTTTAAGATATTTAAAATTCTATTACAACAAACTACACTGCCACTTTTGCTTTTATAGAATGGGATAAATAGTCAGGTTATTCCCTATACGACTGAATTACTGAAAACGTCGGTGATATACATAAAAAAAATATATATATGATATATATAAAAAATCAAAAAAGAAGAAAACATAACTTTAGCTAGAAATAAAGCTTGAAATAAAATTCAGGTCTATCAAAAACTTAGGAACCATTATTTATTTCTAGAAGCTCTTTTTAAGAGGACTGGTCCATTAGACGTTTTCTGTCTTTATATTGGCGAACCTTAACCACCTTAAAAATTGATTGATTAGAGGATCTTATGACCTCGAAGAGAGATCTTGGAGATCTCAAATAATTTGGTTGCTTGTCGCTGTTACAATAACTAAAGTATCCAACTGAGGTCGAACGGAGAACGATGTGATATAAGTTTTACATCCTGCTATCGTATATTGCTAAATAAGCATAAGGGCGGTGTTGATCTGTCTGATATCTAATTGGAACTATACATAATTATTCACCCTTCAAAAAGTGGTATATGCGCATTGTGTTTTGGTGTTTAATAGTTGACAGAGAATGAACACATGCGTCAAATAAATTTCCAATTAGGCATTGCCAATAAAGGACTTCAATCAGGAAAGGATTGATTGCTTAATTCGGTCTCGCTTGATTCGACACCACCTCAAGCATCTCTACCTGACTTATAAACTCCAAAACCTAAAAAAGATAATGCCTTAGAAGGTTTCTAAACTTAAAGATATGACCACACCAAACATTGGATCCAGTAGACCTTAAAACCACTTACATTTTGATAAAGCTGGTCTCCGCTATAGCCCATCCGCTGACGTTTTCCTTCATCCTCGGAATTGGTATTTGTGTCTCGGTTTTCATCTAAAATAAAAATTTTAAATATATACTGTATACTTTATGTACTATACATATATTATATTATATATTATTACAAGAAAGGAAGCTATCTTCGGGACGCCTACGTTTTTATACCCTTCGAGTTTGTAATTATACCATTTTATCAACTTATGAAATATTTGAATGTAGAAAGCACAGAACCTTTTGTATTGTCCCAAGTTCTCCTAAATGTTTGAACGAAGTAAAAAAATGATTCCTGTTTCAACCAATGGAAATATAAATAAAACTATCAGATAGCTAAAAAACAGAGAGACTAGTTTGGGTCCACCCGCCTGTTTATGCTGATCAATAATATATGTTTATATATACATAACACACATACATATGTATATAAATGTTATGGTAAAATTATATTATAATAGATAATAGGTAATATAATAAATTAGATTACAATAGATTTTTATACCCTTGCAGGTAATATAATTTCAGTCAGAAGTTTGCAACGCAGTGAAGGAGGCACCTCCGACTATATAAAGTATATATATTCTTGATCAGGATCAACAGCCGAGTCGATGAAGCCATGTCCGTCTGTCCGTCTGTCCGTCTGTCCGTTTCTACGCAAACTAGTCTCTCAGCTTTAAAGCTATCTGAATGAAACTTTGTAGTTTATACTCTCACTCATATATATGTCGAAACGGGCCAGATCGGACTACTATATCATATAGCTCCCATAGGAACGATCGAAAAATTAATTCAATTAAAAATTCTAACGTTTTCAGTTTTCAGCAGATTTTCATCAAATTTGAGATATACATAGCCATTTTATATCAGTCTTAAATTTTATGAAAATCGGAGGACTATATCATATATGTAAGTGTCATACAAACGATCGTTATATGTAGAGGAAAAATACAAATCTGTGAATGTAAAACTGCAAATATAATGTCGTGAATATAGGTGAATGAAATGAAAGCAGGTATTACTTCATTGTACTAAACACAAATATATATAATTTATGTTGTATGGATTCCTAGTCATAGAAGTTCTGTCTGCAAGGGTATATAAACTTCGGCGTGCCGAAGTTAGCTTCCTTTCTTGTTTTTAGTAATCCACTTTCATATAATGTGATGTTAGGTTTTCGTCACGTGCCGCTTAAGTGCATTTGTGAGTTCATGACCGTCGGTGGTGAAAACATAAATTACAAGAAAGAAAGTTAAGCCAAGTTTGTATATTCTTGGTGAATTCAATTCAATTAATAATAAATAATACAATATAAATTATATATATTTAAGTTAAAAATAAAAAAAGTAATGCCTATTTTTATTACTTTTCCCTATACATACTATATTTGCACTTACAGTTTCACAACTGAGAGACTAGTTTGCCTAAAAGCAGACAGACGGACGGACAGACGGACGGACAGACGGACGGAGCGACGGACATGACTAAATCGACTCGGCTGTTTATGCTGATCGATAAATTATTTACTTTGTAGGGTCGGAAATGTCTCCTTCACTTTGTTGCAAACTTCTTATTAAAATTATAATACCCTGCAAGGGTACCACACACACATTTTCCACTTTTGCTTTATATCCAATCTGGTAAGAATACAATATTAGTTTGTTTTTAACGAAAATAATAATAGGTAAGCGGAATAAAAAATAATAGCTTTATTTATTTGCCTGTTGGGGGGTCGCTCAATTTTGAAGTAATCATATCCATGATAATGATTCACTTTCACCTTTTTGATTTCGGGCATATGGGCATTTTTGGATGCAATTGCCAAACATCCCTTGATTCTCTTTTTCGAGATATCTCATTTTCATTCGAACAAATTGCCACAAAAACCGAACAGCAGTTGAATTCCGAGGGGACTTATGAGACCAGATTTCGGGAAAAACATGACTTGAAAATAAGTACATTCTCCGGTTATTATACCAACTATTGGATATAATCAAACAATTTTAATTTCAAAATGGATTGATAAATAAACTAGAAATGATATATTTAAAAAAACACAATCAGAAGTAAAATAATGTATATGTATGCTTAAGAAGAGAGCATTTTATAGATGTAAACAGTTGGGATCTGTTGCAAACTTTTAAAACAAGAACATTTTATTATAAAACTTATTTGAAAAAATATATTTGAATTAAACTTTACTTTATATCTCTTCCATATTCATACATATGTTTATCAAATTACTATTTGAACGCTGTAGTTTATGAAACACCCGGATAATTTCACTGACAGACATTTAAGAAATGTGTTATTATCTTACCGCAAAATCACTGCGTTCTACTTAATGATTTTCAGATTTTGATCTTATGGCCAGTTTCTACCCTCTTTGGCGGCAAAGTGCCGGAAAGCTATTTGTCCGAAAAATATAGTCACCAGTCAAATAAAAGAAAATAAATTCCTACCCTCCCAAAATGTGTGCGAACTGTTCTGTATTTATCCATAACATAGGCCTACAAGACTCAGGTAAAACAAAAAAGGAAGCTAACTTCGTTACTGATCAAGAATTTATATTCCTTAAATGGTCGGAGCAAGGGTATAACAAGAGCGGTTATAATTTTAGTCGCGTTAATTTCTCTATCGTTTCTATGAAAGCTTTGTACCTATATCATATAGTTGTCCGATCCGGCCTGTATATACAAGAGAGAGTATGTAGAAGACTATCTGCATATTTTTTATTCAGCCCTAAAACTGAGAGACTAGTTTGCGTAGAAAAGGACAGACGGACAGAAGGACAGAAGGACAAACGGCCGCACGGACAGATGGCCGGACGGACAGACGGACATGGCTAGATCGGCTGTTGGTGCTGATCAAGATTATACTTGGCTGGTCAAAAGTATTTACACAAATTCACAATTATTTCAGAGCCACAGCCAAGCATCTTTTATTTGTTGTTGTTGAAAATTTCTTGTTCATTTTTTAAAAACGTCCGCCTTCATGGTCCGTATGAAAAATAAGCTCGAAATTTGTCGACCTGTGTAACAAAACTGTGGGGATTGTATGTACATAAACAGATACTTAGCAGGTATGTATATAGCCTTGAGGAGTAATTACATTATATAAAATTTAAAATATTCTCAAAACTAAATAAATTCGAAAAATAATTACTTACCATGGGCTTCGATTCTTTTGCGTTTACAATTCGGATCTGGTGTTGCATTATTGTTATTGTTGATACTGTTGTTGTTGTTGTTGTTGTTGTTGTTATTGTTGTGCGAGTGATGAGCATGATGTTGAATCCCTAAAATTCCGTTTATACTGTATCCCGTGGTGTTGCGTTGTTCAGTTGCTGTCCCGTTCGCTGCGGCATCATTGGGGATCGGGATTGAGATTATAGGAACTGGGACAGAGGAATCGGGAGCGGAAATGGGAATGGGTATTGAGGGATTGGAGTTAGCACTACTATTATTAGTACCGCAATTTTGATTAGCACTGGGATTATTTGAGGCCTGTGGAATCGGATCTCCACCATTTGTACCGGTGCTACTATCGAGACTCTCTGTGGTAATATTATGACCGAGATTCTGTGGCACATGATGCTGATTTTGGTGATGATGATGCACATGCTTAGCCTTTTCCGCGGCCTTATTGCGAACAATTCTAAAAAAGCAAAATTTCGTAATTTTTATATAGTCTCATACTACTATTACAAAGCTAGGATTTGTATTCTTTTTTGTGAGTACACACAAATGTAAACATACATAATATGAATGTTGACTTACAAATGTATGAAGGAATGAATTTACGACTAAACTTAAAACCTAGTAGCCCATTTTACATAATTCTTTCACCATTGAAAATCTATATATTATATTTTAAGATCGTTTCTATGGCAGCTGTATGAACTTGTCATCCGATTCCCATAAAATTTTAAACAAAATTCTGGAATAATTTAATATTTTGATGAAAATTTTTTAAAAACTGGAAAACTCGTAATATTTTTCTAAACATTTTTCGATTGTTTCTATGGTTTCTATGTGAGTATTTAGACGACTTACTGCAAACTTTTACGCATATTTGTATGTAGCTTCAAAACAGAAAGACTAGTTCGTGTATCGACTCGGATGTTCTTGCTTATCAAGGATATGTATACTTTATAAGGTTGGAAATGTCTCCTTCACTGCGTTGCAAACTTCTAACTAGAAATACAACTTATTTGAGGATTAGCTAATGAAAGTTCAGATCGTATAGAAAATCACAGGGCATACATATAACACAGAGTCACCGAATCGATCGGTGAACTAAGTGAAAACACGAACAGAAACTAACTTTGACATGCCGAAGTTTATATACAGTTGCAGTTTACTTGTAACATTTACCAATACATTTTCTATTTTCAGTTCCAGTGAGTATTTAGAAGGCTAACTGTGAACTTTCATTCAGATAGCTTCAAAACTGAGAGACTAGATTGCTTAGAAATGGACGGACGGACAGAGAGACGGACACGACTAGATCGACTCTACTGTTGATGCTGATCGAAATATACATACATGTGTATGTATATACTTTATGCGGTTGGAGATGGCTCCTTCCCTGCGTTGCAAACTTCTGACTGAAGCGAAGTTCAAATTAGTATCTATTCATTTCCTATGGAAGTTATAGCTATAGTAGTCCGATTTGAATGAAGCTAAAACCGATATTCAAAAATAATGAACACACACAGGTGTCACCCCCTAATCCAATTCGGCTACTTAAGTCACAGGAGTAGAAGAGAATAGTACACAAAACTTCTTCTTCCAGATTTTAGGCTATACCTTGTTCATATCTCTATAGCTGCTCACTTGTTTAATTTCAGACGCATGCTCCCACTGTTAAACCTCGAAAATGTCTAAGTGTATACATTGTAGCCTAGCAGTCAAATGGGAATTAAAATTTTTGAATGTTCAACCGCACCCAGCACCGACGGCACCCGACACGTGCTGCCATTCAGAATCAATTCGATTCATATTACCATTACCACTCGGGAAGTACAACCCTGCAAAGTTGACATGTGACCGATGATGATACCATAAGTCGCAAAAGCCGTGGGGGTAATTCGCTAGTATAATGAAGTCAAAACAAAAAAATCATAATACGAAAATGCGAAAATGTTAGCAATGTGTGATGTGATGGCACTTGGGTAGTGATTAGGGCGATGAGCGGTGATTCAATCGAATCAAAATTTTGTGTGCTGAACGCAGATCTGCCCCAACCCCATTTGCCACTTTTTGGTATGTAATAGGACAGAAGAGGTTTAAGAGATTCACGAAGCATTCACAATAGAGTTTCCCCAGGAGACAAACACTTAATAAAGTGACTTTCACATAGCACTCAACCAATTTTAGTTTTATTATCCAGCCCCTTTTTGCCTTCCCAATGTACATCTGTGCAGAGACGGCTTCTCCGCATATCCCAAACATATGTCTCGATTGTGTGCACTGTCCCCGTTCCACAAGGTACAATATACATACATATATTCGTAAATCCCAACCCCAGAACTCGAAAAGTCTTAGCCAGTGAGCAGTTAGAATTGACAGCCTTCGGTGTCCTCGAAAGTGAAAACCTGCCAATTGTACTTACATTTTATCTAATCTATGTTTATCGTTCAATATATTGCTGTTAGAGAGAATTTTGTTGTATTCGGTATTTAAAATTATACAAGATTCTTACATATTGCCGCATCTTGTCCTAATACGTTGCATTTGATATTACTTTACAATTATTATTGCAATGGGAAAATATCGACATTTCAATGCTAAGACCGATATATGTACATGTATAACTCAATACTTCAATGATTGGCAAAACTTTCAATTACCTTTTAAAAATATAGTTTTAAAGATGTAAGAAAAGTTGGTAAATAGCAGTATTTTGTCTATTTGTTGATGACACAATATGTTCGATATTAAGTGCAATATGTCAGTCCATGTTTTAGATCGGATGTTGTCAACCGATTTCGATTAAATTTAAAAATATGTATGACACTTAGTTTTCAAATTGCTGAGATGCAGCTGATTTTTTAATTGAAAAAGCGACTAAACGGTCGCTTGTATTGACCTACAACAAAGCTTTTAATTTTGGTTTTAATTATCAAACAAAAACACCTCTTAACAGGCGAGAAAAAAAAGACGATCAACTTTCCTCTCCAAAAATTACTAATAAGATCTTTAGTATCGGTTAAATAAATTAAAAATTGATTTTAAAAATGTTTTAACTAGTTTCTAATTCGAAACGCTGATAAAAGACCTTTGTTTTAAAGCAATTTGTTTGATAGAAATATTTACTTTTGAATTCTCGTAATAGAAATTAAATCTGTTTTGCACCGTATATATTTATATATATATTTTAAATGTTGTTTGACGATTTAAAAGCTTATCATATTTTTGTGCATTTGTTTTTACATGAATTTGATCATTTTTGGTACACCAAGAGACCTGCATTTCTACTCAAGCATTTAAAAACAAGAAAGGAAGCTAACTTCGGACGAAGTTAGTATACCCTTGCAGAGTGCAATTAAATCATTAATAATTAATACAATATAAATCATATATAAATCTATTTATGTTAAAAAACAAAGAAGTAAAGCCTACTTTAATTATATTTAACTATATTATGTATATATTATTATATTTACAGTTCTGCATTGACTTACAAATGCATGTATGAAAATAGTAGTGAGAGTAGAACACACATCCTTCGGATGACTTTAAAATTGACACACTAGTTTGCGTAGAAACAGAATTATTATTGAACTTAAGGTCAAACCTTATCTGAATGAAACTTTGCAGTTCGTTTTCTATATACTCTTACTCGAATATATGTAAGTCGGAACGGGTCGGATCGGACGACAATATCATTGTAATAGTCTAGAAATTTGTTTAAAATTTTATGAAAATCGGAGCTGCAATTTGAGATATAGCCATTTCATATTATTCTAGAATTTCGGTTTTAATTTTATGAGAATCGGGAGACACTATCATTTTGCTGCCATGCAAACGATCGTTAGATATAGAGGAAAACACTGTGAATGTAAAACTATTATTATTATATGTATATGAACGTAAGGGAATTAGGTATTACTTTCTCTTTTTGTTAACATAAATATATAAAACTTAGTGGGATTTAAAGCAAAACATTTAAGATCAAAGAAAAATTGAGTTGTTCTAAGAAATGATGACTTTTTTGGAAGCATCCTTTCGCCCGTTAATGACTTCCAAAAGAGAAAAAAAATGGTCTTAAAGCGGAAATGCATATAAATAACAGGCGGCAATGTGGGACAGTGACACTGTCGACGGAACACTCGGCCACGTGGCCAGTTGGATTCAGATATTCAAACGATTTAGGTAATAAAGCTACTCTCCGTCGACCGGAAACTCGAAGTGGTCGGCGTTGTGGTCGTGTGTCAAGCATTGTGCCACAATTATGAACGCTAAAAACTACTTACGATATTTTTATTAGCCTGAAAGCTTTCGCGTATTTCGTATTTGGAAATATATATGTATGTATGTCCTTACAAACATGTAAAGTCATGAAAGTACGACGATGTTCTGGACTCGGAAACGGAAGCCGAACTTAGCAGGATGACAATGACAGCAAACAAACAGACACGAACGGACATGCGTATATCCGTTGTAATCTGTGTATCATTGTACGTCGCAATTCCTATTTCCCTTTCCCCAATATTTCTAATTTTTGTATACCCTTGAAGGAGTCATCTCGGACCATATAAAGTATATACATACAATATTCTTGATCAGCATCAACAGCCGAGTCGATCTAGCCATGTCCGTCGGTCCGTCGGTCCGTTTCTACGCAAACTAGTCTCTCAGTTTTGAAGCCTTCTGAATGAAACTTTGTAGTTAGTCTTCTATATACTCTCACTCGTATATATGTCGGAACGGGCTGGATCGGACGACTATATTATATAGCTGCCATAGGAACGATCGGACAATTTTTACGAAAAAATGATAACTTTTTCAGTTTAAAACAGAATTTGATCAAATTTGAGATTTAGCCATTTGTATATGTATATTATTTTACAATTTTGTGTTAAATTTTACGAAAATCGGACTTCTAGATCATATAGGTGCAATACAAACGAGGATATAGAAGAAGAATGCGAAATGTAAAGCTGTAAATATAATATGGAAAGGTGAATGAAATGAAAGCAGGCATAACTCCATTGTTTCTTAACATAAATATATATAATTTTAATCGTATTGGTTTCTAGTCATCGAAGTTCTATCTGCAAGGGTATATAAACTTCGGCGTGCCGACTTTAGCTTCCTTTCTTGTTTTTTTAATTTAGTCCCTATTTGTCTTAGTCGAATTTTACTTCCCCTATTGCTATGTATATTGTTGACGAAAATAAGATATTTTTTCGTACCGATTTATTGACGAAACACTTGGAACGTTATCCTGTGAGCATATTGCCTCGGCCAATAACCGGTCCCGGATCTCCCAGGCAAACATTGTTGGATTCTCGCGTTTATAATTCGCAATAGCGTCCACAACGGGCGGTGTGGCGACCTTTGGCTTGGAACCGCCAATGACGCCGGCCTTAAAGCTACCAGTCTCATAATATCTGAAAAAAAAAATTATATATGAATTAATTAATTTAGTTGTTGTACTTATCGTTACTCTATCTTAAACCAATTTCTCTGCCCTCAATTTGCCCTCAAATATTTCTTTAAATCAAAACGAATCTGCCGTTTTCGTGAGCCTTTTTGATTTTCCTGAGATTGAGTAATGGAATAATAATCTAACAGTCGTGAGTTAGAGCCCAACTTGTTAAAATTTTGTTTTAGAATTGTGAGTATGACTAAAAGCTCTTGTATAATAATTTTCGAACAATTTAGTTTTCACGTTTTCAATTACAGAAGCAAATGAAACAAGGAGGGAAGCTAACTGCGTTACATTTACTTATAAATAGACAGTTTTCAATTTTCCTCTACATTTTACGATCGTCTCATACAAAATGACTATATCTCAAATTAGATAGTAATAAATTGAAAAATGCAAAGTTCTAATTTTTTCTTAAAATTTGTCGATTATTCCTATGGCATAGTAAATAAATAGTAGTCCGAATATATAGAAGACTAACTTCTGTTTTATTCCCTGCTGTACCACATGACATCAATAGGCCATTGTCATCAACAATTCATCAACGTGCCGACTGCGACTTCTACTGAGATGACGCTCTCAGGCGGCAATTGTGTCAAACCCGGCCCGATTTGCTCTCGGTTGATGAAACGTTGATGAAAATAAGGCCGAAACACATAAGCCTTTCATCAGTAAAAATAGAGCAATATATAGGGTTTTTGGTATAGCAGTAAAAGCATATGAAAATAATCTAATTATGTATATGAAAATTATTTATGCGAGGAAAAACTATAAGTAAAAATTAAAAATTACGAACTTGATTATATAATTAACAGCGAATTATATTTTTTAAGTGCATAAAAAAGGACCACATAAAATATTTTCGACCTAAATGTTGATGAATTGTTGATGACATATTGATGAATCGTTGATTGTTAATTACTGATGAATGGTACTGCAGGGTTCAGGCAGCTTTGAGAGACTGAGAGACTATATTGCGTAGAAAGGAAGAGTTAGACAAAAAGAAAACTAATAAAAAAGTATAAAATATTATTATAATAATTTGCTTTTGTTTCAATTTCAACATTATTTTAAATCGCATAAATAACAAATCAATATGAAGAGAAAAACAACGAAGTAATGTGCATTACATTTACCTATAATTATTTGAACTACAGCGAAGTGTGTGGTATAGTAATCTAATTTGCTCTACCATCAGTAAGTTAGAAACGGCTGAATAAAATTATAATACACCACAAGGGTATAGTATAGGCGGCAGTTTATAGAAAATATTTACTTTAATGTGGATATCTTGCTTGGAAATATGCACCGCGCCCAAGCGTCTAAAAAATAAAGAATCGTCAGACTTCTTTATTATCTAACATCTAATACTTGAAGGCTACATCGAACATACATTAAATTAAAGATGGGTAATCCCCCCAATCATTTTGTTCTTCATTATTCCAAATTACCTCGATAGTATCTTGGACACACAGCCATGGCTCACACGTAACTGTCGTGATATGTCGCAGGGACGGACGCCGTTATGAGCCAACTCCACAATGCGCTGGCGTACGACGTCGGGCAAAGGACGACCGTTAACGAATACGCCTCCCAATTGATTAACACCTCCGTGACCTGTTGATAAATAAATTTGTATTTAGTAGGAATAATTTTAAACAGTTTTTTCATTTTTAACTGTATGTATTTAAAGTATATTTTATCATTATGAGAGACAAAACACTTTCAAGCATAACACAGAAACCTTTAAAAGTAGTTTAAAGTTCAACTATTTGAACGTAAAGCAACATTAGAGTATTGGGACAAAGATTTGCATTGTCCGATTCTAAATATACGAAATAATAAGAACGTAGGTCGATAAATAAAATTTAAAAATTCTGAAATTCGATGGGCACGATAACTCAAAATCTACATTTATAACTAAGTTTACCTAAAATATCTATGAAATCAATGCTTTTCACGTTTATTAAGAAAGTTAATCTTAAATGGAGTAATGCCAAGTCGCGCGAGTTTAGAGAAAAAAAATATTAGTTTCTTTGGCCTACAAATTTATGGGTAAGTGTGAACGGTAGATAATTGGCACACGTTTGAGATTTTTCTAAACTTCTCCCTTAAATTAAGGCAGGACTTAAATTAAGAAAAGCAGAAAGGCTTTATGATTCTATAAAGTATGTACATATGTATGTACATATATATTCTTGATCTTGATATATAGTACTGAAACCAGTCTTTTAGTTTATATCTTATCTTTATAAAATGTTGTATATTTAAGTATAGATAGTGTTCTCATTAGCATTGAAGTTGGAATGGGCTAGATCAGACGAGTATATCATATAACTGTCATAGATAGGATCGATCGGGTAATTAATTTTAAATAATTATAACTCAACATATTTTACTTGTACCCTGATATATGGGCATTTTTTATGACTATATCATAAGCTACCATTGATACGATCGACTCTAAAAATCTCCCCTTCGATTTTTGAACTGAATGAAACTTTTACCAGTTAGTCTTCTATATACCCTTCCTTGTATATATGTATATGTAAGTATGGGCCGGAATGGAAGACTATATCATAACAAACAACTAATAAATTTTCATCAAATTGAGAGATATTTCCATTATTCTAGAACTTCGTTGAATTGCATGAAAGTCGGATGACTACTATTTTTGTTTATTCTTCAAAATTTATGTATTTGAATTTTAACTTATATTTCAAATCGTCCACAAATAAATACTATTCAATACCTAATTTTCGAGTTTGATAGTTTCATTCAGAAAATTCAGAGTTTCCGTAGAAAACAGACAGACAGACGGACGGACATGGCCATGGCCGACACCGTCGAATGTTGATCAAGAATAGTCGGAAACGGCTCTTTCACTGCATTGTAATCTTCTGTCTAAACTTTTAATACCCTGCAAGGGTATACAAGATATATGCATTAATGATGCCCATACATCAACCATTAAGCTACCCATGACTTATTTAAGCTTGGTGCTAACTTAAAATAAATATTTTTCAAGTTGCAAAACTCCGTATAAAAAATCGCAAAAATTTTTTATCTCCCGCTTGGGCGGGTAAAAAATGTTGCTAGCGAAAAATGAAAAGCGTTGCCGGATCAAAAAACTAAACAGTTGTGATTGAGCGAGCGAAAAAATAATTTGAATATTTTTAAAGATGGAGGGAAATTTAAAAGATAAAAGCACTGTGTTCATGCGCCGCTTTTTTAGCCGGCAGGAAAAGCTTGAAATTAATAAGAGCATTAAGAACAAGGCCGTGTTATAAGAGTTAATTGACAAAAGGCATTTAAAATAAGCCTTAAGCTATATAGCGGCGAATACGTTAGCTTAACTGATTATTTACCGATTTTACTGATCGATGTAAAACTTTGACAACTATTCTTTAGATAGGTACAATAAAAATAATTACAAAATAAAATGGATTTTTTAAATATGTGTATATTTTCCCGTTTGTCTGAACTGAATCCAGTAATTAAGGAACACAGCCTTCTTGGTACCGCAAAAGCAAATTAATGAAATAATTGAGAATCCCACAGAGAAGTGACAGGATGTAAATGGGGTGGAAACACAAGTGCCATTTGCCATTGCCTTCCTCGCCGTCCTTTGCCTCGCCTTGCACAGTATGTTTTTCATTTAGTGTTTTAATTTTTAAAACGCGGCATATCTTTGTGTTGTGGCTTTATCTTTGTGTTTGATGTTGTTCCAAAAATAATTACTCGGATAATGGAATTTAAAAACGCTGGAAATGTACCCCTTACTGTTTAGAATCTTGCTTGATGAAACCATTATACCCTTGCAGGGTATTATAATTTTAATCAGAAGTTTGCAACGCAGTGAAGCAGTCATCTCCGACCACATACAGTACATATATATTTTGGATCAGCATCAACAGCCGAGTCGATCTAGCCATGTCCGTCTGTCCGTCGGTCCGTCTGTCCGTTTCTATCTCAATGAAACTTTGCAGTTAGTCTTCTTGAACTCTTACTCGTAAATACATACATACATATGTATGTTGGAACAGTCCGGATCAGACGACTATACCGTATAGCTGCCCTAGGAACGATCGGAAATTTTTAGAAAAAAATAATAATTCTTTCAGTTTTCAACATAATTTTATCAAATTATATATATAGCCATTTTATATTAACCTATATATATGTATATTATATTACTATATCATATACATATGTAGCTGCAATACAAAGGATCGTTAAAAATAGAGAAAATTGCAAAACTGTAAATGTAATATGTATAGGTGAATGAATTAAAAGCAATGTTTTTTAACATAACTATATCCAATTTATATTGCATTAATTCCTAGTAATCAAATTTCAATCTGTAAGGGTAACACACTTTGGCGTTCCGAAGGATTTTCTATGAAATATAAATGTTCTTTATCAGTATCAACAGCTGAAACGATCTACCCATGGTCTTCTTTTTATTCCCTTTATCGGAATTTTCGCTGTTTATACGATTCGCATACTCAAAAATATACTTTTCGATATGAAAGTCTGGCTTAGGCTTGATGTTTTCAATTATTCTGAATTGCTTTTTTCAAATTCGCGACTGGGACTGACATTAACAATAAACAGCTGAATAGTAAATCTCAAACACACTTCCAAAAACTACTTCAACATCGAATAGTCCTTCGCTCAGCAGGATATAAACTGCTGTGAATTTTTGAACAAAAGACTATTGTTTGGATTCGCACACAAGAAATACAAGGGATATTGTTACAGAAAACTGAACTGTCAATTTAACAAAGTATCTATTGACTTTTAATAATATAGAAATAACAAATACGAAATTGGTGTTGTCCTTTTTAGTTCATTTAATATAACGAGAACCCTAGACACGAAAAATCAAAGAGAAGTCTAACCTCGGCATGCTAAAGTTTGTTTCCCTTTGCCGTTTCAATTCGGTCACTCGGAATGGATCCATTTTGGACATAAAGAAATAACAATATATACTCTAATCAATATCAATCATATGACATTAAAATGGAAATTAACAAGATAGAAAGCTGCAATTTAAATACCCTTGCACTTCGCGCTTGGATCAATAAACTTTGTCAAATGAAAATAAAATCAAACAAAACAAGAAAGGAAGCTAACTTCGGCACGCCGAAGTTTATATACCCTTGCAGATAGAACTTCTATTCACCTATACATATTATATTTGCAGTTTTACATTCACTGATTTGCATATTTCCTCCACATCCAAAGATCGTTTGTATGGCACCTATATGATATAGTCGTTCGATTTTCATGAAATTTAACACAAAATTTAAGACTTAAATAAAATGGCTATACCTCAAATTTGATGAAAATCAGCTGAAAACTGAAAAAGTTATCATTTTAATTGTAATAATTTCTCTATCGTTCCTATGGGAGCTATATGATATAGTAGTCCGATTTTCATAAAATTTTATGCAAAATTGTAGAGTATAGTAAATTGGCTATATCTCAAATTTGATCCAATTCTATTGAAAACTGAAAATGTTAAAATTTTTTTTGGAAAAATGTTCCGATCATTCCAATGGCAGCTATATGATATAGTCGTCCGATCCGGCCCGTTCCGACATATATACGAGTGAGAGTATATAGAAGGCAAACTACAAAGTTTCATACAAATAGCTTCAAAACTGAGAGACTAGTTTGCGTAGAAACGGACAGACGGACAGAAGGACAGACGGACAGACGGACATGGCTAGATCGACTCGGCTGTTGATCCTGATCAAGAATATATATACTTTATATAGTCGGAGGTGCCTCCTTCACTGCGTTGCAAACTTCTGACTGAAATTATAATACCCTGCAAGGGTATAAAAATTAAATGATTATTTGTACACTTTCACAGATCAAGTTTGACATTCACAGTTCAGCATTTTCTTCTACATTTAACGATAGTTTCTATGGAAATACATATGTACATATATGATACAGTCTCACGATTTTCATAAAATTTTACACCAAACTTTAGAATAATGGCTATATCTTAAATTTGATATATGTATATTATATTAATACCCTTGTAGGGTATTATAATTTTAGTGAGAAGTTTGCAACGCAGAAAATGAGTCATTTCCGACCCTATAAAGCATATATATTATTGATCAGGATCAACAGCCGAGTCGATCTAGCAATGTTCGTCTGTATGTTTCCATCAAACTAGTCTCTTAGTTTGTAAGCTATCTGAATGAAACTTTGTAGTTAGCCTTTTAAATACTCTCACTCGTATATATGTCGGAACGGACGACTATATCATATAGCTGCTAAAGGAACAATCGGAAAATTTTTAGAAATTTATACATTTTTAACAGATTTAAATATAATTTAAGATTTAATCATTTCGAACTATTCAAGAGCTTTAGTTTTAATTTAATGAATATCGGACAACTATACAAACGATTGTAAGAGAATGAGGGAAACGAAGAAGTGTGAATGTAAAACTGTAACTGAAAAACTGTAAATATAATATATATATATGCATATATATAATATATAATCGGCCCTCGCTTATGAAAAATGTGATCTCCTTACTTTTTAACATGTTTATGTTTCTATAAACTCTAACCTGTTAATTATTTATATGAAGAAACTTTTCTAATTTAACACCAACTTAAAATTTTGAAAATGTGAACGTTATGCATTTATTAAACGCACATACATAAGTCATAATAACTTTTGCTTAATTTTAAACAAAATGTATGAAACTTTAATAAAAACACCAAATTTGAACAGCAATTTTTTACTTAAATTTATGTTCTGAATCCATGTTTCGCTTAACACGAGGATTTCTAGTAACGTAACCGCCGTGTGAAGTATAGTATATTTTTAAGTGAATTAAATTAATTCGATTTAATTTAAATTAATTAATTTAATTTTATTTAATTATGTATGAAAATTTCGGCGTGCCGAAGTTAGCTTCTTTTTTTGTTTAAATCAAAGCTCACTCGACCTCGGGTCTGGAGATGCTGGAGTATTCATTAACTGGATGTACTCCGTTGCTAAACAAATAAACAACACTTTTTTTAAATCGAAATCAAATACTGAAAGATGGGAATTGAATAACAATAACAATTATTGTCCTGAATCATATTTTGCACGAGGATTCCGCTGCAACCAAACCCAAAAATAAAGCTAGAGCGAAAACAACAATGAAAAAAATACAAATGTATACATATATAAAAAAAATTGATCTATGTGGAATTGAGAAAAATATTTGCAGATCTGCTACAAACTTATCGAAAAATCACTGGGTAGATAATGATTAGCTTAAGTTGTGCTGTGAACAGATGCGTAAACAATTACACTGATGTACATATGTATGCTATGTATTTGTATATAGTATTATTACATGTATAATATTCCATCATATTTTGGTTGTATCGATAGGCCGTGGATAAGTCCATGTTTTGATTCGCTTTAATATAAATTGAAACTTTTACTGTATTGAATTATTTATTTTTAAATTTACTATCACAAAATCTGAAAACGTGTAGTACGAGCACAAATCACTATATCATTTTGATTTCCATTTTCAGCACTATTTTGTTTTATTTGATGTTATTTGAACATAATTTTTTCTGGTATTTTTGTCGATCTCGGGTGTAAGCGTTAAATTGTAAGCGTGACCGCAAACCGCAAACCGTAACCGCAACCGATGATGGTGAGCCCGAACCTGTAATCGATGCCGAGATACGAGATACAAGCCAAAAGAAATCCTCCTGCGAACGAGTGTTCTGATTGACGTTACGGCGATGTCCTAGAGAGCGCGGAGAGTTTTGATTTTCCGTTTCTGTCGCAAACTTCTTTGCATAAAAGTAAAAGAGCACCGAGCCTTATCGGTTCTATAACCTATTCTTGGCTTTTCATTCTTCTTCTATTGTGTTTTTCTTATTACAGAAATTAGTTTTCTCTTTCATTTTGGGCTGCCTGCCGTAAAATATTGCTAACCATTTTTTCCACACAGTTTACTGTTTAGCCGCAAGAGATTCTGCGCATCGCCTTTACTTATTCTTATCTATATTTTCGTGTGCACGCGCGGGCGTTTCGTGGTCCTTGGTGTTTTTTACGCTTCCCAACAACCAACACCAACCAGCGATCCGTAACGTCTCAAACCCCGTAACGCCTGTGTCTGTCATCTCACAAAGGAGACTCTGCGAACCGACCAATGAAGATAGAGACGCAAATATCAGAATTTCAGAACAGGAGAGAGAGAGAGTCGGTAACGGAGAACGGTAAGTATCTCCATCTGCTGCGGATGCTTTTTCGGCCAACCAATCCATAGGCTCATGGTTGCAGCAGAGATGCCAAGACCAAGAGCCAAAAATAAAGTTAGGAACGTTGAAAAGATGTTTGTATTTTATTTATGTCAAAAATTGAGGCATATAATCCACAATTACTACTGGGAAACAACATCAATTTTTAGTAAAATTCCAACTTGCAAAATATATTCACTGTCGGGTTACAACAGCGCATCTCTAACTGAGAAAAAGATAAAGAAGCAAAAGGCAAAAGATTCAAGAGTGGAATGCAAGGGAGAGAGAAATCGGAAAGGGGCGTATACTACGAGAATCCCACCAATAGAAGATAAGGAAGGCGGCCAGGCCGATATATCTGCAAATCGGTAGCCAATCACGGCGCACGCACAGCACACACCTTTCCCTTTCTGTCCGCCACTTAAGTTCGCGCATTCTTCGGCTCTTTCGACGTCCCTTTCCCACACACACACCCTAGAACTGGGAGTGTGAATTGCTGCTCACGCTGTCTGCCTCGCACTTATCACGCGGCCGTGTCTATCACTTAATTCACGCACTTTTTTGTAATCCACATAGATAAAAATTGTTCGTTGGCTGAATCTGAAGCACCTTATCAGTAACTTGACTGTAAAATTGTGCTGTGTGTGAATGGACAGTTTAAACTTTACCACGGTAAATAGATACAGCTGCGGTCAAAATAATGGCAATAAGGACGTGGCTTTTTAATCGGATGCAAAATATCTGCATACATATGTAAGTATGTATGTATTTCGAGTGTGCCTTTGTTACCAAAATACAAAATATATACATATGTATGTATAATGTACATATGTATGTATGAATCTAAGAAAAACAAGAAAGGAAGCCAACTGTGGCACGCCGAAGTTTGCATACCCTTGCAGATTACAAGTAGATCATTAATAATTTATGCAATATGAATAATAAGCATTTAAGTTAAAAAACATTCATTACAGTCACACCTATACATACTATAATAAAAATGTTACAATCACAGATTTGCATTGCCCTCTAAATTATAGATATCATAGCCATATGATAAAGCTTGTCGATTTTTATGAATTGAAAAACTAAATTAAAATTTTTAAATAATACACAAGGGCTATATCTTGATGAACATATTTTGAAAACTAAAAAAAGTTATAACTTGTTTCTAAATGACAGAAAATTGATAAATCGAACGACTATTTCATATTTGGAGCTACCATTGAAACTATTATTAAGTGAAGAGGAAAATACAAAACTGTTAATGTAAAACTGGATAGTAGACATTACTTTGCGTGTTTTTTAACATAAACAAATATAAGATATATTTTATTAATTATAAACAATCGAATTGCAAGGGTATACAAACTTCAGCGTGCCAAAATTAGCCTCCATTAATTCCTGTTTTATTTTTTCGGTTTTAGTTTTCTTATCGATTTATGCTGATCAATACACTGTCTTGCTAACTTTTGGCCAAAAGTAAAATTAAAATAAAAATCTGCGGTGAGTTTGAGTGCTCTTGTAATAGCAAAACTTGTACGATTTTGCTTAAATCTAACCTCGAATTCAATATTATAGTTTAACACGTCTAAATCGACTCGGCTGGTTATTGATTTGGTTTTATTGTCATAAAAAGTTAATAGTCTCAAAATTTAAAACAAATTGTATGCACAAGTATGGTAGTCCGTAAAAATGTTCTTAAAGAAGATGAATTTCGTACAATTATATAATTTCAGCTGTCAAATAAATCAATGAAAACCATAATAAAGGAATGAAGTTAATCGAAAGCATATTTAAGTTCACAGTCCAAAGAGGGTTTATTTTACTTTTACCAAAGTTGCACTTGGAAATATGTACAACGTAAATATGTATGCAGGAATATATGTATAAGAATGGAGGAATGTTGAATAGACAACTGGAAATTAATTAATTAATTAATCGCTTCTCTGCAATAAAAGTAACACTTTTTGTAGTCGTCTTGCTGGTTCTCTTAAAATGATGCTTATTTTAATTTTATCAAAAAGTCGTTAGTTCCAGGGCTACATATTTGAAGTTTTCTGCCTAAAGCTTTTGTTTTTTAGAGGTTATGGGCGCGGTACGCCCTGATTCCCGTAGGTTTAATATTGCTTGTTGAATATCTTTGAACGGAGTTGTGAGTTTAGGTACGTAATTATGTATCAGACGCGTTTCGAAATCTAAAACTGGAACTGGAGATTTTGATACATCGTAATCAGCCGGAAATCAATTCAAAATGCGGTTTTATGCTTTTGTTTCATCACATTGGGCTTAGTAACCATATACACTTGCCTTGGGAGAATAAATCGTCATCTTAGAATTAAACTTCCCCTGGACCCAAGACTCCTCTAGTGGCTTAATTTCGTCCATTGATAAATAAAAGATATGAAAGAAGTCCAGGAAACCGGCCTTGTGGTCGAAGTAAGTTTTTTTCAATTACGAGGGATACTTGAGCCTATTCCAACAGAAAGCCACAACTCAGAAAATTGATCAGGTGGCGTGGCGGTCAGTTTGTGTTGTGTGAACAATTGTAACAGAGGAAACGGCAAAAAGAAATCAGGTGTCCAGTGACGAATGCATATACATTAACGTATATATGTATATTTATTCACTACTCGGTCGGTCCCACGGTACTCGTTAAGACAACAGAAATAGTTTATGTATGTACAAATACATTTCCTACGCAATTAATATGAATTTACAGGAATGAAACTACTTTCTAGTATAATAAAGTTATGCATATATAAAAGGAAAAAAGAAAAATTTTAATACTCCGCAGGAGTATTTCTTAAACATACAAATGTACAAGTATATTTTTCTTTTTAAAGAGCACGTCAGAGTGTCATTTTGTGAATAATCCAACGGAGTATAACAATCCCATAATAGGAAAAAAGAAAGAGAATTAGAAGCTAGTCTTCTTTCAATTCAATTCAAAATACATTTTTGAACTGATTCAAAACCGAACTGTTGTACTATATAGTTGTACATGGAGGTTTTTTAGAACTCTCGTCAGTTTCTTAATGGTCCAAACCTATGAAAGTATACAAACTTCGACATGCCGAAGGTAATTTCTGATTATATTTAGGAAGTTAACTTATTTTAAACTTAGTTTCAACCTACCATCGCCTGAAATACTGCCTTGAGAACTGTGGGAATCTTCTGAAATGACAAATTTATATACATACATTAATCGGAATTTGAAAATGTAACATATTACAGTTCCATATTTGTACTTTATAGGTGTATGAATGTGTAAATACCTGCCCCGTTTTGTACATCATTTATAGCTGACATCCATCCATCGACTCCCTGAGTATTTGTCATGAAATTGTTGTTTACAATTGGCGGCGTTGCACTCAATATCCGTGTTGAATATTCATCGAACTTGTTCGGCACTGTAGAGTCGAAGGAGATAGAAAAATTAAAATTAGAAGAGTTGCAAATATACATCTGCATGTACATACATATGTACGTATGATAAGCGGAAAATAAAAGTCGTGTACATTGAAAAATTCCTTATACTCCACACACAAATTCCGTGACTTGAAATGGTCTCCTTCCTTTTCCTCTTAATTTCGTTTTCAAGAAATTTGAACATGAATCGAAAAAAATCGCGAAGAAGAATAGCTTTTCTGCTGTTTATGCTGTTTTTTCGCTGGACGGGGAAGGAAAGGTGTATTGCTCTTGTTATTTTCCTAGCCCCAACCTTTTTCAAGGAAGCCATTGTTCTTGAATGTGAGCATTCTCCCTTTTTAATCTAAAGAACTAGGAATAATGTTAATCAAATGAAAATGTAATCCTTTTGTTCAACTGAAGGGTCTTTGACCCGATCCGACTTATGTATGTACATACATACATTTATTCTTGATCAGCATCAACTGCTAGATTGATTTGGCTGTTGACCGCCTTGTCCGTCTGTCCGATTAAATGCAAAATAGTCCCTCAAATCCAAGGCTATCTAAATGAAACTTTTCAGTTGGATCGGGCCAGATCGGACGACTATATCATATACCTGTCATCGGATTGATCGCCAAATTTTAAGAAAAAACTAGAAAGGAATCCCACTTTGGCAAGCCGAAGTTTGCATACCCTTGCAGGTTGCAATTCGATAGTAAGTAATGAATATAGTATAAATTTTTGTTAGATGCAACGAAGTAACTCCTACTTTCACTACATTCACCTATACACTATATATTTACAGTTGGAGTTTTACATTCACGGATTTGCATCTTCCTCCTCATTAAATTTATTGATTTCTTGACGGTTCTTTGACATACAATTAAAATCGAAATTCTTGAATAACAAAATGGATAAACCTCAAATTAGACGAATATATTGAAAGCTTGAAATGCTTGAATTTTAACAAGATATGAAGCTTACTTCAGCACGCCGAAGCTTGTATACCCTTGCAGATTGAAATTTGATCGCTGGGAATTAATGCAATATAAATTTAAAACCGAAATTCTAGAGTTATAGAAAATTACTATTTATAAAATTATACATTTTTATTGTATTAATTGTATTGTATATAGAAATATAATTGCAAAGTAGCATAGAAGCGGGCAGACGGACTGACGAACGGACAGACTAACATGGCTGGATCGACTCGGCTGTTGATGCTGATCAAAAATACTTTATATGGTCGGAGATGACTCCTTCACTGCGTTTCGAACTTCTGACTCAAATTACAATATCCTGCCAGGGTATTAAAATATTGCGATCGATCTTATGTCAGCTATATAATCAAGTCCTTCGATCCGGACCGCTCTGACTTGCATTTCTAACTGCAGATAGCTTTGAGGGGGAAGACCACCCTGAACGCATGAAAATTGGAGGGTTTTCAAAAAATTCATTCTGGCAAAGTTATTAAGAATACAACCTTTTATTTATTAGTACAACAAGGTACATATGTTCAAATAAAAATACTTATTTAAAGAAAAAATATTTACGAATGGCGGGAATGGTTATATGGTGTACATGCTGTCCAGCAGTTTTTGAGAAATCATGTACACTGTTAAAAAAAACGCAGTTTTGAGAAAAACGCAATAGGAGATAAAGAAAGTACTCTAAGGTATACCGGCAGAGCTCACTTCTAATGGCTGTAGAGTCCAAATGTATTGAGATATTTTTAAGCCCGATGTCTTAAAATGACCTTATGAATATCGGCCTCAAAATTAGGTAAGAAAAAAGGGTTTTTAAAAATGTCAGGGTGGTCTACCCCTTAAGGATTAGGGGGAATAGTTTGCACACAACCGGACTGATGGACATGGCTAGATTGACTTGGCTATTGATGCTGATTAAGAATATATACATATATTTTAAAACTCATTAAAACTTTAATACTCTGCACGCGTATAAAACACCATATTTTTATATTCTACCCAACTCTATTAATTGAATCGACGTACATAATTATGTCTGGGGTAGTTTTCTACATACATATCTATATTTTTTGAAAATGGTATATAGAACTGTAAATAGATTTAAAACTAATTCAAACTTAAAACGTTACTTACTTTTTCCTTTTTCATCTATTTGCGGTGGGACATAGACGTTGTGCTGTTGGTGATCATGAAGCAGGCTCACACCGTCATTGGGAATGCTCTGCAAAGTGTGTAATGTAGGAGTATCGACCTGAGACTGATGCTGTGACAACTGATGTTGATGATGCTGCAGATGCGAGTTGTGATTGTGCTCAGAGTTGAGTGTCTGTTCTTGTGCACTGTGAAGATTCGGGCTCTGATGGTGAACTATTCGGTGTTGAAGCTGATGTGAGAGTGACGACCCGGCGAGCCCATGGCCAAGATGGTGCGGTGATGATGTTTGCATATCCATTATAAACATCAGAAGCTGAAAAGGCAGTTCGAAACAAAAACGAAAATATAATTTTGTGGGGAGAAACTATCGTGTTAACAGTATCCCTAATAAAGTAGGTTTACGCAAATAACAAAAAGTAAGCGTCTGCCAATGAGCCGAATCAGAAACTAGATAAATTGTATGTAGGGGTATATTGACCCTTGCAGGAATCGAAATTTTAGTCAGAAGTTTGCTACCCAGTAGTTATTCAGTAGTTACACAGTTGCGCCGTATACCCTTGCAGGTTTCAATTCGATCATTAACAATTAATTCGACATAAATTATACAAAGTTATCTTAAGGTTACAGTTTAACACTAACTGTGTGCATTTTCTTCTATATTTAAAGATCATTTCTATGGCAGCTATATGTTTGAGTCTCCCGATTTTCATAAAATTAAATCAGAAATTCTAGAATAATATAAAATGCAATAACGGACATACGAACGGAAAGACGGACTGTTGCTGCTTATCAAGAATAAATACATACACTCTTAAGGGTTGGAAATGACTCCTACTCCTGGTTAAAAATTTTAATGCACTGCAAGGGTATAGAAAAACAATAATCTCTTCGGTTTTTAGTATTTCTACTTATGTAATATGCAAAACTGCATATATAATTTGATGAATACATATTTGTTTCCAACAAACTTTTTATTATAATTGTATGTGTAACTGTAGTGTACTTAACATCTATTTTTATAAACTATAATAAATTAGATAAAATTATTTTATCCGATTTTAAAACAAAGTTATTATGATGATTTGTATGATTTGTATAGGAAAAAATTAAACTTTTCAGTTTTCAACATATTTTTATCAAATTTGAAATAAAGGCATTTTGTAAAATTTAAAAAATTTTAATGTTTAACTGAATGTAAAGAAAGAAAGAAAAGTTTTTTAGCATAAATCTAAATATAATTTATATTGTATTTATAATTAATGAACGATTTGCTATCTGCAGGGCATACAAACTTCGGTGTGCCGAACTTGACGTCATTATTTGTTATAACTGATGTCAGTTGTTTCTCTCATTTGACCAAATTGCAAAATGGAAGCGTATACAAACTTCCCCTTGGCGAAGTTAACTTCCAGTCTTGTTATACTCTTGCAGGGTGTTACTACAATATTTTAGTCAGAATTTTGCAACGCAGTGAAGGAAACACTTCCGACCATCTAAAGTATTTATGTAAATATATTCTTGATCAGCATCAATAGCTGAGTCGATTTAGCCATGTCTGTCTGTCCGTTCGTTTCTACGGTAACAAGTCTCTCAGAAGCTATCTAAATTTAACTTTGCAGTTAGTATTCTACATAATCTCACTCAAATGTACATACATACATATGTATGTCAGAACGGGCCGGATCGGAAACCTATATCATATATCATATACATAGCTGCCATGGAAACGATCGAAAATAAAAAAATGTATATATAACTTTATCAGTTTTCAACAGATTTAAAATAACTTAAGATATTATTTTTGTATTATTCTAGAATTTCGGTTTAATTTTATGAAAATCGGACAACTGCATCATATATACATCATGAATGTAAAACTGTAAATATCATATGTACAGGTGAATAAAATAAAAGCAGGTATTCATTGTTTTCTAACATAAATATATATATAATTTATATTGTATTGTTGCTTAGTGATCGAATTTCAAGCTACAAGGGTCAAGAAAGGTTTAAAGATTGTTATAATTTTGCTTAATATGTGAATATAAATACAATGTAATTTCTTGTATACCGTTTGACACGCTGCAATCGTATAATGGTATTTCCATTTCCCGCTCATTTACCGGAAAAATAAATACATACAATATCGTTGTACATTTGTGTGGTCACGGCACCAGCTCTTCCCGGTTCCTTGGCAAGGTGCGCTCCTCCATAAACCCCGCGCAAACTCATTCACCTGTTCTTAATTGACCTTTTTGGGGTATCACACGCTTCACCCCTAAAAGTCATCCTTCACCGTAGGAAGGATCGAATGAGCGAGCGAGCCAAAAGGTACGAAGTCTAGGAAGACATCTGTTTTCTTTTCGGTAGGAATTTATTTTTCCCCAATAGACAGACAGTTACTTGCTGGTAGGACACATTTTAACAATACTTATGTTAATGATGTTAACAAATGTTTTGGGTTTTCTACGCCTATTTTGCACTGAACTTGATTGGGTTTCAGTATTAGTCAACGAATTGAAATGAAAACTTATCCTTATATTATTTACTTTCTGAAATTCTACATCTCTCTGACGGTGTCACTCTCTCAGCAGTGTGTTCCCAGTTACCAAGTTTACCCGATAAATGCTCCTCTGATCTTGATGACATTTTAAACAGACCTCTGGAGATACAATTTACAATTTTGAATTGCAATTACACTGGACATAACTTGACTTGGCTTTCCTTGCCCATGAATCCCGGATTACCAACCCCTTAAAATTCCCAAGGAATGCGTTTTCTAACACACTGAACCTACACCAATAAGTAAAAAAGAATCTTCTAACACAGGAAATAAAATACATGTTATTTTTACATGTAAATACATTATCATAAAGTCAGTATGTGTGGCATATACATATGGTGTCAAGGAGCCGTCTATATTACCAAGGGTTCAAGGCATGCCACATCACATAAGTTCACGGCCGTTTGTATTTAAAGTAAGGTTAGTTAGGTGTATCTTTTAGATACTATTACGCATACTATTACTAACTCTTCACATTCAATTCGAGGAAAATAAAAGTGGGAAAAAGAATCGCGTTTTCACACACTTCCCACCAAATAATAATGGCGTCAGACAACAGTCTACAAAAAACGGTGGAAAATAAGAAACCCAAGGTCAGGAGCGTGGGTACAGAAGATATTTATTCGAGTCAAGTATTGCGCCCCATCACGTCCGTTTAGTTTTTTTTTTCAAGACCTATATAAAAAATGTTAACTTAGCTCTAAAATATATACATGAGTAATATAAGCAAACCAATTTTACAAAAAACTCTACTAAAAGTAAGGCAAATGATACAATAAAAAATATATATATATTTAACAAACAACTTTAATATAATTCAAGGGAAATATTTAAAACATTAAAATAAAAATTAATACGGACATTCATTAAAAAAAAAAAAAAAAAAATATATATATGAACATCTTTTAATCCAATAATTAACTTCAGTAGCATTTTTAATAAAATATTGTCAGTTTATATTATTGGTTTATTTTATTTTCTTACAATAAAAAAATATATATTGATTAATGTACATATAGATTTTGTATATATGTATCTTGTTTTTGTTTTGCACAATTTACTTCACAATGCAAATCTTACGTCTACTATTCCAATAAAAATTAAATTTTTTAAAATGACTTACCAACAATGGAATATATTTTATCCAAATAATAATATTAATATCTTTTTAAACTAATTATGAATTCCAGTAGCATTTTTAAGTACTCCAAATTGTTGCAATTAATAATTGTGAGTACATTGTGGATTTATTTGATTTGGTTATAATATAAAAAATATCGTTGATACATGTACATATGTGTTTGGATATATCTTGTTTTTGAATTGCACAAATTACTTCATAATGCGAATCTTTCATATACTCTTCCAACAAAGGTCACTACTTTGGCAGGCTTGAAGAGAACAGCGCTGCGCGTTCCACCTGTCGGAGTTCAACGCGGGTTTTCACACAGGTGGACTGAGGATCGTTTGAACTGTACGCCAAGAGATCTCGAGCGAAACTAAATTGTTGAATGGTTAATGTGGACGGCGGAAGCCGTACGAACATACGTATACATACACATGTGTGTGTGTTTGTCTTTGAGTCGCGCTCAAAAACTTGGCCAAGACACGGCTTTTTACGGTTGGTCGGTTTTTGGTTCGCACTCAAAGCCGACTGCCGCCGACTGCTCACAGATCGGTATACATACGTGAATATATGCATGTATATGTCTGTTCGTTGGCTTAAAGAGTCGAAGCTAGGCTTGCAAGAGATGCCAGTTTCTTCGAAACTAAAAAGTAAAACAAGAAAGGAAGCTAACTTCGTCACGCCGAAGTTTGTTTACCCTTGCAGATTGAAACTCGATCCCTACGAATTTGCTTTTATTTCATTCATCTGCACATGTTATATTTACATTTTGACATTCACAGTTTTGCATTATCCTCTATTATTAACGGCCTTTTGTATGACAGCTATATGATATAGAAGTAAGATTTTTATAAAATTTAACATAAAATTCTATATGAATTTGATGAAAATATGGTAAAAACGCTTTTCCACTTATTAACATAATTTTTTATCTAAAAATTTTCCGATGATTATGGATGTATGCATGTAAGAGTATATAGAAAACTAACTGCAAAGTTTCATTGAGATAGCTTCACAACTAAGTAACAAGTTTGCTTAGAAACGGACAGACGGACATGGCTAGATCGACTCGGCTGCTGATGCTGACCAAGAATATACATACAATGTATGTACATACTTCTGCACTGCGTTGCAAACTTCTGACTGAAATTATAATACCCTGCAAGGGTATAAAGATATATTCTAACGTATGTATATATATATGTATGTGTGTAAATTGACTCAGTTTATATTGAAGATATACAATACAACACAGTTGTATTAAAAAAAGAAACCTTAACTGTACAAATTTAATTAAGTCCATATTTTATGGCTTAGATTTGTATACATTTTGGATATACATACATATGTACATATCAAACAGCCTAGCTCAGTTTAAGCTCATTTATCAGTACATGAAAGAAATTTTCCTGATACATCAATATTAACATCAACATCGATACATATATTTAAATATGATTAAAAATTTACAGATTCTGAATATAAAAGGGTAAATTCAATAGTATATCCGAAAAAAGTCCAAATTGGCAGCACTGTTTGGCAGTATATACGATCACCGTATTAAAAAATGAGCGATTGAGAAAAGCACAAAAGGGATAGCAGTGGGCAGAGGCCGAATGGAAAAGAGAACAGAGGGAGAA